AATAAATAAATAATTGTTCTTATTCAGTTTTGATCTAACGGAAAACTATGATTGACAATCATAAAAATGATTTGATTTTTAATTGAATTTTGCTGTTTATAGATCTTCATCACCAAAAACAACTAGGAATGTCCCTAAAGAAGTTGGCATGCTCCCTCCTTAGTTGGTATCCCTGTTAAACCATGACACAGATGGTAAAATGTACAAATCTAATCATTTGTTTGTCAAAGTCAGTTTTATAGCAGGTCTTCACTTTAGGAGTGTATTTTTCCCCTCTGTAATGTTGAGGTAGGGTTTACAAAGGTTGAATATATTTAAGATGATTTGATATATGTATACATTTTGGGGGGGATATGCTTCTGAAAGTTCAGTAGTTTTGAAACAGACTGTAAACTTAAAACTAACAGCAGTAGTTCATCTGCCTTAAACAGAAAAGCTTTCCACTTTACAAGGTAGAACTTGAAAATATAATACAAAAATAGATTGCCACTTTCTAGAATGGAAAAACGCTTGCTCTGGCTGTTGTGACTTAATGGATTGATTACTGGCATGCAGACTGAAAGGTTGCTGGTTTGATTCCCCATCAGGGCATATGCCTGGGTTGCAGGCCAGGTCCCCAGCTAGGTGCAGGGAAGAGGCAACTGAGTGCTGTTTCTCTTACACATCATGTTTCTCTCCCTGTCTTTCTCTCTCCCTTCTCCTATTTATAAAAGGAAATAAATAAAATCTTTAGAATGGGAAAAATTTTCCCATCTACAAAACATGCAGAAAAAGAGCAAAATAAATTTTTTAAAAGTTAGGAAAATGATGCCAGTAGTCAATATTCTCTTTTAGCCCAATTTCCAAAAACAGTGTAGTTTGATAAATGGATAACAATTTCTTACACTGCCACTAGTAGAAAAGGCGCTCAAAAGGAATCATACTGATGATTCTGACCTCAGTTATCACTGTGGGCAGTAGCAGCTGCTCCCACATATTTTCAGCAGGATTTACGAAGATGGCTAATAAGAATGCACTACCTCCTCCTAAAGATGTTGTAATATAGTATTTTTAATGTCAGTGAAGGTGTTCCATTGATTTTGGTATTTGTAAAGGTACGTTGTAAAGTTGCTACTACTTCATCTAAATAATTTTATCTTGCTTTGGCAACCAGTCAAAAAAATATCAAAAGGTGGTACATCAATTAACTTTACTGGCTTGTTACAGTTGTTCACCTGTGTTTTTCCCTCAATATTTTGTAATTAACCAGTTTCCCTCTTTAGAAGTTTACCTATTTTAGTTACCTTGCTTAAATATGCTACATGAAAAGAAGCTAAGGTGTCCATATATTTCATCAATTACACTTAATTTTCTTCCTTTTTTCTGTCTAGAGGAAATTTCTGGTAATGTTGAAGTTAAAAATCAAACCCTCAAATTAATAATAAATTTGTTTAAGAAAATACCATAACAATTAATCAATGATATTCAGTTTGGATATGTCTTACTGATTAATTACAACCTAGAGATCTTCTTTATCATAATATTCATGTTCTTTTGGAAATGTAGTTTTCCCTAGATTTATAAGAATTGTTTAAATTTTAAAAAGTCCAAAGTTATTCCACTACATGTGATATTTTAAAAGTAGAAGTTACTGATTAAAAAACCTAATAGACCTGATTGATGTAGCTCAGTTGGTTGGGTATCGTTCCACAAGGTGAAAAGCCACTGATTCAGTTCCCAGTCGGGGCACATGTCTGGGTTGCAGGCTGATCCCCCACTGGGGTGTGTGCAAGAGGCAACCAATCAATGTTTCTCTTCCTCTCTTTCCCCCTCCCTTCCCCTCTAAGAATAAATACATACAATCTTGAAAAAGGCAAATAAAGGATATGGCTTAAAGCATAAAAAGTTCTTTGTATTCATGGCTTGTCTGTGTAGAAATTCTAGAGACAGAATTACAGAAACCAGACCCATAAAGAATGTTTGTGATGTGATCAGGCTTCTTCATTATCCCTTTTACTAGAATGTAACCTAAGCTATTGTAACTCCTTTGCCTTTGTGACTACCATGATATGTTTTGTAGACTGAAGTTAACTGAAGAAATAGAACAAAGCTTTACTTTAAATGAAGATCTGTGGTAATATGAAGATAAAAAGTCAGGCTAAAATATTTCATGCTTGCCTCATTCAGTATTAGAGACACCCAGGATGGTATTTTTATTCTCTGTGCAATAGTTGTGCATTTTTACTTCAAAAAGAACAAGATCTCAAACCTTAATTTCTCTAGGTTATTTTTCAAATTTATAACCATTATTAAGTCCCAGATTTTTAAAGAGTTGCAGAAGAGACTCAGAAATGGCACCCTTGCAACACAAAGAGAGAATCCTGGCATAAACTAAGTCTTGTGTGATAGTGACATGTCAGCGCAGGGTCATCAACGATAACAAACTTCTGCCCTGGTGGAGGAGGTTCATGATGGGGGGTATGCAGGGTGTGTGTGTAGCAGCAGGGGTATATGAGAAATCTCAATTTTGTTGTAAAACGAATTCTGTTCTAAAAAATTAAGTATTTTTAAAATAGGATCTTACAGCCCTGTCCAGGTAGATTGGTTGGTTAGAGTGTCATCCCGATACACCAAGGTTGCGGGTTCTATCCCAGGTCAGGACACATAGGAATCAACCAATGAATGCCTAAATAAGTGGAGCATAAAATATATGTTTTCCCCTAAGAATCTATAAATTTAAATAAATAAAAAATGAGAAAAGGAACTTATTCCAAAAAAATTAAAGCTGTAAGTAAAACTCTTACTGAGGCCTCATGTATTTTATGGTCATTTAGTTGCTAGTCCAGATCATTTGTACTGTCTGTTGTAAAGTCTTTGAGCAAACCAGTTCATTACAAAGCCAAATTAGATAAATGCATCTTAAATTTTATTATGAAGTTGACTTTGAAGAGCTACCTTATCAAAGTTTAAGATCCTAGATTTATAGGAGATCCTATTATCTGATTATATTACCTCTCTAGTTAATTATATACATGCCCACTGCTGATAAAAAAGTAATGTGAACTTCTGGCCAGGATGGAGGCGTAGGAAGACAGGATTAGCCTCCTTGTACGAACATAGGAAGTATCATAGCTAACCTCAAAACAAAAAACAACCAGAACTGCCAGAAAATTAAACTACATGGCAGTCCGACAACCAAGGATTTAAAGAAGAAGCATTCATGCAGATGGGTCGGGGGAGGTAAAGACAAGGACAGGAGGCAGGGAGGATGTGGTGTGCGGCAGTGGCAAGGCAGTTGCAGCAGCTGGCAGAATGGGTGGTCCCACATTCATGTGACAAAAACCTGGAGGGACACCTGGGGAGAGAGCAATCCCAGCCCTGGGCCAGAATGTGCAGCCCAGGGTCCCAGCACCAGGGGAAATAAAGCCTCATAACTTCTGGCTGTAAAAACCAGTGAGAGTTGGGGCAGTAGAAGAAACTGCCATTTTCTCAGGAGAGTCTGTTTAAAGGGCCCCCATGGTCCTAGAATGAATGCAAACCCATCCACTCTGGGAACCACTGCCAGGGCAACAGCTAGAGGGAAGCCAGTCACATATGGGAAGCGAGTGAAGTGACTGGAAATGAGCAAGTGCTGAGCAAGTGGCATTGTTCCCTCTCCCACACCTCTTCCACAGGTAGTGCTGCAAAACAGAAAAGTGGATTGCTCCACCCTGGTGAATACCTAAGCCTCCACCCCTTACAAGGTAGCAGGTTCACCAAGAGTGGGAGTTAAGCAGCACTACCTAACACACAGAAACAAACACAGGGAGGCTGCCAAATTGAGGAGACAAAGAAATATGGCTCAAATGAAAGAACAGATCAAAACTCCAGAAAGATCTAAGCAAAACAGAAATAAACAACCTATCAGATGGAGTTCAAAACACTGGTGATAAGGATGCTCAGAGAACTCATTGGGTATGGCAAATGTATAAGGGAAGAAATGAAGGCTATACTAAGTGAAATAAAGAAAAATCCACAGGAGACCAACAGTGAAGAGAAGGAAGCTGGTGGTCAAGTATTCAAAAGAAAAAAAGGAGGGGGAGTCATCAATAAGAAGAATCTGTGACATCTCCGAAAGTGCCAACATCTGAGTTATAGGGATGCCAGGCAGAGAACAGGAAGAGCAAGAAATTGATAACTTTTTTTGAAAAAATAAAGAAAACTTCCCTAACTTGGTGAAGGAAATGGACATACAAGTCCAGGAAGCACAGAGTCCCAAACAAGTTACACCCAAAGAGGGCCACACCAAGACACATCATAATTAAAATGCCAAAGGTTAGATATGAAGAAAGACTCTTAAAAGCAGCAAGAGAAAGGAGAGAGTTACCTACAAAGGAGTGACCATAAGACTATCAGATGATTTCTCAAAAGAAACTGCAGGTGAGAAGGGACTGACAAGAAATACTCAAAGTGATGAAAAGGCAAGGACCTACAACCAGGGTTACTCTATTCAGCAAACCTATCATTTAGAATGGAAGAGTAGATTAAGTGCTTCCCAGACAAGGTAAAGCTAAAGGAGTTCATCATCACCAAGCCCTTGTTATATGAAATGTTAGAGGGAGTTATCTAAGAAAAAGATCAAAACTATGAACAGAAAAATGACAACAAATTCACAACTACTAACAACTGAATCTAAAAAACAACAACTAAGCAAACTAGAAGAGAAAGAGAATCATAGATATGGAGATCACATGGAGGGTTAGCAGCAGGGAGGGAGAAGGGGGAGAATAAGGGAAAAGGTACAGGGATTAAGAATCATAAATGCAGGTACAAAATAGACAGGGGGATGTCAAGAATAGTGTAGGAAGTGGAGAAGCCAAAGAACTTAGGGGCATGACCCATGGGCATGAATTAAGTGGGGGTATTGCTGGAGGGAACGGAGGGGGGGTACCAGGTGGAAAAGTGCAAAGGGGGAAAAATTGAGACAACTGTAATAGCATAACCAGTAAAATATACTTAAAAAAATAATGGTCACCAATATGTCACATGCATGGTAGTGTTTGATTTTATTTTGATTTAATCTTTATTGTATTTTTTTCCATTACCATTTAGTCCCCTTATATCTCCCTCCCCCCAGCATGGCTAGTGTTTTATTCTTTGAAGAATGGTTCTGAAATGTCACGCTGAGTCAGGCTGAAAGGTAAAGTTTAAAATAGTTTTTATAAGGATAGGTCATAACATATGTAATGACTGTTCACTCTACAAAGTCTTGATCATAGAGCTTGTGATACACCTAGTTGGCCATAGCATCCAGGTTTTCCAAGTTGTCAGTCATCATTTTTCTCTTGTCTGCATCAACTTCTTCTCATTAGCTGCTTTTTGCTTTTGTTGCATGATCTCAGAGTCCCTATAATAGGAGAAAAGGCTGTAAGTTGTCACAGAAAAGCTGATTATGTTCTCCCTTGTTTTCTATATATAACCTATTGAGAATATTACAACACAATTAAAAAGAAGATGTAAATATTCATGTATTTCCATTTTCATGGGTGGAGACAGAATGAGAAGGCAAAAAATGGAAGGCTTGGAAGTCAGATCTTATTTAAATACCATCTCTACTATTATGACCTTGGGCAAATAACCTCAAAACCTTTCAAAATTAGAGCAATACATATCCGGGTTGTTCTGAGGAATAGCTATGAATATATATAAAAGCATCTGACATTAGCTAAGAGTTATATATAGAAATAATAGTAATTATTCTTTGTTGTCAACAAAGTTAATTCACTCTTTTTCCTGGGAAAAAAGGGGCATTTAAGAAGTCTCCTAGAGCCCTGGCCAGGTAGCTCAGTTGAAGGGTCACCCTGCTGTTAAGGTTGTGAGTTTGAACCCTGATCAGGGCACATACAAGAAGCAACCAATGAATGCATAAGTAAGTGGAACAACAAATTGGTGTTTCTCTCCCTCCCTTTCTCTAAAATCAATTAAAAAAAAGAAAAGAAAAGAGGAAGTCTCATGGATATCCTAACTGGTACCTAGGATTAGAATATAGATGTTATGAAGTAATTTAGTTTCTTATAAGCCGAAAAGCTCAATAGCTAGTGATTAAAAATGGATTACACTAAAGAAAAGTAGGGCATTCAGGGCATTTTCTTAACCCTTTGAGTGTCTGGCTGAACTCCGCTGCCATATTAAGTGTGACCTACAACCAGACTATCTGGGTACTTTATTGGCTCTAGATTAACATTTCAGATACAATATTTTTTTAAAAAGGAAAAAGTTAAAGGCTTTAGAGCTAAATGATTTGTCCTAAATCACATAAAGACCAAGCTTTGTGCAATTCCAAAGTCTAGGCTCTTTCCTATCTTGTTATTTCATAGATTAAGTATTACATTTTAATTCAGGATAAGTAGTTCTGTTCATGGCATAAGACACTTCTGAAAAGCCAATAGCAAAAACAAAGAATGAGAAGACAGGAAAAACAAGACAGCTACAAAGAAATGTGGTGTCATAGAGAATAGTGATAGTTTTCTGTTTGAATCTGAGCTTGGCTCTGTTTGCTGTATGACCTTAGTATCATTACTGAATTCAGAGTCTCAGTTGCCTGTTCTATGCATTGAGCCCAATATCACTTTTCAGGGCTGCAATGATCAGAGACACTACATATAGAACACCCAGTACAGAGCTTTGTAATACGTGGGAATTCATTAAACAGTGGCTATTACTGAGTCAAGCTAGACTAGGCTCTCTAATAAAAATACTATTTCAGTGTCACTGATCTGTACCACTTTCACTTTTAATGTGAGTAAACACAATCACAAGGCAAAACTTATTTTAATAAATGTCATAGAAGAAAGCATTTGACAAATGACATTTAAAGGCTTCAATCTCATTAAACAATGATTCTTAACTCTAGCTGTACATCAGAATCACTTGGGAAGTTTTTTTTTTTTTTTGAAATTAGGTTTAACTACGGTATAATGACATTTATCTAGAACACTTTTTATATTTTAGTTTTTAAAATTCTCACCCAAGGACATATGATCACTGACCCTAGAGAGAGGGAAAGGGAGAGAGAGAAACATCAGTGCAAGAGAGAAGCTTCCTCTGGCACATGCTCCAACCGGACTGAACTCACAACTTAAACGTGTGCCCTGACTGGGAGTTGAACCCAAGACTTCTCGGTGTATAGGATGATGCTATAACCAACTGAGCCACACCAGCCAGAGCTAGAGTACCTTTTAATGCCTAACCTCAGACTAATTGCCTGGTAAATCAGGACTGCATGTAGGGCACAACAGACTGAGCAGGCTTCAGTTTCGGGGGGGGTTTGTAACGTGCAGCCAGGCTTGAAGACCACAGAGAAGCCACACTAAAGCATGTGTAGTCAATTATTCACTTGACCTCCAAGTTCCACATGGATAACAACATTTGACTTGAGAATAACATTCAACTTTGTGTGTTAGAAACACAAATGAGTTTTTTTTTTTTACTTAAGCTCAGTCTCACAGTATTCCTATAGCACTTTGTATAATTTGTCATACACAGTCATATACCACGGCTATTCATTTGTATTTTGTCCAACCCAATGGGTCTTCCAAAGTCAATATAGCTACATATATTTACTTTCTTTGTCTCCTTCCAAACAATTATCACTATATTTGAGACACCTGCCATCTACACTAATTTGGACAGAATGCCTGCTTTGAAAGTGTTGCAGTGATCAGAGGGGAGTAGGGAGGGGGATAATGGTGGAAAGAAGGGGAAGGGACTAGTCAAAGAACATGTGTGAATAACCCATAGATATGGCCAACACTGTGGGGATTGACAATGGGAATGGGGTGTGGGCTGGGTGGGGGAGGGCAAAGGGGGGAAAAACTAGGGCAACTGTAACAGAATAACAAAAAAAATATTGCATCCCTGGCACCTACCAGTGGGCATATGGAAGGCATTCAATTGCAGTGCTAAATGAAGTTCTTATGGTTGTGGTGGAGTTACATGAGGTTCTCTGCAAAACAAGTAATAGCTTGAGAGCTTTAAATTCTTCATCCATGGGTTGGGATAATTACCTCATAGTTTTAGTATGCCTGGCACACAATAAATATTCAACTGTTGCCACTTTCTGCAGGTTAGCCATGGTTCTACTAAGAATTTAAAGAAGGCTTTCCATTCTCCACAATGAAAACTTCAGTGACTTGAGAATTCTATTAGTATCACTGACCTTTGTTTTCTCTGAGAGGTAGTCAAGCTATCCTCTTTTCTTTTTCCCTTGCTAATTTCCTGGGATTTCTTCATGTTTTTCTGGCGGGCAAGTTCTCTCTGATTTCCACCTACAAAGAGAAACGGTCATACTTTTTTCACATCTCCAAAATTAGCAATTCCATTATAAGGCTCTTATTTAAGTGCATCTGAAGTGCATTTGCTTTTTCATAGGTCAACAGACTACTGCGCTGAGTGGTGTTCCCAGATCTGACCACAAGGAGGAAGCTTAAAGGTACATATTTAAGGTCTTAAAAGTATTATCATTCCAATCAAGGTGTTCACTGGCTCTAAATACCAGATCTCTTAAACCGGGCATTCCTTTCCAATAGACTGTATATGTGGACCAGTATTCCAGAATAAGTTCTGGCTTTTGCGGGGTGCGAGTGGAGAGAGCAAGATACACCGAGATCACACTTCGTACAAGTTGGCCCACACAAACCAACTGTTAAGCAAGTAAATGTAGATGCTTGTGAAACATTACCTGCGAGGGCCAAACAAAAGACCTAAGGAGGAGACTCAGTCGGAGCTCTGTTTTTATTAGGCCTTATGATTTTAAGTATCAGCTATAGCCCACCTCCAAACCAGAACCCTCCCGGGGCTGCGGTCTCCACACACTTCACCTCCGGGGAGGTGTTCTTTACCGTGTAAACTCGCGCACCTCAGAGGCAGGCACCCTTTTGTGGCTGGACCGAAGCCAAGCGTCCCACTCTCTGCTGTGTGAAGACTGGGTCCCCGCCCTGTCTGATCCAAGGGGATTCATCAGCCAGCCCCCGCCTCCCCACCAACCGCGCCTCGGTGATCCATTGACTTCCTAGCCGGGCGCTCCCCGCAGCTCCCCCATCTCGTCCGCGCACTCACGGGCCATGCGGACTAGCGGACCGAGCCTTGGAAGAGAGCAACTCAGAAAAGCAACAGCCTCCTCGCTGGCTCAGCGGACGTCCTCACTGAGGGATCTGCAAGGCTGATCCAGTGCCCGCCCGCCGCTGGACCACGCCTCTGCCGGGTCCACCGCCCCGCCCATCGAGACCACACCGCAGCTCCCCGAGCGACCAGCCAGCCCCGGCGCGTGCGCGGCGGGGCGGGGCGGGGCGGGGCGGGGCGGGGCGGGGCTGACCCGCCCCGGGCCGCAGCCTCGGGAGCCTACCTGCATCCCCGGGATCTTCTGCCTTGAAAGTTGGGTAGAGTCCCGAAAACAGGTCTTGTGTCTGAAAGAGAGGGATAGACGTGTGTGAATTTTCCCCACCGTGTACTGAGGCTTGACCAGCTCCCATTTTTGGGACACGACAAAAATGACAATAAATGCTGTAACATCTAACTTGCCGACAAAGAACGTTAGCTTTCCTCATTCATCGTTTTGCAGCGGCGTGAAGGGGATGAAAGAGACAGAGCAGATTGAGATTAATTGCGAAAGCCAGTGTTTGGCCCTTACTTAATTTCCTTCCTTATTCTCGCACCAACCCTGCAAGGTAGGCAGGCTTCATTGTTCTCAGTTTACTCAAGAGGAGACTGAGACTCAGACCAGAAGCTAACAGTTATAGGGACTGGTAGAAGTGAGCTTCAAATTTAAGACGAACTCTAAACTCTGTTCATTTCCCATTTTATACCAGTGCCCTTGTCACTGTCGACCGTACTTTAGGAGTTTTAAGTTAACGGTTTTGTGCTTGGGTTGTGTGATGGGGAGAGGATGGCGGAGATGCAGTCTTACCTCATATTTAGAGTATCGCAGAATAACCTTGGAACCCACGTAAAAGCTGTGGAGCACCTGCCATTGCTAGAAACACACATGTAAAGATGCTTGATGTTTATTTGGTTGGTACTTACTTTATCTATTCCGTTAACCATTACAAACTGAGAAATGTTTAGAAGTGTTCTGCATGCCTTAAAATTACCCTCAATTAACACTGAATATGTTAGCTACCATTGTCCTTTTAATCTCTGAGAGCCTTGCTCATCACTCTCTACCTGCCACCCCTCCTCCTCAATACAGTTTACAGGACAGGTGTCTGTTTCCACTTAGCGAACCTCTTCCAGAATAACTTGAGCAGGGGACTTTCTAGCCAGGTTCTTTAAGGAGATAAAGACATCATGAACAAGGGAGGGAAGGAATTGGGTTTGAAAGGTAAGTGGTAGTGTTGTTTCTACATATGGCCTTAACTTACATTCTCATTGAGCTTTTTCTTTGCAGCTGAAAATACAATTTTTGAGTTGTGGGGATACACATCATGTACAGCATGTACATGAGAAATGTACATGAGAAATGCTAGTAAAAACTGAGAATTTAAAAATTACTGTGATGCCATTAAGAATTTACTCCTTAAATTTGAGTGTGTAACAAATATTTTGACTTTAATAATAAAATTAAATCTGACTCTGTTCTCATCTTTTTACTAATGGGAAGGTACATCTTAGTCATTATTGACTTTCTTACCTGCAGAACTGTGGAGATACCCTAGATGCTTATGTGGAACAGAACATTTGAGGGAAGGCCTTGTGTCTTCAGTTTATACTAGAATATGCTGTACAAAACTGTATGGTCCTGGCAGTGGCCCCAAGATTCTTGAGACAACTCCAGCAGGGTTTTTGTTGTTGTTGTTATTGATTTCTTGATCTTCTTCTTTCTTTAATTGATTTGAGAGAGTGAGGAGGGAGGAGGGAGAAAGTGGGAGAGAGAGAGAAAGAGAAAGAGAGAGAGGCAGACATTGATTTGTGTGCATCTGTTGTTGCTTCTTGTATGTGCTTTGACAGGGGGTTTAACCTACAACCTCGGCAAGTGGGAACAATGCTCTGACCAACTGAGGTGCTTGGCCAAAGCTCTTGAGCTTATTCAAGGGTATCTGAGGTTCTGTTGCTTCTTTACAGTACTGGAGGGAGCCCACAGAACTCATGAAACTCCATTTTCTTTCAAGTCTGAGAGCAATCTCTTCTTCTGTGGTTTCAGCCTTGCCTTCCTACTGTCAAAAGCCCTTGTCGTTCTTTCTCCCTCTGGATGACCTAGCAATCTCTTCAATTAGTTCAGTATTTTATTCCTTTGACATTTTGTTATTAATGTAGCAGGATGTTCTTGTAGAATAATTTATCCTTCCAAGAAGAAAATGAGAACTTTATGTTTCCACAAGTTAGGGTATTTGTATTACAAGTTCAAAAACAGGCCCATACTCTGTAGATCTAACCAGATCTCTGCCCAGTTTTCCTCTATCATAGAGACCTTGTCTAACCATCCAACTTAAAGTAAGCCAATGTCTTATTGTCATATTACCCTTTAAAATTTTAGAGTATTTAATGCATTCTTAAGTTATTTTGTTCATTTGCTTCTTGTATTTTTTCATCCCCTACCCAGAGTGCCTCTTTATTGCTCTACTGCTACTTCCTGTAGTAGATTAAGAATACTCACATTAATTTACAGAGTTTTAACTGTAATCATTTTTGAACAGACAGTACATTCACATTAAAAAGTACACCACCACATACAGTGAATGCTCTTTCTCCCACGACATCTTTCTCAGAAACCCAGTTCCTTTCTTAGGAGGTAACTACTACCAGTTGCTTCACACTTGAATTTCTAATCTATGTTCTACTCAGTTTAGAATTTCTAAGCCTTGGGCGTGTGCTGGAGAACAAACCCTGCTCTACAGAACACTCTGAAAATAAAATCGGCCAGTTCTCCCGTAAAAATATGGACTGAGGGGTGGACTACCTCCCCTCCTCTCTTTCCAAAAACTCCTAAGTACGCCTGGAGAGGAGAGAGCACACGGTCTTGCGTCTCTATTTCTGGTTCAGCGGTAACCCACTGTGTAGTTTGACAGTTACCATGGCTCCGGGCGCTGTGCGTCTTACGTCATGCCGCAGCGCTTGGTGATGACGCAATTAGTTTAGGCTCTCTCTGAGGGCTGGGAGCAAGGTGTAGGGGGAAATTTAGCTGTTACTGTGGCATGGTCATGAAGAAGAGGCGGCGGCGGGAGGCAGCAGGAGGCGGCGGGGGCGTGAATCTGCTGTAGCTGCCAGTTGGGCTGGTTTGCGCCTTTGTGGGAAGGGCGTAGTTCTTAAACCCCTCTCCGGGCAGCGGCCGGGGCTCGGGGCTAAGAGCGGCCGTAGGGCCGCCTCCCCGGGCCCCGTGGCTCCGCCATGTTCCGCAGGGCACGCCTTAGCGTGAAGCCGAATGTCAGGCCTGGTGTGGGCGCCAGGTCCTCCACCACCCCCAATCCCCAGCGTGGACAGGAGGCTCCCAGGCCGCCGGAACCTGCAGCGGCCTGTGACCCAAAGCCAGCGGTGCCCACAGATGTGCCCCTGGTGGGTTTCGAGGGAGCGGAGGCCCAAAAAGAGGCTTCCAGGAGCAGGTAAGTGCTTGAAGAGGGGAGCATTTTCATCTGCTCCGCCTCTCCGGGCCCGTCAGCTGGAAGCTGAGCAGCTGAACTTGACCCTAAGAGTAACTCTCTGGCTTGCGCTAAGTCTTACAGTTGAGGCCGAATGATACAAGTTATCGGGGAGAGAATCAGGTCTTCAAGTGGTCGTGGGAGCAATCCAGGGGCAACAGTCTTGAAGTGAATAACATCCACATGTCTTATTAATCATTACAGAATTTAGGTTAGCGTAGTTTTCAGTCTTCTGTAGTACTTTGTAGGGATGGTACTTTACATCTTAACATTTTTATTAAAAATTTTATTGATTGATTTTTGGAGAAAGAGAGAGAGAAGGGAGAGGGAGAGGGAGAGGAAGGGAGAGAGAGAAACATCCATTTGTTGTTCCACTCATCCATTCATTCGTTGGTTGTTTCTTGTATGTGCCCTGATGAGAGCCTTGGTGTGTCGGGATGATACTCAGACCAACCGAGGTAGCCCTCCAGGACCCATTTATTTTTAAATGAAAACCAGTGTTATTTTGGCTCTGCAGATTAATGTTAGTGGAAAGGTCTGGTACTTGCTTTGATTTGAGGGTGTGCCCCTTTAACATGGTGACCATGCTTTCTGAACGGAAAAGCATGTGTCATGTACTGTATTTGGATTCAGGATCCTTCTACTGAGTTGAACAACTTAGTAGACTTTGCCTAAGCAGAATTTATTCATCTGTAAAATGATGATACTATGACGTGCTTTGAGAATTATTGTGGAGATTAGAGATAACTGATATAAACCATAAGTTGTTTGTTTAAAAGGACACCAGTAAAAACCAACTTACCACCACCACCTCCACCCAAAAAAAGAAAACAATTTTTTTAAATGATAGTGAGATGGTATAAATTCTGTTTATGTTCTGGCTTGAAGGTGGAAATTTTATTCTTTTTGGCTCCTCTTCCTCTGTTGGCCTGAACTAGTGCTGGGTATAGGGTGTTATTTTGCTAGCTTAATGATGCTTAGTAATTTCCAAGTCTGTTAAATGAATTTGCTTCAAAATTCCTTCCAAAAATGGAAATACAAATGCCAGTCACTGTTAAATTAATAAAGTTCACAGAGATCCTATTAACATATACAAATAATGTGTGATGACTGATTATTTAATAAATTACTAAACGTCTATATAGTCTTGACATTTAACATGGAGAATATTTAATTCTTAGAGTTAACATTTAGGGAGAGTATACGTGTGTTTTTCTTTTTTATGGGTCTTTGCTATTTGTAAAAATCTATAGGGTACATGTTCTTTCTGAAAAGTTTTTCATCATTATTCTATTACAGTTGTCCCAGTTTGTCCCCCTCTCCCCTTCTCTGCCCAGCCCACCACCTGCTCCCACAGTCAATTCCCCACACTGTTGTCCATGGGTCATTCACACGTGTTCTTTGACTAGTCCCTTCCCCTTCTTTCCTCCATTATCCCTCGGTCCCCACCCCTCTGGTCACTGTCAGTCTGTTCTATGTTTTCATGCCTCTAGTTCTATTTTGCTTGTTAGTTTATTTTGTTCATTAGAATCCTCTTATAGATGAGATTTATGGTATTTGTCTTTTCATCAACTGGCTTATTTCACTTAGCATGATATTTTCCAGTTCATCCATGCTGTCACGAAAGGTGTTCTTTCTTTCTGCTGCATAGTACTCCATTGTGTAAATGTACCCAGTTTGTTGATTGACTCATTTACTAATGGGCACTTAGGCTGTTTCCAGCTCTTTACTATTGTAAATAATGCTGCTATGAACATTGGGGTGCATAAGTTCTTTTGAATTGGTGATTCGGCATTCGTAGGTTATATTCCCAGCAGTGGAATCACTGGGTCAAAAGGCAGTTCCATTTTTAGTTTTTTGAGGAAATTCCATACTGTTTTCCACAGGGGCTGTGCCAGTCTGCATTCCCACCAAGAGTGCACTAGGGATCCCTTTTCCACAGTCTCGCCAGTGCTTCATGTTTATTGATTTATTGATGATGGCCATTCTGACTGGCATGAGGTGATCTTAATGTGGTTTTAATTTGCATCTCTCTGATGGCTAGTGGTGTTGTGCATCCTTTCATAAGCCTATGGAGCCTCTGTTTGTCCTTGGAGAAATGTATATTCAGGTCCTTTGCCCATTTTTTAATTGGACTTTCTCTTCCAGGTGTTGAGTTGGATGAGTTCTTTATATATTTTGGAGATCAGCTTTATCCAATCTGTGATTGGCAAATATGCTCTCCCATTTGGTCAGTTCCCTCTTCATTTTGATGATGGTTTTTTAGCTGTGCAGAAGCTTTTTAATTTGATGTAATCCCATTTGTTTATTTTTTTCCTGAATTTCCTTTGCCCTAGGAGATATGTTGGCAAAAATACTGTACATGGGATATCTGAAATTTTCCTTCCTATTTTTTTCTCAAGGATTTTTATGGGGTCACAACTTATATTTAACTCTTTTATCCATTTTGAGTTTATTCTGATGTATGATGTAGGTTGGTGGTCTAATTTCATGTTTTTTGGCATGTACCAGTCCAGTTTTCCCAGCATCATTTATTGAAGAGGCTAATTTTACTCTATTGTATGCATATGCTCCCCTTGTCAAATATTAATTGATCATAGAGACATGTCATTATTTGACATAGAGACATTATTTCTGGGCTGTTTTTTTTCCAGGGGCATATGTTCTGTACTTATGCATTCAACATAATTGGGTGGAATGCATGTGGTGCATGTATCACATTATAATGGTTGAGATAAGAATTTAAGTTGGAGACTTTTTGGAAAGGTTATATTATAGGTTTAGGTGTTTTCCACTTTTATGTATAACTGTAACATAGGAAAAAAGTAGAATATTAACTTTGTAACATTAAAAAGCTTTTATTGACTTATATCTCCTCTCCTCTTTTTAAATTTTTAATTCTTGTTTTTTGATTTTTAGAGGGAGGGGAAAGGAGGGATAAGGAGAGGGAGAGAAACATCTATGTGAGAGAAACATCAATTGGCTGCCTTCCATACACATGCCTCTACTGGAGACCAAACTGGCAACCCAGGCTTGTGCCCTGACCTGGAATTGAACCGGCAACCTTTCACTTTGTAGGATGATGCCCAATCAACTGAGCCACACCGGTTGGGTCCCCCCCCCCTTCTTGACTTTCCTTGCTTTCAGGCGGTTCCTGAAACACTTATATCCAATCTGAATTATATCTAATATCTAATTTGGAGTGACCGAGCATTTTTTTGGAGTGAGGAGTTTGATAGCTGTATAAGTAGAGTTGTGTCTGACAAATGATTTCTGCCTGAAACAGAATTTTGTTTGATTAGTGTAGCTAAATGTATATCTTCAAATGCTGCAATACAGATATTTCAGAGGTTTGATGTATATGTTTGGTTTTACTGATTTTAGGTTGGTAATAAAAGTAAAATGCCATTAATTTAGATCAGTTTAGAAGGATGTCAGTGTGAATTATAAGCTTAGCTTCAAAAAAATTGACTCAGTTATTTAGTGATTCAGATTAGGCTAAATAAGTTTTTCTTTTTTTTTTTTTTTGAGGGACCTAGCATTAGCATAAAATTGTATGCTGTGATGTGCTTTGGGACTTGAAATTTGAAAAAAATCAATAGTCTTCATTAGAATTTATATATCTAATGATTTATTAAAAATTTTTACTGCAACCTCTGTTATATGTAACATGTATCTCCAGTCATTTTTTTTTTTTAAAAAATGAGACTTTACTGTTTGGGATTTTTATCAGATTATTTTTTAAAATTTTATTGATTTGAAAAGGGGAGGAGATCGAGAGAGGGAGGCATCAAGTTTGCTGTTCCACCTATTGATGCATTCACTCTTTGTGCCCTTACTGGGGATTGAACCTGCAACCCTAGAATATCGGGATGACACCCTAACCGACTGAGCTACCCACCCAGGACACCAGATTAATTTTAAAATTAGAATATTTAAAAGAAGACCCATGAAGCCCTTTTTATTTTCTTTTTGAATTTCAACAGTGATGAAAAGACTGATGGTAAGAGTGATATTGAAGAACCCAGTAAATCTTCCTCTACTGTTTCACAGAGAAGAAAGCGAATATCAAGTACTCCTACACTGGTTAAGCCTGGTGTCCGTGTTCCGCCAGAGCCTCATCCCTTATCTACAGTCAATCAAGAAGCTCCAAAGCCAAACTCAGTTCCAACAAAGGAGAAACAGCCATGCTCAGACAGATACCGAATATACAAAGCCCAGAAACTGAGAGAGATGTTAAAAGAAGAATTAAGAAAAGAAAAGGTAAGAGAGAAAAATCAGAATTTTGACTGGTTCCTTCTAGATTTCTCTCTTTTTACAGATGCTTAATTTTTTAAGCAGTCAAACATCATGATGTTTGTAAAAAATTAAGTAATATGTAAAAAATTAAGCATCTGTAGCATTTTTATGGTGGAACAAAACCAAATAACATCTGTCATGTTAATATCCCCTCTCTTACAGAATGATTAAGAAGCACTATGGACTTAAGCTATATTTTCCATGATACTAATTTTTAATATTTTATTAACATATATCTTTGTTTTTGGTGAAGGCCACAAATAGAAGTTTCACACACACACACACAAACACATACACAGATATACACATACAAGCATATGTATAACTTTTAATCGGATTTTTTATGAGGATGTCCAAGTGACAAGAATTATATTCACTTGATTTAAGACAAGTTTAGTTGAACAGAAATGAATTAGTAATATTTTCTAAATTGACAATATGGAAAATTATAAATGGGAAAAATTTTATGTATGCATATAGTAGTGCCCATGTTCTTTTTAATCTTGAAGATTATTTTTTGAGAGGGCAATAGAACAGCAGTGAAGCATGTAAGCTCTGGAGTTAATTACTTAATGTTTACAAATTAGATTCACCCCTTACTGACTGTGTGACTTTAGGCAATTTAATTAATCTTTCTATGCATATTTTCTCATCTGTAAAATAGGACTAATGATAGTATCTACCTAATTGAAGGATTGTGAAGACTAAATGTGTTAATACATGTAAAACTCATTTAGATTAGTGTCTGGCAGATACTAAGAGCTTAACAAATGTTAGCTCTTATTATTAATTATAGAATTCTCTTTTTTTTTAAATTAAGAGGAAAGCACTTAGCTTTGTGCTTTGTATTCATTATCTCATTTTCTCATTTAATTTTCTCAGCTATGTGAAGTAGATATCACTATTTTACACAGGAGGAAACAAGCTCAGAGAAGTTACTTGCTTTATGTCACATACCAGTGGAGGACATGGCATTTGAGTCTATGTCCTCTAAAATCTAAGTCTCTAAAATGTTTTATAGAATATGCTTAATTAGATTTATTATGGGCAATTAAGATTAAACATTTGCTTCAAGAATTGCATATAATGCGCAGAATTAGAATTCACTGCATGGTAAGCAAAAACTATGTATTTATAACATCTCAGTGAATTATTGTAGTTAAAAGGAATCAGTAAGCATGATTTTATACATTGACCTTTTATCCAGTTCCAGTCACTTTAGTTTTTAAAATTTCTTGATGTACAACTTTTTAATGTTCAGTTTATAAAATTTTTCCTAAAAGTAGGCATAATTGTGGTAGGAGTAACATTCAAGCACTTGCCATGAATGTAACAGTGGACCATATACTTGAATATAATATACTAGAAATTCTTGTATATTCATGAAATAAAAGTGGATCTCTGTGTATGTGTCCCTAGAAACAATGGAAAAACAAATATGCCGTAAATGAAAGCCAGAGGCCACCGGATCGTTCAAAAATGACTATGAGAGACTTCATATATTACCTGCCAGATAACAATCCAATGACGTAAGTAAATTTTGTTTTACTTTGTTTCAGTGTGTGGTGGTTTAAGTATCATCTGTACAGTTTTAATGTTTTTCAAAAGCATATTGACAACATGTATAGCACATCTGATAACCTTTTTTTAAAAACAATCCTCACCTGAGGATGCGTTTTTAGAGAGGAAGGGAGAGAGGGGGAGAGAGAGAAAGAAAGAAAGAAACATCGAAGTGGGAGAAATGTAGGTTATTTTCTGTGCACTCCCGGACTGGGGGAATGAACCCGCAACCTGGGTTTGTGCCCTGATTGGGAATTGCAGCTGCAACCTTTTTGTGCACAGGACAACGTTCCAACCTACTAAGCCACCTGGCAAGGTCTCTGATGTCCTCTTAAATGGAATTTACCGCGTATCAGTTGTATTTCAAGTAACTGCTTTCGAGGCATGGTAGATGATCCCATTTACCTCTGAGATTAAAAATAAGTTTCTGCCCTAGCTGGTGTGGCTCAGTTGGTAGGGTGTCTTTTTAAAAACCAAAAAAACCAATTGGTTTTCAAAAACCAATTGTCAGTTACTATTCACGATCAGGACATATGCCTAGGGTATAGGTTCAGTCCCTGGATGGGGCACATTTGGAAGGCGACTGATGGATGTTTCTCTCTCATGTCGATGTTTCTCTCCCTCTCTTTCTCCTTCCCTTCCCCTCTCTCTAAAATAAAAATTTAAAAAATTACCCCTCGCTGGTGTAGCTCAGTGGATTGAGCGTGAGTTGCGAACCACAGGGTCACCGGTTCTATTCCCAGTCAGTGCACATGCCTGGGTTACAGGCCAGGTCCCCAGTGAGGGCCACGTGAGAGTCAACCACACATGGATGTTTCTCTCCCTCTCTTTCTCCCTCTCTTCCCCTCTCTCTAAAAATAAATTAAAAAATCTTTAAAAAATTTTAAAAAATAAAAACAGTAAGTTTTCTTTGTAATATTATTAAGATGTAGTAAAACTAAACTTTTCTGTAATTATGATTGCAGTTTCTATTTTTTGTACTCTATAACCTTATCGAAAGGCATGGTGTAATTTTTTTTTTAATATTTTATTTATTTATTTTTAGAGAGGGAAGGGAGGGAGAAAGAGAGAGAGAGAGAGGGAGAAACATCAATGTGCGGTTGCTGGGGGTTATGGCCTGCAACCCAGGCATGTGCGCTGACTGGGAATCGAACCTGCGACACTTTGGTTCACAGCCCATGCTCAATCCACTGAGCTATGCCAGCCAGGGCAGGCATGGTGTAATTTTTATTCCCTATTTCTTAATTAAATCGGGTAGCATTCGATTAACAAATCATCCAAGAACAACGCTTCTTAAATCAAAGTTAGCCTGGGGAGGCAGAAGGTTTATGATATATCTTGTTGTGTTGTTGATGGCTGTACGATTAGTGGCATAATTTCGGTATAGCCTTTTTCAGATTCACTAGGTCTTTGGCTTAATTCAGTGATTTTTAACCAGTGTGTCTAATTCAGTGTGATTTTTAACCAGTAATTTTTATTTGTATTTATATTTTTTAAAGATTTAATTTATTTATTTTTAGAGAGGGAAGGGAGGGAGAAAGAGAGAGAGACATCAATGCGTGGTTGCTGGGGGCCATGGCCTGCAACCCAGGCATGTGCCCTGACTGGGAATCGAACCTGGGATGCTTTGGTTCGCAGCCCGCACTCAATCCACTGAGCTACGCCAGCCAGGGCTATTTGTATTTTTAAAAAAGATTTTTTTTATTTATTTTTAGAGAGAGGAAGGGAGAGAGAAATAGGGAGAGAAACATCGATGTGTGGTTGCCTCTTGCATGCCCATTACTGGGGACCTGGTCTGCAGCCCAGGCATGTGCCCTGACTGTGAATCGAACTGGTGACCTGTTGGTTTGCAGGCCGGCACTCAGTCCACTGAGCCACACCAGCCAGGGCACAATAATTTTTAAAATGTAAAATACCTGACTCTTTAGTCAGGGCACTGAACTCTTTTCACTTAGGATTCTCAAATAAAAAATTACAACAGCCAACACAACAGTACCTGTCTGGTATGAATGAATCAAATTATACCTATTTTTTTGTAAGGTTGGCAAAACATATTTTTCGGTGTGCTACAGAATTTTAGTATTAGTTTATGTGTGCCATGAGATGAAAAAGGTTGAAAATCACTGGCCTAGTTAAAGGCAGGGCCAGAAACCTCCAAGTTTTGAGTTGTTTGACAAGCTACTAGTTTGCTTCCTGCTTTGAGAATGGGGGCTTTCCTTCACTAAGGAATGAGAGGGTAAGAGAGTTTGCTGCTTTGGCCCTAATAAATTATTGATACTTGTTGACAGAAGTATTTGAAAAATTGACTGTGGGGGCACACTGTTATTAATAGTAGTTTTATGGTATATCATTAAAAGATGCAAGTTAAAGTAATTCTTGCCTATAGATAGAATTGACAAGATGTAAATTAATTACTTATTAATAAATGTTCTGTTATTTGTGTTAAATAGGTATTCACTGGAGCAAGAAAAGAAAACTGAAAAATCATTGACACCAGTCCAGACAAGAGAGTAAGCATCTCATTTTATTCTTTTTTTGAATATATTCTGGTATGGATACATTAAAAAATGATATTGAATGATAATTCCTGTTATAGTCAAATTACATGTGATAGGTAATAGGAGTTTTTCAGCAGAATTTCTAACAGGAATAAAGTTACTGCATGATGTTAATAAATCAGAGAACCCCATACTATTTGTGTGTTACATATATAAATGGCCATTGCTATGATTTTAAATTAAAGCTTTTAAAATTAAAAGAAGTTTTGTTTTGCTTTAGAATAATATTCACATGGTACAGAATTCAAAAGGAACAAAAGTATGCTGAGAAAAGTTTTCCAGCTGTTTTTCTGACATCTAGTTCCTGTCCCTGGAGGGAGAATGTTACCAATTTTTTAACGTATCATTCCAATTCTAGCCTATATTTATTCAGGCAAATATGTGTGTGTGTGTGTGTGTGTGTGTGTGTGTGTGTAGTTTTTTTCTTTCTTTTCCCTTTTTCCCCTTTCCCCTTTCCTTTCCCCTTTGTTTTCTTTTAGCATTCTGTGTATGTTGTCCTGAATAGGTGTAGTTGTGATGCCACTAGTGAGTCTTTTCTGTACAAGCTCCCTGTTGCCTTTCATGTTGCACTGGCATGTTAGTTTGCTACAAAGAAAGCCCTCCAAGAGAGCTCTTAGAAGTTAATGTAGCCTTGTCATGGTGGAGACAATGTATAAATGGAGACTGTATTGGATATGGAATCATTATTTGGAAAACTATGAAAAACTATGTTTGGCTTCTTGTCCTGTCCTTACTGTTTTTGTAATCTGGAGCAAAAGTTACTTACTTCAAGCCTCAAATGGACATGAAAATACCCCCAAGGGTTGTTCTGAGAGTTAATAAAATGATTTGAAAACTAATGCTGTGTAACTACTAGGGTTATTTTTTTACTTCTACAATACACAGGTGGTTTACTCTGATACTCTATTGAGATAGAAAAGATGAGCATTTATTTCTCTTTATTTTCAGAGAGAGTAAGGCTTTTATTAAATGCTACCAGATAAAATTTGAGGAAATGTTATAACCATGTCCTTAACTGCACATAGTGTTTTATTTATTGGTTTTGGAGAGAGATAGAGATATTGATTTAATTTTTTGATTTGAGAGAGAGAGATCGATTTGTTGTTCACCCATCTATGCATTTATTGGCTGATTCCTGCATGTGCCCTAACTGGGTATTGAACCTGTAACCTTGACTTATCAGTACGATGCTCTAACCAACTGAGCTACTGGGCCAGGGCAATACCTAGTATTTTTAGTTAGGTTGTAGGAAAAGTTGGAAATAACTAGGAGGTTGAATTTCCAAAAATTTATTTTGGAAGTTCAGAAATCCTTCTCATGGATATATGAATTAACCTGTGTTTACCTTTGGTAGGCAAGAAGATAAGAGTACTCCTCATGATGAAGATAATGAAGAACTAGAAGAAGAGATGGATGATGGGCCACTGCTGGTTCCCCGAGTAAAAGTGGCGGAAGATGGTTCTATAATTTTAGATGAAGAAAGGTAAGTTATAGGAAAGAGAGAGATTGTGGTTTCATAACAGAAGAGATTGAGTTTCTCTATCTGTCATTGTTACTTAGACTCTGATATTTATATGTGCATAATGGATGTTATAAATAGAAAGGTATATTAGATTTATTTATAATTTTTAGCAGTTTTTATTTTTAAAACTTTTTAAAAATTGAATTTAGAGAGAAAGAGGGAAGGGGGAGAGAGAGGGAAGGAGACATCAATATATTGTTTCACTTATTTATGCATTCATCGATTGATTCTTATATGTGCCCTGACTGGGGATCAAACCCTCAACCTTGGTATTTTGGGATGATGACCTAACTAACAGCTACCTGGCCTGGGCTGTAATTTTTAGTAGTTTTTATAATTTTGTATTTGTATGAGAAGATGGTACTGCTGCCCTATGATCCATTAATCTACCACCGTTGTTTTACCTACTTTATTGGTAGTTGGGATGAGCTCCTGAGCTAATCACGTGCTGTCCTCCACTGAGAAAGATTTCAAAGACTGACTCAGTCTCAAAGCCAATATTCAAGTTTTCATATTATTAACTAATACCATATTCTGGTGTATGATGGTAATAATGAAAATGCAATGAAACACAGGTTTAACATATTTTCTATTTTTGTTATAGTGAGGTTAAATTCAGGTTCTAGTTTAATTTCTCAGTTATAACATTAAATTTCTCATATTTGGCATTGTGGAATTTAGTTGTTTTTCCAAAGTGTATTTTTTAAAAAAATAAATGACTTTTAGTAAGTAAATAAAAAAGATGAACAAAGTCTTCTGACAGTTTAATTAGTAAAAAATCATTTTATAGCCTATAAATTCTATGACAATTTAACATAAATGTAATACTCTTAATAATAATTGTGTTTACATGTTTTTTCCATTATTTTTGTGATGATGATTTTACAGTCATTAAATAATTAAAAGCACATTTAACTGCTTTGTGTGCAGCAATGTAAAACATAAATATAAAATGCTTATTTTTCTCAATATCCTTTGTTCAGTCTAGCATGATAAAATAATATGTATTAAATATAGGAGACATGTAGAAGTCAATATAACAAGTAACTTTTTAGGTGGCTCAAAGACATTTTCTAAATTTTATATTGCTTTTAAAGATTTTAAAAAGGCTCTGACTGGTGTGGCTCAGTGGATTGAGTACTAGCCTGTGAACCAAAGCGTTGCTGGTTTGATTCCCAGTCAGGGCACATGCCTGGGTTGTGGGCCAGGTCTCCAGTAGGGGGCGCGTGAGAGGCAACCACACATTGATGTTTCTCTCCCTCTCTTTTAAAAAAAATATATTTTATTAATTATGCTATTATAGTTGTACTGTTTTTTTTCTCCCCTTTATTCCCCTTTCCCTTTGCACCCCCCCACCAGCATTCTCCTACCCCCCTTAGTTCATGTCCATGGGTTGTACATACAAGTTCTTTGGCTTCAACATTTCCTGTAATACTCTTAACTTCTCCCTGTCTATTTTCTATCCACCAATTATGCTTCTTATTCCCTGTACCTTTCTCCCCATTCTCCCCTTCCTCCTTCCCCACTGATAACCCTCCATATGATCTCCATTTCTGTGATTCTGTTCTTGTTCTAATTGTTTGCTTAGTTTGTTTTTATTTTTGTCTTTCTTTTTGGGTTCAGTTGTTGAGAATTGTGAGTTTGTTGTCATTTTACTGTTCATAGTTATTGAACTTCTTCTTAGATAAGTCTCTTTAACATTTCATATAATGAGGGCTTGGTGATGATGAACTCCTTTAACTTGACCTTATCTGGGAAGCACTTTATCTGCCCTCCCATTCTAAGTGATAGCTTTGTTGGATAGAATAATCTTGGATGTAGGCCCTTGCCTTCAAGACTGCGAGTACTTCTTTCCAGCCCCTTCTTGCCTGCAAGGTTTTTTGAGAAATCAGCTGATAGTCTTATGGGAACTCCTTTGTAGGTACCCTATTTTTCAGACTATAAGATGCATTCCCCTGCAATTTGAGAGGAAAAGAGGGTGCATCTTATAGTCTGAATGTAGCTTACCTGGCTCACTGTGTGGCAGGGGACGGCGGTGGATTGGGGTCACAGGTTATTAAATGTTTTATCACATTGTTTACTTCAGAATATTTTTTCCTACTTTCCTCCTCTAAAACTTAGGTGCATCTTACAGTTCAGTGCGTTGTATAGTCCTGAAAATACGGTAATTGTCTCCTTTCCTGTTGCTGTTTTTAAGATTCTCTCCTCCTTGTTAATCTTGGGTAATGGAATTATGATGTCCCTTGGTATGTTCCTCCTTGGATCCAACTTCTTTGGGACTCTCTGAGCTTCCTGGACTTCCTGGAAGTCTATTTCCTTTGCCAGATTGGGGAAGTTCTTCATCATTTTTTCAAATAAGTTTTTAGTTTCTTGGTCTTCCTCTTCTTCTGGCATTCCTATGATTTGGATGTTGGAACATTTAAAGTTGTCCTGGAGGTTCCTAAGCCTCTCCTTATTTTTTATACTTATTGTTTCTTCATTCTGTTCTGGTTGACTGTTTATTTCTTCCTTCTGGTCCAAACCGTTGATTTGAGGCCTGATTTCCTTCCTGTCACTCTTGGTTCTCTGTACATTTTCCTTTATTTCACTTTTCATAGCTTTCACCTTTTCCTCTATTTTGTGACCATACTCAACCAATTCTGTGAGCATCCTGATTACCAGTGTTTTGAACCATGCATCTGATAGGTTGGCTATGTCTTTGTTGCTTAGTTCTGTTTTTGGATGTTCGATTTGTTCTTTCATTTGGGCCATATTTTTTTTGTCTTGGTGCACCTGTTACATAGTAAAGGGTGGAGTCTTAGATATTTGCCAGGGCGGGGCAAACTACTTCACTGCATTGTGGCACTGTGTATGGGGGTGGGGTCCGAGAGGGAACAATGCTCCTTGCTTGGCTCTTGCCTACTTTCACTCATTTCCCATGTGTTCCACAAGCAAATTGGGCTATTCTGGTGCTGATTCCCAGGTGGGTGGTTTTGTGTACATTCTAGGACCCCGTGGGTCTCTCCAATGAACTCCTGTGAGGCTGGGAGTCTCTCCCACCGCTTCAACCCCCATAGGTTTTTACAGTTAGAGGTTTTGAGGCTTTCTTTTCCTGGGCTGGAACCCTGGATTGTGGGGTCCGTCTCGCTCCCCAGTTGTTCCTCCTGGTTTCTCCACATGCAAATGTGGACCTCCTAGTCTGCCAGCCACCACTTTGCCTTGTGTTCTCTCCACCCTGGCTGCTTGTCTTCGCCCCCCACCTGTCTGAATGAATGTTTCTTCTTTAACTCTTTGATTGTTGAACTTCCATACAGTTTGATTTTCTGTCACTTCTGGTTATTTTTTATTTTTAAATTTGTTGCTGTCCTTGTTTTGGTTGTGTGAGGAGGCAAAGTGTATCTACCTATGCCTCCATCTTGGTCAGAAGTTCTCTTTCCCTCTCTTTTTCCTTCCCTTCCCCTCTCTCTAAAAATAAATAAAATCTTAAAAAAAAAGTTGGCATTTATTTTTACTCCCTGGCAGTTACATTTTATTTTTTTATATATTGATTTTGGAGAGAGAGGGAGGATAGAGAGACATTGATTTTTTGTTTCACTTATTTATGCATTCGTTGGACTTGTATATACTTGATGGGGATTGAATCCACAACCCTGGTGTATCTGTTCGATGCTCTAACCAACTGAGCTACCTGGCTAGGTCCCCTGGAAATCACATTTTAAGTGAAAATTAGATTCTTAGAAATTATGCAAACCTTAAATGTATATTGTACTTTTGATATGACTCTGCCATGTTCAATTTCAAAATGTCACTATACAAGTATCGTTTACTTGTTTTTAGTATTTTAAGTAGATCTATTTAAAATGTGTTTCTTTCAGTTTGACTGTAGAAGTTTTAAGGACAAAAGGTCCCTGCGTTGTTGAGGAAAATGACCCCATATTTGAGCGTGGTTCTACAACTACATATTCCAGCTTCAGGAAAAACTATTACTCTAAACCATGGTCAAATAAAGGTAACTAATTTTCATCTTAAATTGTGTAGGTCATTTATTTGAAATGAAGTGAGTTATTTTCTCTGGTTCTGAATTAAACCAGGTCTCCCTTAAGTAAATAAAATGGAAACTACCATGTTGTTTCTCTCAAGATAATTTTATTGACACCTCCCCTTTGCTCTCCCCCATTCCTGATGAAACCATGACTCTGACTTAGAAAGATTTTTAGAAATTAGCATTATGGTCATTCATTTTGGGTGGACTGTTTCTCTGTCAAATCAGTGAACAAAAAATAATGTTTCAATGGAGAATTAACACTATTTCTAATGCTTACAATAATGTTTTACCTCAGGTAGTATTGCATAATAAAAATTTTAAAACTAAAAATTATGTTGTTAAAAAAGTACAGATCTATTGCATGCTCTTGCTTATTACTTTTTATTGTAGAAATAAATACAGTCTACTTTGGGAAAAAAGTTCAAACACAACAGAATAATATAAAGGGAAAAGATTGTATACTTCCCTTCTCTGACTTCTTCAGTCCTGTTCTCTTGAGGTTGCTTCTGTCAAGGGTTTCTTATGTATGTTTCTAGTTACTTTCTCTCACCTACTACTAAGCACATCTTGGTTGCTTATGTAGCGGTAATACTGTATTGACTATTGCTGACTTTTGAGACTAGATAGGTAGAATGTCTTTTTTAAAAAAAATTCCAGCTGCTTTGGTACAAGCATGCAAATTTCTTATACCATGTTTTTATATAAAAGTTTAAAGATATTTAAAATTTTTTTAAATGTATTGATTTGAGAGAAAAAGAGAAACATCAATTTGTTGTTTCACTTATTTATGCGTTCATTGGTTGATACTTGTATGTGTCCTGACTGGGAATTAAACCTGCAACCTTGGCATATGGGGATGATGCCCTAACCAATGAAGCCATCTGACTAGAACTTAAAAAAGATGTTTTTAGATCCATGAGGTTCTTTACAACAAAATCGAATTCTGTCTATAATTTTGTACGTAGACATTTCTATGACTAAAGGTTTACTGAACTGTAATAAACTACTAAGTATTGTCAAACTTATTTTAATTCAAACTATATACTTAGGTAAGATTGTTTTCCTCTGAAATATTAAGAAAAATAAATTTTGCTCTGTCTAAATCTTCTTTTTTTACAGAAACAGATATGTTCTTTTTAGCCATCAGCATGGTAGGAACTGACTTTTCTATGATTGGACAGCTTTTTCCTCACAGAGCAAGGATAGAAATTAAGGTAAAGTAAACCCATTACATTTGTTGATTGGAAAGAGACTAAACATTACTAACATTTTCTTAACCTCTGATTTAAATCTCAGTCCATCCATTTTCACTATTATGTTTTTGGTAAACCTGTTTCTTTTTACAGGTCAAAAAGTAATATTTCTCAATTCCATATGAATACAATTTCCTTATCTTTAGTATTGCACGAGAGAGGACCCCAAAAACCCCCAGCATTATTTTCCGAAGGGTGGGCCCCTTGTAGTACAGTCTTTTCTGCTAGGTGAGTGTTCTAGGAACCCATCTGTACCAGTGTACTAGCTGGCATTGTTGTGAGAGGCCGCATTTGGCTTCGGCTTTAGTAAATTATTTCGAAGACTCTTTCATTGCGTTTGCCTATTTCATAATGGGTGATTTATGAGTGTACCTGCCCACACTGTGCTGAGTGTTCAGCAGTTTTTGACCAAAAATGGCATGGTCCCGGTGCCCCACCCTCATTCACCCGGTCTTGCCCTGAAAAACTTTTTTTGTTTCTCTGGGTGAAAAAAGTCCTGAAGGGAAACGTTTTGCTGGTGTGGAAGAGGAGCAATGAACGGTGGTAGGAGCACTAAAAGGTGTGAAAATTGATGAGTTCAAGAACTGTTTTGAGCAGTGGGAAAATCATCTCTATAGGTGTATTGCATTAAATGGAGAATATTTTAAAGGTGATTGAAGTTTAAATGTGTGAAGATAAATATACAGTTTTTTATAAATAAATAATGTTTTTTAATCCTCCCTTGTATTTTTTAATTTATATCTTGTCCCCTTCTAAAATGTCTTTGAGGGAGATCACTAAAGCCACTGAAACTAAGATAAAGGAAGAGTTAGATAATGAAGAGAGAGGATAAATGTACTAGAATATTTGGATTAATTGTAGCTTTTTGTTCACAAAATGTATTTGCTAAGAAGGCATGCAGAGAAGCATGCTGAATTACATAGTTATTATCTGATCTAACCATTGCTTTCTTCTTTTTATTTTTTTTTTTAAGATTTTATTTATTTATTTTAGACAGGGGAAGGGTGGGAGAAAGAGAGAGAGAAAGAGAGGGAGAGAAACATCAATGTGTGGTTGCTTCTCGTGCAACCCCCCACCAGGGACCTGACCTGGCCTGCAGTTCAGGCATATGCCCTGACTGAGAATCGAACCAGTGACCCATTGGTTCACAGGCTGGTGCTCAATCTGTTGAGCCACACCAGAGATGGCTAACCAACCATTGCTTTCTTAGGCCTCCTTAACTATGGGGCAACCAGTGACATTTTCAGCAAAAGCAGGGGTTTCAATTAGGACTTTAATATGCCTAAAAGGATGAGCTTTCTCTATTTATAGTTACTCTTGTTAGGGAACTTTATTACAAGTTTCCTGGGTTGGAATGCATTTGAGTGCATACTGTGTTGCTGTAGTGCATTTCTACATAATAGTGAGATCTTTAGCCAATTCTGGGCTTTTTCCTTCATTAGTTAAATGGACCATTATGAAAGATTTTTTTTTTCTGGTGGGCTAGGCATGGATTGATTACCTGAGGGATATTGTACGGTGTAATGGTTGTTACATTTCTACAAAAATTAGAAATTGTTTATGTTTTTTAATGTTGAGAACAAAATGTGAAGGCTAGAAATTGATTGTCTGGATGACCCGATCTGAGTAATTAATGATAAATTTGTCACTAGGGTATTTCTCTCAAAAATCCTTTAGACTGTTGACCTAAAAGTAAGTGTAGTTCTATCAGGTCTTTGGGCAAAGTGTAGAAAGGTGAAAATGGACTAGTGAACTACACTGATTTTTTTATATCTTTTAAAAAAAGATTTATTTTAATTTTATTTTTAGAGAGAGGAAGGGAGGGAGAGAGGGAGAAAAATATCAGTGTGTGGCTGCCCCTTGTGTGCCCCTCACTGGAGACCTAGCCCGCCACCCAGGCATGTGCCCTGACTGGCAGTCGAACTGGCAACCCCTTGGTTCATAGTTTGGTGCTCAGTCCACTGAGCCATACCAGCCAGGGCACTACACTGATTTTTTTTTGAATGTTGAACCAACCTTGGATCCCAGGGATAAGTTCCATTTAGTCATACTAAATTATTCTCTTTGTTTCTGAATTCTGCTATAGTCTGTCATATTTTCTTGAGGATTTTTTGCACCTTTGTTCATGATGTGTGTGTGTATATATATATGTATATTAGTATCCCTCATGACACACACACACACACACACACACACACGTATATCAGTATTTCTCACAGCTCAGGAGTCTGGAATTTCAAGATTAGGGTGCCAGCATAGTCAGGTTCTGTTGACAGCTGTCTTCTGGGTTGTAGACTTCTCATTGTTTCCGACCGTAGAGGAAAGAGGGCAAGAGCTCTTTTGGGTCCCTTTTATAAGGGCACTGATCCTATTTATGAGGTCTTTACCCTTATTACCTAATTATCTCCAAAATGATCCACCTCGTAATATCATCATAGTTGGGGTTAGGATTTCTTTTCTCTTTTTCTTTAAAAAAATTTTTTTTAGACCTTTTGACTCCCTTTATTCATTTTACTAACTCTCCACCACCCCCTGTCTCTGGCAACCACCAGTCTTCTCTATATCTACATTTTTTTTTTTTTTAAGATTCCAGTATATGAGAGATCATATGGTACTTGTCTTTCTCTGGTTTACTTCACTTAGCATAATACCCTCAGAGTCCATTCATGTTGTCACAGATGGTAACATTTTATTCTTTTTTATGGCTGAATAATAATTACTTTGTTCATTCATCTGTTGATAGACACTTTGGTTATTTCTGTGTCTTGGCTATTGTAAACAATGCTTTAATGAACATGGAGTACAGATATCTTTCTGAGTTAGTGTTTTTATTTTCTTCACATAAATACCCAGAAGTGGAATTGCTGGAGTATACAGTAATTCAATTTTTAAGTTTTTGAAGACCCTCCATACTGTTTTACATAGCAGCTGCACCAGTTTACATTTTCACTAACAGTGTACACAGGTTCCCTTTTTTCCTACATCCTTGCCAACACTTCTTTCTTTCTTTTTTGTTTTTTGATAATAGGTTTTCTAATAGGTATGAGTGATAGTTCATTGTGGTTTAGATTTACATTGGGTCATGTTTTTTTATCCAATGTGTCATTCTGCCTTTTAATTTAATTTTATTTCACACCAGTGTGGCAGTTGTGGTGGGGAGAGGGATATAAGGAGACTAAATGGCATTGGGAAAAAATACAATAAAAATAAGTTTTAAAAAATTTAATTTTATTTCTATGAGAGATGAGAAAATGTTTGTTTTCTTATGTTGACCCTTGATAAAAACAAAAATACAGAAACCAAAATGCCTGTTTTATATTTCTAGAATAATTTAGTTCATTTATACTTAATATAACAGTTGATATGGCTGTGTTTAAGTCTTCCATCTCACTATTTTCCATTTATTTCTTTTTTTTATTCTTTTTCTGCTGTTTTTAGGGTTAATCAAATATTTTTTGGTATTACATTTTATTTTTTCTGTAATACCACTTTATTTTTTTCTTTCATACTTTACAAATAAACTCTTTAAAATATAATTCCCCTTAATTGCTATCCTTTGTGCTATTATATATCTTATTTCTACGCATCTTATAAACTCTACAATGATCTTATTTTAAAGACTCTTTAGTATTTAGAGGAAATTGGGTAGAAAAAATAAACCAGTTTTTAATATTTAGCTACGTTTACTATTTTTGATGTTTCTCATTTCAGATGTCTGAACACCAGATCTGCTGTTTAAAAATTTCTCTGCTTTTATTATCTGAAAGTCTTTATTTCAGTCTACCTTTTTTTTAGGTACAGTGTTTTTTTTTTAATCCTCACTTGAAGATATATTTTTTGATTCCAGAGAGAGAGGAGGATGGGGGGAGAGAGAGAGATAGAGAGTGAAAGCAAGAGAGAATGGGAAAGGGAAAGAAAGAGGAAGGAAGGAAGGTATGGAGGGAGGTACATTGATGTGAGAGAACGTTGAGCAGTTGCCTCTGGTCTGCACATCAACTGGGTGCCTAATCTACAAACCAGGCATGTACCCTGACCTGGAATCGAACCTGTGACCTTTTGGTTTATGGGACTACCATCCAACCAACTGAGCTACACCAGCCAGGACTCGGTTTCAGTTTTGATGGAGACTTCTGCTAGATATATAAGTCTGGTTTGACAGATTTTTCTTCCATTGTTTTAAAAATGTCATTTCATTGTCCATCAGCATCCAGTGTTTCTGATGAAAAGTCCGTTATCATTCATATAATTTTTCCCCTCTATGTGACAAATTGTTTTTCTGTGTTTAGCAGTATAATTATGTTTTGCCTAGGGGTAATTTCTCTGATATTTTTCCTGCTTTGTCGTCTCCTTGGACTCTGCTTGCTTGTATTTCTCTGTGTCACATTGTACTACAAGTTATTAAAATTCTGTTTTTTTTCCAATTTTTTTTTTCTATTTCAGTTTGGCTAGTTTCTATTACTATGTTTACAAGTTCACTGACTTTTGATATTATTAATTTTATGTTAAGCCCATTCAGTGAATGTTGTATTTCTGATATTATATTTTTAATTTCCACTTGGTTATTTTTCTTAGTTTTTATTCCTCTGGTGAGATGTATCTATCTGTTCATTCCATATTTTCCTCTAAATTCTTAACTATGTTTAAATAGGTACTTGAATTATCTTGTTTACTAATTTCAAGATCTGAGTTGTGTTGGGATTGTTTTTATTCACTTTTTTAATGTACTTGTGGAATTTATTCAGTCAACAGATATTTATTTATTATTGTTTTTTAATTTAAATTATTTTACTCAGTTATAGTTGTCTGTATTTTCTCCCTACTCCTCCCCCACCTCCTCCAAACCCACCTCCCTTGCTTCCACTCTCCCCTTTCTTTTTGTCCATGTGTCCTTTATAGTAGTTCCTGAAAACCCTTCTCCCCACTATCCCCTCCACCCTCCCGTATTGACTTTCTTTTTATTTTCTTCACTGAATTACATTTTTCTATCTGTTGTCACATCTTGTGTGTTTTTATAAATTGTGTACTGGACATTGTGAGTGATGTGTATGCAGAGCCTGGATTATGGTATGATCCTTCAGAGTGCTGAGATTTGTTTCTAAAAGGCAGTTAACAAAAGGCAGCCCTTCTCATCCCTGTCAAGTCCTGGTTTTAGCCTTCCTTAAGATCTAGACTGGTCTTTACTCTGGGCTTCTCGTCTAAATGACAGAAAATAATTTGAGTTGCTGTTTTTCCAGTTCTCCAAGAATGGTCATATTAGTATCATTGTAGATCCCTAGGAGAGAAGGCAGTTCATTAATGTAGTGGGTGACCTAGGGCATTAGGGCTTAATTCTCATGCTAGAACCTTGACTAAGAAAAGCTGCTCTAGATTGTGATCTATATCTCTGAATGGTGGCTTTTCTGGCATCTGAGGTAAATGGGTGTAAACAAAGTCTTTTCATTCATGTGGGGCAGAACACTGTCATCTCACTGTGTTATGTGACTTCCTTTCATCTGGTATCTTTATTCTCATCCCTGTAGTAGCTGGTCTCCTAGGCCTCAAGCTCTGGGGCATATGCAACCTGGAGAGAACCAAGACATGGGGCACTTCTACCAAGCTTGTGAGGCTCCCTTTTAAATAGCTCTCTTCTCAAGAACACTGCCCCTAAAGATTCTGTACCTCCTTAGGTCAGCAGGATCTCTGTGCTCTGTTTGGTGTTTCTCCCCCTTTCATTGGTTAGGAAATTTAGCTCAGGCAGAGAGCCAGGGTAAATGTTGGTACATCTTGTGTTTCCCCTCTCTTCGGGATTGTGGGATTGTAGTCTTTCTTGTTCTGCCTCTTGTCTAGTGCATGAGGGCATAGAAATTGTTGCATTTATTTTGTTCCTTGTTAGTTATTTATGGTGTGTGTGGGGGATGTAGAACAAGCCTGTAACCAGTTACTTTGTCAGGCCCAGAGGTGGAAATTATAGAATTTATTTTATGATCATCAGATTTGGTCTGCAGTGGTTCCTGTCTATGAAATGAATGACTAATAACAATATAGTCTTCAAAAAACTTTTTAATAGTCTGAATTATATTCCCAATTAGGTAAAATATGATACAGCAGTATTTTAGAATTGAAGAATACCTAGAGCCTATTGGCATTTCTTTCAGGATGTATAATTCAGTGATTATAGCCTGTCACTTTTTATGGATATAACTTTTGTTAACTTTTGAGATGTTCAAAGAATAATTGATCTTTTAAGGGAGAAAGATGATCATTGAAAACTTTTATATTACTTGGTAAAAGTTTATGAAGAGAAAATTAAAATTGAGGGGTAATCTGTAAAAAGATGTTAAAGTCATAAGAAGTTTTTAAAGAATGGGCAAGGATAAACTATAGAGTCTAAGAATGTTCTCTTGAATGGTAAACAGGAAGGAAATGCAAGAAAATAGTTGCTTTAAAAACCAGATTAGTGGTTAGGTTCTTTTGGAGGGAAGATGTGGCCCATGAAGTAGTAGTTCCTTTGTTTTGTGTGCTTTTCTCTTTTTTTTTCAATAAAAAGTTTTATTTTTATATTTTTAATAAGAGCTTCAGACTACTGATCTATAGAAGGGAGAGATTAGCAGATTGCTCCCTCTCCCGGGATGTATATGCATGATGAGACATTCTGAGGCACACACTCACACCTCCTGGTATCCTGATGACCTGAGGATACATTGAGCAGTAAACCTTAACTATCCATTGTAATGGAGTTAATATGGAATGGTGCTGGGAATGGGGCATGAGGAAATGTGCCTTAATGTAAAGAAGGTTCCAAAGATAAACTTGGCCCGTTTCAAAATTTTGCATAGCTGTTTCTTTACAGTCTCCCCTCCATGCCATTAAAAATGTATTAGAATACAGCCCTGGCTGCCGTAGCTCAGTGGATTGAGTGTGGGCTGTGAACCAAAGTGTTGCAGGTTCAATTCCCATCAGGGCACATGCCTGAGTTGCAGGCCACGGCCCCCAGCAACTGCACATTGATGTTTCTCTCTCTCTCTATTTCTCCCTCCCTTCCCTCTCTAAAAATAAATAAATAAAATCTTTAAAAAAACTGTTAAAAATGTATTAGAATAATAATGTAATAGGTTTAACTTGATATGCATGTTAGTTTTTAAAGAGTTAGTACTGGGTAGCTTAATTGATTATAGGTTTGATCTGTTTCTATGCTAGAGGACTTCATTTTTTCTATCTGTAAATGAAGCCTTCATTGCTGATTCATGCTAGTAGTAATCATAAGGAGAATCAGGAAACTCAGTATAAATCTTTCATACTTATTTTTAAGAGGCTAAAGGTTAAGTAACGTGTCTGTTGGCAAAGGCATTTTTATTTGAGAATTATATGTTAATGTAAGCATTTCATTTTAACACTTATTTTTTTAACGTAATTCTCACTTGTTTAATGGGAGAAAATTATAGCACTTTTTGTTTTGTTAATAGAATAAATTTAAACGTGAAGAGAAAACAAATGGATGGAGAATAGACAAAGCATTCCGTAAGTATTAAGACTTTTTTATAATGTATTATTTGGAGATCCTAATAAGTTACCAATCTTTTGTCTTTGGTTCCAGTGTGTTTTAGATTTGTTTTGTCCTAATATGTCATAGAAAGAATAAGAGTGGAAATTTTCCTCTTGAGCAGTGCAGGACTGGCTGTTGATTTAGATCTATAGATAAAGGATAGCTAAATTATCAAGAAGAAAGCAAGTGGAGTTTAGGAGGTCACAGATGGCCTGAAGATACTATTTCTAAGTGCTCTTTATTCTGAAGGAGCTTTATTCAAGAAGGAGTTGATTGTTTCTGGAAGATACTGTACTATAGATGCTTCCTTCCAGCATTTAGTCTGTCATTCCATCAACAATACTGACCACCTGCTATGTGCTAATAATGTGTAGGCATGGAGTATATAATGATGACAAGACAGATGAAAATCCTGCTTTGATATAAAAGCCTTCAGTCTAATTGGGTGGGGGAAGGGTTATAGCCTATAAGTGTGGTAATTTCAGGTAGTGATTAATTTCCAAGAGGAAGAAAAAAGAGGGAGTTAGGTGTGTGGATATTTAGATTGGCTGGTCAGGGAAGTTCTGTTTGAAGAAATGCCATTTGAATTTACATCTGATTTGAAGGAATGATGTATACCTTTCAGCTTCTAAATTAGGTGTCCATCCTTTTGGCGTCTCTGGGCCACACTGGAAGAAGAGTTGTCTTGGGCCACACATTAAATAGTTTGCAACACATTATCACAAAAAAGCTCATAATGTTTTAAGTAAATTTATGATTTTGTGTTGGGCTGCTTTCATAGCCATCCTGGGCCGCATGTGGCCCACCAGCCATGGGTTGGACACCCTTGTTCTAAATAATAGCCTCATTATAGTTAACATTTTCTACTTTTAAATCCAGAAATAGACATCAGGGGATCTGTAAAGAAAAACAATTAAATGTACTGTATAAAGTAGTTCCTGTATTCTTTGAAAGATGATTATCAGTGTTTCATGATTAATAAATGTATTCAATGTCTATTTGTTGTAGTGCTTATCTTAGGAAAAAATCTAAAGAGAGGACCTAGATTTTAGAGCATGAATGTTTATTTAATGAATAAATACTAAGTAAGGTAAATGAGTGGACCCTACACCCCATGTTGTATTGGGTCCTTAGGAAAACAACTTTCAGACATGGCTCTTGGAAGATCTGAAATACTGTGGTCCTCAGTCCTCTCCATTTTAGAGAAGTGGTCCTGAAACTTTTTATTATGTTTTACATGTTATAATCAGAAAATAATTTATAAATCTGTAAATTGTCTTTTATGGGGTATGGAGCCATTATTAAAACCATTATAGTAGATACCTTTAAAATTGATTGATTTTGGTGCTTTGTAATGGAAAATTAAAAAAAAAAAACCAAAATGGTTTTCTAGAACTTATATTTCAAATTCCTCCAAGCACCTTTATGGGTTATTTTAGTGCTGTATTTTTTACCACCATTGTGGAAGGTCAGAACAGGTAAAGGCTGAGTCTACAGTAAAACAGGGCCTTCAGAAATCCCAGGTTTGGGCCAGATTTCCTGAGGCTGATTTATTTTTGTTTTGGTATATACCTCTTTTTGAGGCCATCTTCAAATCATCTTATAATCAAACTAATCTTGGAGCTTATGTATATAGAGCATCATTTTCTCTATATTCACTATATTTTTATTTTATTTTAAAAAGATTTTATTTATATATTTATTTCTAGAGAAGGGAAGGTAGGGAGAAAGAGAGGTAGAGAAACATCAATGTGTGGTTGCCTCTCCCGTGCCCCCAACTGGGGACCTGGCCCACAACCCAGTCATGTGACCTGACTGGGAATCGAACTGGCAACCCTTTGATTTGCAGGCTGGTGGCACTCAATCCACTGAGCCATGCCAGCCAGGGCTATATTTATATATTTTATTATACTTTTAGAGTAGAGCTAACTTAGGCAAGGATTTCACTCCAGTAGTGGATTTATTTCTGATTTGCTCACAAATTGCTCTTTCTGATACAGTGCTGTTGATGGGTATTTAGTGAGAGTGGTCCTGATCAATATATTCATTTGCTTTCCACTTTGCTAATATTTGGAAGAGTAGAATTAATAGTAATAAAGTGAGGGCATGTGGTGGTACATAGACTTTTGAGGACTTCTTAGTCCTAGGTTTTCTTAAAAGCTGATTTATAATTAATACACAATGCAGTTTGTAGTGTGGTGTAACCACCACCCAAAATGATGTATTTCCCTTTCTAGTCAGTCTCCACTGATATCCTGACCCAGTCAACCACTATTTTCATTTGAAGCATCATAGATTAGTTTAGCTTGTTTCAGAATGTTTTATTCATGGAATCATACAGTGTGTATTTTTTTGTGCCTGGCTGCTTTCACTCATCATGTTTTCTTTTTTAAGATTTTATTTATTGATTTTTAGAGAGAGAAGAATGGAGGGAGAAAGAAAATGAAAAAATATCGGTGTGCAAGAGAAACATTGATTGATTGTCTCTCTCATGCCCCCAGCCAGGGGCCTGGTCCACAACCCAGGCACATGCCCTGACTGTGAATTGAACTGGTGATATTTTTATTTGCAGGCTGGTGCCCAATCCACTGAGGCACACCAGCCAGGGCTCATCATGTTTTTTTGAGATTTCAACTCAAATCATTAAAAAAAAAAATAGTTTGTTTCTTTTTATCTTTTTATTGCTCAGTGGTCTTACCATGGGACTGTATTATAGTGACTAGAATTGTTTATCCATTCCCCTGTTGATAAGCCCATTTGTAAAAAATTGCTTTTGTAAAAAATTTATTTGTTCATGAGAGGGAGAGAAAGAGAGAGAGGGATTAACTTGTTGTTCCACTTACTTAGGCATTCATTGGTTGATTCTTGTATGTGCCCTGACGTGATTGAACCTGCAATCTTAGCATATCAAGACGATGCTCTAACCAACTGAGGTACCCAGCCAGGGTCCCATTTGCTTTTGATGTTACCATACTTAAATAAAAACTTGAAGGTCCTTTTTCTTTCTTTTTTTTTTAAACAGAGGAAAAGCGTCCTTTTGACTTCAATTTTTTTGCTCATTTGCTTCAGAAAGTTCTTGCTGAGGAAGAGAAAAGAAAACAAAAATCCATTAAAAATCAGAGTTTAAAGGAGAAGAAATCCTCTAAACCACGGAAAAATGTAAAAGGTATTTATTTCATAAGAAAGTGTGTTATTTTCCTTAATAGACTTGCAACATTGTTCCTCAAGTCTTTGAGTAACATGTAATTCAGGTACTTGAGATCATCCAGGTATTCCAGTTACCGGCCCCAAACAGCAACTCTCTTAAATTTTTTTATTGTCATGTCTGGGCTATTTGACATCTTTGTTGCATCTAAAACATAGTTGTAACAGTATTAGAGTTTTGGAGTGTCATTTTTGGTTACTTATTTTTCTCTGTGAAAATCTGACACAAAATTCTAATGTTAAAAAATATGAAACTCATACTTTGGACTTGACTGGATTGTATTGTTTGAGCATAACATTTTTGAGGGTTACTGTTGACTTGTAACAGGTAGAAAATGGTTTCTATGTAGGTTTTTAACTTTTTTAAATTTTTAGTCTTATATTTTCTTAACTATTTAAACTCTGATCTAATGAGGACAATGTTTAGCTATAATCACATAATATAACGAATGTTGGAACTGCAGGAAACCTTATGTTAGCTAGTCCACACCCCAGCCCCTTTCTCTTTGTTTTAATTACCCAGAAATAGTCCTGCAGATCCTATGTCACTTTTTTCTAAGGTCTCACAGTGTTAGTGGTAGCAGAGGCAGAACTCAAACTTTGAACTGAGAGCCTTGTTAGGGTTCCCAAGACCACCCCGCAGGTGTGATTATTTGGTAGGAGGACTTATTTGGTCATAGGACTTAGTGTACAGTTGTACTAACAGCTGAGATTTATTACAGTCATAGAGTACAGAGTAAAATTAGCAAAGGGAAAAGGCAGAGGGGTCAAAATCTGGGGGAACCCATGTACATGCCTTTGGGAATTCTTTCCCAGTGGAGTCACACAGGGTAATTTCCCTATCACCAAGTTGTCATAAGATGTGTAAAATGTTGTGTACCAGGGAAGCTTGTAAGAAACTCTGCCCAAGGATTTTATTGGAGGCTGGTCATACCCTCTGCCTGGCATGTACCAGAATTCAAGACTCCCAGAAGGAAAGCAGTTGTTCAACATAAACCACATTATTTGTATATATAGCTTAGGTATAGTGAGCCACTTGTATCAGGTAGGCAGATGGGAGCTCTCCCCAAACCTGAGCTTCTAGATGTAGGCAGTGGGCCAGCCTTTTTAAGTAGACCTTTCAAAAGCTAGCCTGCTATGTTTACTCTCTTCTGCATAGAGTCAATTTAGAATTTCCATTTCTGAAGTGTGGTACCTACATCTTTGAAAAAGTAGTATTGATAATTGCAAAGTTATTTCATTCTTCAGATGTATTAATGTTGTGATTATCTTGTTACAGTTGATAGTACAAGTAACTCACTTATTGTGAAAAAATTTCAGATGTATTATTACAAGTGTCAGAATTTAAAAATTGCTGATTATTATTCTGATAGAGAATAAATCAAGTGTTATTTTCTTAGTTTCAAAATTTTGACTTTTTTCACAAAAATGACATTGAATTTTATTATTTTTTTTTAAGATTAGATATTTTTAGAGTTGTCTCATCAGCCATGGTTGTGAAGTTTGCTGTTTTAATTTGGATGCTGTTTCCATGGTGATTTCTATTTTTGGTTTTTAAATTATTTCGTTTTCATGTTTTGATACAGTTGACTAATACTTCAAAGGAAAAGCACTAGACGTTATTTAAAAATATATGTTAAAAAGGAGACAATACAGGATATAAAATTCTTGAACTCTCTTTCCTCCCCTGCCAATCAGATTCTTCAGATTTTTCTAGGGATAACTATTACTCAGTTCTTTTCTGTGCATATATATGTGTGTTCTTAGAGTATATGAAATTGTTTTTGTTTAATAAAAGTGAGGTCATATTATATGTGTTGTTTTGTAACTTGATTTTTTAAAAATGTAACAATATTTTTTGAAATCTTTTACAGCACTACATGTGAGCCTACCTTATTATTATTATTTACTGCATGGATTTTAATGGCATAAATGTAACATTAGAACTTACTTAGTTGTTCTCTCTTGGGCATTTGTCTTCAAAATTTTGCTCATACAAATAATACTAGAGAGGATATCCTTGAGTATTTCTCTTTTGTACCTTTAAGAATTTTTCTGTAGGTTTTTTACATATTTAAAACTATTTCTCTTATTTTCAGTGAAAAAGGTTGCCAGTGAAGTAGTGAATGAAAATCCAGATGAATCTGTGAATGCTAACATTTCAGGCACAGAAGAGTCTCAAAAGGATGCTCAGACAGTTCAAGAACAACAGCCTCTGATTTCGTCAGGGCAGGATTCAGAACAGATTGCATTAGAACCAGACCTAAATCAAAAGAAAAGGAGAAGAAAAAATCAAGATGAAGTTGGTAACCAAGAAGTAAAAAGTCTTTCAGGAAATGCCACTGTTCAGCCAGGCCCTTCTAAAGGAGAAAACCAGAAAAGTAAGTTTTAAGTTTCTTAAATATTTTAATAGCCCTTATATTATTTGAGGACATCCATACAGTAATATGTGTAACATAAATGGCTTCCTTTGGGATAGTAGTAATTATTAATGCTTATTTATTGATTCTATATTTTTGTAGTGTGTTAAATTCTTTTCTTTTTAATTGAGTAGGAAAAAAGTTGTTAAAAAATCCCAAGCCTAAATGGAGAGATTTTTTCTCCAGAGTTTGTCTCTGAGATGTATTACCTCCTATGTATTCCCATTAACAATGATAAGAAGTCACATTTATATACTGCAGGTTCTTGAATAATGTGATTTCATTCAACATAATTTTTTACAGCTTGATGAGATGCTATAAGGACTTAACTCTTTATTACATCAATTAGCTTCTTGTAAAATTGGTTCTGTTACTTCATTTTGCTGCAGGTCCACGAACCTATTGACAATCCCCAGGATAATAGTTAAATGTATATTGCTTGTGCCTGTTAATAAATTACAGGTTTTCATGTTACCTTTTCAGAGCACTTTTGTGAACCCACAATAAGTTGTTTAATTTCTATGAAAGAGCTACTGGAATAAGTATTCCCATTTTTTCATTTTTTAAACTTCCTTAGAATGCAGGCATATTGACTCTCATGAGTTGCTAGGGAATGAAGACTAAGAGTTTAGGGAAGTCTTGATCTCTTTCCTTAAGTCTGTGTATAGGTTCCTGAACAAAGATAAGCAAGTAAAGAGAGGAGAAAAAGATCGTAGCAGATCATAACAGCCTTTCTATGGAATTTAAGTATTACATAGTTCAACTTCACCACTAAGATTTAATGAATGAGTTATTGTAGATAGCAAAATATGATTTACAGGAATTACAATATGTTCTTTTGTGGCTTACTATTAAAGACATTACATGTAAAGCAGAATAGCTCAGTGATGAAGAAATTGGGCTTTGGAAATGGTGTAGACTTCAGTTTAAATTCTAACTCTTTTATTTGGTAAGTATGATGGGCAAGTCACTTAAGATCTTTGAACTTGTACTTTTGGCCAAGATAGAGGTGTAGGTAGACACACTGTGCCTCCTTCCACAACCAAAATAAGGACAACAATAATTTAAAAACAAAATAACAACCAGAACTGACAGAAAATTGAACTGTATGGAAGTCCGACAACCAAGGAGTTAAAGTAGACGCATTCATCCAGAGCAGTAGGCGGGGTGGAGTTGAGCACCCAGTGGAGAGGGGTTGCGGCACAAAGAGCGGTGGGACTGGGCATGCAAGACGGAAGCGTGTGGACCCTGGGTGCGCAGGCGGCGGCTGGCAGACCCCAGGTGTGGGGTGGCAACGGGCAGATCCAGTGAGGCAGCGATTGTGAAGCCAGGCACAGCATGGCTGGCTGACCAGGTAGTCCCACATTCACATGCAGATAAACCAGGCGAGGCTGGGGAGTGAGACAGACTGAGGAACCTAAGGTCCCAGCGCCAGGAAAGGCACCAATTGGGGATACCTGTGGGGATTGAGGGGCAGGGAGAGACTCCCAGCCTCATGGGAGACTTCATTGGAGAAACCCACGGGGTCTTAGAACGTACACCAGCCCACCCACATGGGAATCAGTACAAGAAAGGCCTAGTTTGCTTGGAGGAAGCGGCTGAAGGGACTGAAATCCGACTGAGAGCAGAGCAAGCGCCAGTGTTCCCTCTCGGACCCCGCCCCCACATACAGCAGCACAACCCAACCACTGGGTTGCCCTGCCCTGGTGAACACCTAAGACTCCACCCCTCATACATAAATGGCATGACAAGGCAAAAAAAAAAAAATGGCCCAAATGGAAGAACAGATCAAAGCTCCAGAAAAAATACAACTAAGCAATGAAGGGATAGCCAACCTGTCAGATGCACAGTTCAAAACACTGGTAATCAGGAAGCTCACAGAATTGGTTGAATTCGGTCACAAATTAAATGAAAATATGAAGGCTACGGTAAGTGAAATGAAGGAAAATACACAGAGAACCAATATTGATGGGAAGGAAACTGGGACTCAAATCAATGGAGTGGACCGGAAGGAAGAAGGAAACAACCAAACAGAAAAGAATGAAGAAACAAAAATTAAAAAAAATGAAGAGGCTTGGGAACCTCCAGGGCATCTTGAAACGTTCTAACATCCGAATTATAGGGGTACAGAAGGGGGGAAGAGGAAGAGCAACAAATTGAAAACTTACTTGAACAAATCATAAAGGAGAACTTGCCCAATCTGGCAAAGGAAATAGACTTACAGGAAGCCCAGAGAGTCCCAAAGAAGTTGGACCCAAGGAGGCATACACCAAGGCACATCATAATTACATTAGCCAAGATAAAAATGAAGGAGAGAATCCTAGAAGCAGCAAGAGTTAAGGGGACAGTAACCTACAAAGGAGTTCCCATCAGACTGTCAGCTGATTTATCAAAAGAGACCTTACAGGCAAGAAGGGATTAGAAAGAAGTATTCCAAAGTCATGAAAGGCAAGGACCTACATCCAAGATTGCTCTATCCAGAAAAGCTTTCATTTGGAATAGAAGGGCAGTAAAGTGCTTCTCAGATAAGGTCAAATTAAAGGAGTTCATCATCACCAAGCCATTATTTTATGAAACGTTAAAGGGACTTATCTAAGAAAAAGAAGATAAAAAAACATGCGTAGTAAAATGACAACAAACTCACAATTATTAACAACCACACCTAAAACAAAAACAAAAACAAACTAAGCAAACAACTAGATTAGAACAGGAGCAGAACCATAGAAATGGAGATCACATGGTGGGTTAGCAAGAGGGGAGTGGGGGGGAAAGGGTACAGAGAATAAGTAGCATAGATGGTAGGTAGGAAATAGTGGGAAGGCAAGAATAATATGGGAAATGTAGAAGCTAAAGAACCTAGGACACATGGACATGAACTAAAGTGGGGGAATGTGGGTGGGAGGGGGTGTGCAGGGTGGAGGGGAATGAAGGGGGGAAAATGGTACAACTGTAATAGCATAATCAGTAAAATATATTTAAAAAAGTCTTTGAACTTAGATTCTTTTTCTTATTGATGGGTTAATATTAATACCTTTTAGTAGGATGTTTTAAATATTAAATGAAATATTTATCTGATGGACATACAGTTTCTGTCATTTAGTTAAGTACTCAAATGATAGCTATTATTATGTTATTAGTTATGACACTTCTGAAAGAGCAGAAGAGCCAAATCCACTATTTCCTACCTAGACATATTTAACCACTTAAACTTTAAAGCAAGATAAAAGAAGGATGCTATAAACTGCCCAAGAAACTTATGCTCGTCCTCAAAATACAAATAGTTGTAAATTGATTGATTTTTCATTAATGCTGTAAAAATATAATCTATCTCTTGCATAGAAGAACTTGAATGTTTAATGGATTAATGATTTATAGGAAGAGGTGGTATTAATGGTGTTATATGTAAATTCCTTTGAACTTTAAAATACAGATGTTTCTGCTGTCAGTTTTTAGAATACCATGCATTTTGTATTCGTAGATAAATGTCAGTCTTTAAGACCTGAGATAAATGAAGATGAAGTCAATAAGGAACAGACACTTTCCTGTGTACAGAACACCAGTGAAGTTGCAGATCTATCCTCCAGGGACAAAGTTGTGAAAAAAACTGACCCTATTCTTTTATCAAGGTATTTTATATATTTTTCCTGACTTTGTCAGCATTTTATGTCAGTTACTAAGAGAGGAGTGTGAAGTCTCCAACAATGATTATGATTTGGCCTGTGTTTCTTTTCAATTCTATTTGTTTTTCTTATGTATTTTCAGACTCTGTGTTAGATGCATACATATCTTGGATTATTGTCTCTTCTTGATGAAATCACCCTTTTATCATTTGTGATATCATTCTGATACTGCCTTTTTTAAAAAATGTATTTTATTATGCTATTACAGTTGTCCCAATTTTCCCCCTTTGCCCCTCTCTACCGGGTACCCCTCATTCCTTCTGGCAATCCTCTACCCCTTAGTTAATGTCCATGGGTCATGCATGTAAGTTATTTGTCTACTCCACTTCCCATACTGTTTTTAACATCCCCTGGTCTATTCTTTACCTACCAATGTGTACTTCTTAATCCCTATACCTTTTCTACCATCCTCCCACTTCCCCCTCTCAGCTGATAACCCTCCATATGATCTCTATATCAATGGTTCTGTTTCTGTTCTGCTTGTTTGCTTAGATTGGTGTTTAGAATCAATTGTTGATAGTTGTGAGTTTATTGCCATTTTAATGTTCATAGTTTTGATCATCTTCTTTTCTTAAATAAGTAAGTCCCTTTAACATTTCATATAATAAGGGCTTGGTGATGATGAACTCATTTAGCTTTCTTTACCTTATCTGGGAAGCACTTTATCTGCCCTTCCATTCTAAATGATAGCTTTGCTGGATAGAGTAATCTAGGTTGTAGGTCTTTGCTTTTCATCACTTTCAATACTTTTTTCCAGTCCCTTCTAACCTGCAAAGTTTCTTTTGAAAAACCAGTTTACAGTCTTACGAGAATTCCTTTGTAGGTAACTGTCTGCTTTTCTCTTGCTGCTTTTAAGATTTTCTCTTTATCTTAACCTTTGGTATTTTAATTATGATGTTTCTTGGTGTGGTCCTCTTTGGGTCGATCTTGTTTGGGATTCTCTCTGCATTTTGGACTTGTGTGTCTGTTTCCTTCACAACATGAGGGAAGTTTTCCTTAATTTTTTTTTCAAATAAGTTATACATTTCTTGCTCTTTCTCCTCTCCTTCTGGCACCCCTGTGATTTGAATGTTGATATGTTTGAAGTTGTCCCAGAGACTCCTTAGCCTGTCCTTATTTTTTTGAATTCTTTTTTCTTCTTGTTATTCTTTTTTTTGTCGTTGTTATTTCAACTTTTTTTTTATTGTTGTTCAAGTACAGTTTTCTGCCTTTTCCTGCCACCCCTCCCCACCACCTCAACCCTCCCCATCTTCTAGCTGTTCTGATTGAATGTTTTTTTCTTCCTTATGTTCCAAATCGTTGATTTGATTCTTGGCTTCATCCACTGAACTGTTGGTCCCCCATAAAGTTTTCTTTATTTCATTTAGTGTAACTTTCATTTCTGCCTGAGTCTTTTTTGTGCTGTTGAAGTACCCAAAGAGTTCCTTGAGTATCCTAATAACCAATGTCTCAAGCTCTGCATTTCATAGATTGCTTATCTCCATTTTGTTTAGTTTTTTTTCTGGAGTTTTGTTGTGTTCTTTCATTTGGGCCATATTTCTTTGTCTCTTCATTTTGGCAGTCTCCCTGTGTTTGTATCTGTGTATTAGGTAGAGTTGCTTTGACTCCCCATCTTGGTAGTGTTGCCTATTGTAAAAAAGTGCATGGGTAAGTTGAATGGGGCAGAGCCTTAGGTAATCACCAGGGTGAGGCAAATCATGTGAACCAGGTTGATGGAGTCTCTGATATAGTGTCACTGCTTGTGGCTCTGTGTGGGGGAAGGCTCAGAAAGGAAGCAGTGCAGCCGCCTGGCCTCTGGAGTTTTGTCTAGGAGGAAGCTGTCCTCCAGTACTTGTCCTGATGCCAGACACTTCCATTTCTCCCTGTGTGCCACTGGTGCAGCTCCAGCTGGTTTTGCAGTGCTGAAGCCTAGAGGGAGTGAGTCTGCATACGTTCTAAGTCCATTGCACACCCCTTAAGAGGAGACTCCTGAGAATCCTTCAGTTTCTTTGCTTCCCCAAACCCCACTGGTTATTATAGCCAGAAGTTGTAGGACTTACCTTCCTGGCATTGGACCCCTGGCAGGGTGGTCTGGTGTACGGCTGGGATTCCTTGCTCCTGAGGTGTCCCTCCTGATTTTTATCTACCACATGTGGGTGTGGGACAGCTTGTTCTGTGTCTGCATGCCTCCACACCTCTCAGCATGTCTCCAAGTCCTGACCAGATGAATGTGACTTCTTTAATTCCTTGGTTGTCAGACTTCCATAGAGCTTGATTTTTTGATGATTCTTGGTGATATTTCTTTTGTAGTCTAGTAGTAATTTTTGCTGTGGCTGTATGTGTAGGTGAGCGATGTTTACCTATACCTCTCTCTTGACTGGAAGTCCACCCATTTCACCTTTTGTTCTGATGCTTACTTTGCCACTATAGCTTCTTTGTGATAGTGTTTTCATGGGTTTGTCTTCTTTATAAAGACTTTCTCTTGCTCTCTTTTTTTTTTTTAGCAGTTTGAGTGTGGCGTATCCTGCTGTCTGAGTTTTTTTGTTGTTGTTTTTTAAATTGTGGTTAAAAAAATATGATATGAGGTCTCTCCTAACAAATTTTTAAGTGTATATAGTACAGTATTGTAAATTATAAGCACAGTGTTGTAGAGCAGATCTCTTTAACTTTTTCATATTGCATGACTGAAATGGTATATCAATTGAACAGAAACTCCTTATTTCCTTCGTAGTGTCAGCCCCAGACAACCACCATTCTATTTTATGTTTCTATATGTTTGATTGCTTTAGATATCTCATATTATTTGTCCCTCCATGACTGGTTTATTTCACCTGGCATAATATTTTTAACATTCATCCATGTTGTAGCATAATACAGGATTTTTTATTTTTTAAGGATGAATAATATTGCATTTTGTACATATCACATTTTCTTTATTCACCTGTCAGTAGCCATTTAGGTTGATTTCATCTCTTAGCAGTTGTGAATAATGCTGTAATAAATATGGGAGCACAGATATCTGTTTATTCTATTTTCAGTTATTCTAGATAAATACCCAGAAAGATTATATGATAGTTCTATTTTTAATTTTTGCAGGAACCTCCATACTGTTTTTATAGTGGTTGCACCATTTTATGTTTCCACCAACAATGAACAAGTATTCTGGTTTCTTTACATCTTTGCTAACACTCTTTAAAAAAATTATGGCCATCCTAATAGGTATGAGATGCCTCATTGTGGTTTTGATCTGTATTTCTTTGATGATTAGTGATATAAGCATCTTTACATATACCTGTTGGCCATTTGTATGTCTTGGAGAAATGTTTGTTCAGGCCCCTTTCCCATTTTTTAGTTGAGTTATTTGTGTTTTTGTTCCTTTTATATATATCTTTTCTTTTTTAAAATATATTTTACTGATTGTGCTACTACAGTTGTCCCATTCCCCCCCTTTATTCCCCTCCACCCTGCATACCCTCTCTCACTCACATCCCCCCCTTTAGTTCATGTCCATAGGTCATATATATATAAGTTCTTTGGCTCCTACATTTCCTGTACTATTCTTAACCTCCGCCTGTCTATTTTCTACCTACCATTTGTGCTACTCACTCTTGGAACTTACCCCCGTCTCCCACTCCCCTGTTGAGAACCCTCTATGTGATCTCCATTTCTGTGATTTTGTTCCTGTTCAAGTTGTTTGCTTAGTTTCTTTTTGTTTTTGTTTTTTTAGGTTTGGTTGTTGATAGTTGTGAGTTTGTTATTTTACTGTTCATATTTTTGATCTTCTTCTTCTTAGATAAGTCCCTTTAACTTTTCATGTAATAACAGTTTGGTGATGATGAACTCCTTTAACTTGACCTTATCTGAGAAACATTTTATCTGCCCTTCCATTCTAAATGAAAGCTTTGCTGGATAGAGCAATCTTGGATGTAGGTCCTTGCCTTTCATGATTTGGAATACTTCTTTCTAGCCCTTTCTTGCCTGTAAGGTCTCTTTTTAGAAATCTACTGACAGTCTTAGGGGCACTCCTTTGTAGGTAACTGTTTCCTTTTCTCTTGCTGCTTCTAAGATTCTCTCCTTATCTTTAATTTTGGCTAATGTAATTATGATGTGCCTTGGTATGTTCCTCCTTGGGTGTCCAACTTCTTTGGGACTCTGAGTTTTCTGAACTTCCTGGAAGTCTATTTCCTTTGCCAGATTGGGGAAATTCTCCTTCATTATGTGTTCAAGTAAGTTTTCAATTTGTTGCTCTTCCTCTTCCCCTTCTGGTACCACTATGATTTGGATGTTGGAACATTTGAAGATGTCCTGGAGGTTCCTAAACCTCTCTTCATTTTTCTGAATTCTTGTTTCTTCATTCTGTTCTGGTTGTATGTTTCTTTTTTCCTTCTTGTCCACACCATTGATTTGAGTCCCAGTTTCCTTCCTGTCACTGTTGGTTCCCTGTACATTTTCCTTTATTTCACTTAGCTTAGCCTTCATTTTTTCATCTAATTTGCAACCATATTCAACCAATTCTGTGAGTATCCTGATTACCAGTGTTTTGAACTGTGCCTCTGATAGGTTGGCTATCTCTTCATTGCTTAGTTGTATTTTTTCTGGAACTTTGATCTGTTCTTTCACGTGGGCCATTTTTTTTTGTCTCTGTGTGCCTGTTACGTAGTAAGGGGTGGAGCCTTCAGTGTTCACCAGGGCGGGGCAACCCAGTGGCTGCATTGTATGTGGGGAGAGGTCTGAGAAGGAACAATGGCTCTTCCTTTACTGTCTACCAGTTTTCAATGACTTTCTCCTCTTCCCACAAGCAAATTAGGCCCTTCTGGTGCTGATTCCTGTGTGGGTGGGTTTGTATATGTTCTAGGACTCTGTTGGTCTCTCTGATGAGCTCTCCTGTGAGGCTGGGAGTTTTTCCCGCTGCTGCCTTAACCCCCACAGGTGTTTTCAATCAGAGGTTTTAAGGCTTTATTTCCCAGCATTGGAACCCTGGGTTGTGTGGTCTGTCTCGCTCCCCAGTTGTTCCTCCCGGTTTATCTGCACATGAATGTGAGACCACCCACACCACCAGCCACTGCCTTGTGGGGTCCACCAGCTGCCACTTTACTTGCTCTGGTCCTCCAGCTGCAGCCTTGCAGCGAGTCCTCTCTGCGTGGCTGCCTGTCTCTGCTCCTCCTACTGGTCTGGATGAGTGTTTCTTTAACTCCTTGGTTGTTGGACTTCCATACAGTTCGATTTTCTGTCAGTTCTGGTGGTTTTTTGTTTTCTAATTGTTGTTGTCCTTCTTTTGGTTTTGTGAGGATTTGGATTTGGTTTGTATTTGGTTTTGGTTTTGTGCCTTCACTGTGAGGAGGCACAGTGTGCCTACCTATGTCTCCATCTTGGCTGGAAGTCCCTCTTATATTTTTGATATTAAGTCTTTATCGTATATATGCCTTGTGAATATTTTTGCCTGCTTCATAGGTTTCTGCTTGATTCTGTTGATTATTTCCTTTGTTGTACATAAGCTTTTTAGTTTGATGTAGTCCCACTTGTCTATTTTTGCTTTTGTTTTCTGCTTTTTGGTGTCATAGCCAGGAAATCTTTGCCAATATCACTGTTATAAAGCTTTCCTCCCATGTGTTCTTTTAGGAGTTTTATAGTTTAAGGTGTTACCTTTAAGTCTTTAACTCATCTTGAGTTGATTTTTGTGTTTGGTATAAGATAAATGTCCAGTTTCATTTTGTTGCATGTGGATATCCAGCTTCCCCAGTATCATTTGTTGAAGAGACTATTCTTTTCCCATGGTGTAGGTTTGGTACCCTGTAGGGGAGATCATTTGGCCATATCTGTGTGGATTTACTTCTGGGCTGTCTGTTCTGTTCTATTGGTTTGTATGTCTATTTTCTGAAAAATTTAATGGAAGTTACTTATTCTTATGTAGAAAAACACATATATGCACATGAGCTGATTTAGCCATATGTTTCAGAATGTTAATACTTTATTTGAAGCTGAGCCATGGACCTCTGATAAATTTTTTAAAATTAATTTTTTAGAGATTGAGGAAGGGAGGAAGTGGGGGAGAGAGACAGACGGATAGAGACAGGCAGAAAGACAGACAAGATTGATTTGTTTCCCTTATTTATGCACTCATTGGTTGATTCTTGTATGTACCCTGACCGGGGATCTAACCTACAACTTTCCTGTATCAGGATGATGCTCTAACCAACTGAGCAACCTGTCCAGGGTCATGATTCTAAACTTGTGAGGTTATAGACTTCTAAATTGTGACTTCAGAGATAACAGCTAATTTCATAAACTACACATAAACCAATACTGATTATTTTTTCTAAGTTAGGGGGAAAACAACCCTGTAATGACTGTTAAAATCTCAACTGGTTTTATAGAACAGCAAGCCGATACTAAAGTTGTTGTATACACAAGTAAGGGTCATGGATAGTAAATAGAATTTTGAAAAATGCCTCTGGAGAGGAAATGTATTAAGACTTCTGAAGCTAGAGTAATTAAAGCAGTCTAATACTGGTACAGGGATAGACAGATTGACTCAGAGGAACTGAATGTAGAGTCTAGGGAGAGATTTAGGAATTTGATACATGACAGGTAGTATTAGCAATTAGTGGGTAAAGATTGAACTATTATTTATTAGTTGGTGCTGAGATATGAAAAAGACAGTATTAGATCCCTGTTTCACCCTATGCACTGAATTCTTGGTAAAGACTACATGTATTAAGCAAATCTTTAAACTTTAAAAGAAAATATCTTGTGATGTCATGGACTTTTTTAGACACAAAAAGCACAAATTTTAAAAGATAAAATTAATAAATTTGCAATAAAATTAAATAGTTTTGTTGACAAAAGGCTCTAGTAGAAGGCAAGTTGCTGATTGGGAAGTTTTATGGGTAACATCTGACCCAAGAAGAGCAAAGAGCTCTTATTAATTACTTGGGAGATACAGTAGAAAAATAGGGAAAAAGAAGTATGGCTAAATGTGAAAACGGAGTGCTAGTTAGTACATGGCCATTGTTTATATTATTGTTAGTTGAAACACTTCATAGTACAGTAGTCCTCTCTTTGCGTAGTACAGTGTTAACTGCAACTTGGGTATGTTGAGACACTGTATCCTCAATTTACATGAGTTTTGGTTAATACAGTATAAATTCATGCAAAGCAAGGATTGCCTATATAAAATTTTATTTTAATTTAATTTAATTTTTGAATTTTTATAAGAGTTTATTTGAGCCAAACTGACCACATATGCTGGCAGCAAGATCTCAAATGCTGTGATTAAATTTTAATGAAAGATTATTCCTAAATATTACTATGATTTTATACATGCATTTGATTTGTGAACCCCATATAGGTAAGGACTTTTCCTGTTGTGTCTTTTTGAGCACTTTCCCAAGCTTATTAATTTGTGGTGGCTACTTTCTTTGTGGTAATAGTTCTTAATAACATAGTGCAAGAAAGATCATAGAAAAGCTGAAATACTTGTTTTAATTTTTCCATAATATGAAGGATTATTGTTCATATTGTTGATTTGTGTGCAATATTTTAAAAATGTTTTAAGTAATTAGTATAAAGTATGCATTACGAAGCATTCCTTTCCCCCTGATGTTTTCATTCCCTTAGCAGCCAAGAAGATGCCATGTCAACAGCAACTGAGACTCCAGATTCAGGCACTCCAGATTTGCATTCAGAAGTTGGATTTAGAGCCTTGTGTGAAGTGAATGATGCTGAGAGTAGTTGTACAGAAGAAAGAAATGTTGACCTAAAAAACACATCACTGTAAGTATTTTATATTGTGGGATTTTAAAACTTATTTTCAAACTTTGATAATTTATTATCATGTAAGAAAGGGTAATAATGCTGCTTCCTTTAGGGATGTGAAGGGAATTGTAGACCATTTAATATGTAACTGTACTGTGGTCTGAGTGTGATATTAAGGTTTTTCACTTTATATTTTTATACAAGGAGTCTCTTTTATACATGATGTGTCACAGTGCCATGAATTTTAGCAAAATGGTAACTTAGGGAATTCTGAAATAATTTAGAAGCTTAAATATTTACTATGAGATTTTACTTTTAGTTGGCTTGAGTTAATATTCATGCCTATTGTCAGAATAGTTGATTTTGATATTTATGACTTTAAAGAGACTGTTTTTAGTATACAGATACTGGTTAAATTAATATCTTTACTAAAAATAGAATAAAGGCACCACAAGAATTTCCTTTTGAAGAGATATCCCCAAAATTTAGACTTTTTGTCTTTCTCATAACTCCTTATATGGGCTTAAAAACTATTCAGTTTATGAATTATTTATTTTCAGTAAAGCAAAGTTACATTGAGAATCAACCTTAGTGTTTAAAATAAAAATTTAAAATAGTTTTTGGACTAAGCAATATATTCTTTTGGTTCAAATGTCTAAAGTGTGAAAAGGTATTGAGTGAAATATCCTTTGTACCATATTCTTATTCACTCTAACTGGTAACCAGTTTTATAATTTAAGTTCTTTCAGAGATTTTAAAGATATATTAAAGCTAATGCAAATTTACTTTCTTACTCTTTTTAAAAAACCTAGTGGTAGCATACTATACATATCATTTTGCAGATTTTTTTGTCTTGTATTTTCATATCTTTACATAAAGACCTTATTTGTTTTAAAGCTGCATAGTGTTCTTGTATGGAAGAATCACATTTTAGGTTATCAGTGTCCTATTGATGACTATAGATTGTTTTATAAACAATGCTTATAATCTTATATATCCATTCTTTCATCTCTATGCTAGCATATTTGTAGGGTAAATTCCTAAAAATGGAAATGCTTGCTCCATGGATATTTATGTGTGTTCATTTATGATTTTTAAAAAATATTTTATTTATTTATTTTTAGAGAGAGGTGAAGGAAAGGAGAAAGAGAGGGAGAGAAACATCAGTGTGTGGTTGTCTCTCACACTACCCCTACTGAGGGCACAACTTGGCTTGCAACCCAAGCATGTGCCCTAACTGGGAATCGAACTGGTGACCCTTTGGTTTTCAGGCTGGTGCTCAATCCACTGAGCCACACCAGCCAGGGCTCATTTATGATTTTGATAGTGCCAAAATGCTCTCTGTAGGAGTTATGCTAGTTTATATTCCCACCAACAATGTAAAGAAGCATTTGTCTGTCTTACCAACTAACAGTGTTACTAAACTTGGATTTTTGCTGGTCTTGATAGATTATGAAATAACATTGCTCAGTATAGTACCTCCTCATTCCTTCTCTTTTTGGCACGGTATGTAACTTTTTTTTTTCAGTTTTCATTTTAATATTTTCTAACCTAAATGAAAGTCAGTAGAATAGTGAATATCTGTATATAATTCTACTTATATTCTCTGATTTTCAATGTCACATTTGTACTCATGCTGTTTCTCTCTGTCTACTTTTAATATGTACTTCAACAACATTTATTTATTAATTTTAGAGAGAGAGAAATATTGATTTGTTACTCTACTTATTTATACATTAATCAGCTACTTCTTGTATGTGCCCTGAGTGGGGATCAAATTCACAACCTTTGCATATTGGGACGATACTGTAACTAACTGAGCTACCTGGTTAGGCAGTATGTACTTTTCTTACTGGGAGTGAAGTTGAGCATCTTTTTGCATTTGAAGCTACATTTATATTTTTACTTTTTGAGTTGTAGATATCCTTTGTCCTGTTTGTAAATTAGTTATTGATGATATTTTTTGTAGAAGTTCTTTATATTTTAGTGAGGTAAGCCTTGTGGTATGAGTTGCAAAACCTGCTTTCTTGGTTTGTAGTTTGACTTGATTTGGCCATGTTTGTTTAGGCCATGCAAAAATTTTTTATTTGTATTTATTTATTTATTTATTTTTAAAGATTTTATTTTATTTTTTAGACAGAGGGGAAAGTAGGGAGAAAGAGAGGGAGAGAGACATCAGTGTGTGGTTGCCTCTTGTGTCTCCCCTACTGGGGGGACCTAGCCCGCAACCCAGGCATGTGCCCTGACTGGGAAATAAACCGGCAACCTTTTGGTTCATTGGCTGGCACTCAGTCCACTAAGCCATACAAGCCAGGGCAATTTTTTTTTGTTTTTATGTTGTTAATTTTCTCATTTTTTTCCTTTTATGGCTCCTGAACTTTTAATCAAATTTTAGGTCTGATCCCACCTCAAGGTTATGGAAGAATACTTATCCATGTTTTCTTTATGGTTTCATTTAAATTGTTGATCCTCTTGGAATGTATTATAAGTACAATGTGAGGAGTGGAGCTAATTTTATTTTTTTCTCCATTGTTACCAGTTTTTCCATCATTATTTATTTAATACTTATTTTTAAGACTATATTATTTTGTATTTCATCTTATCCTTACTGTTTTTGAAATGCTACCTTTATTTTATACTGAAATCGTGTGTATTTTGAGGTCATCTCAATTTTCTCTTGTGTTTTATTTATCTGTTTCTTCGTATATCAGAAAGAACCACAGTGTTTTAATTATTGATGCTGAATACTGTATTTTTAATATCTGACAACAAGTTAGTTACTGCCTCATCGCTCTTTGTTTTCAGTTTTCTGTAAGCTTCAAGGATTTCTATTCTGGCTCTGAGTGGATTTTTGAAGAATTTCATTTAATGTGCCTGCATAATAATGCAATTTCAATAATGGAAATTTTTTAGGGAAGCTGGTCAAACAGAAAATGTTAAACTAATGGCAAGAGGACGACTTCAGAGACCTAAACCCAATTTATCAAGGGCTGTTGGGAAGAAATCAGTTCTTTCACAAGGTAAAACAGATGCAGAGAGCAAGAGTTTACATTCAGAAACTTCATTTGAAAAGGTATGGAGTAAAAGACTTTATGGAAATTAAAATTATAAAAATTTTTAGTTGGGAATAAAATGTTTAGTTATAATTACAAGATAATGTTACTGATACTAAAACAAAAATACAAGAACGTATACCATATTTTTTGGACTATAAGACATCCCCTGTCCCCCATTTGGGAGGAATAATGGTTGTTAATGCTGCTGTTGAGTTCTGTTTACATTTACATTGGTGAAATGTTATTTATGTTATTAAATATTTTACCACATTTTTTGCTCCAAAAATTTTTTCTCTGTTTTCCTCTAAAACCTAGGTGTGTCTTATGGTTTGAAAAATACAGTGCATTAATATTGAATTTGTCTTACTAGTCACCTGCTTATGCATTTTTTTAGAACCTAAGACAAATTTCAGACATCCTCAGTAATGACAAATTTGACATATAAAATTTTTATTCAAAATACATTTTAAACAGCTGTACCTAAAATTATATTCACAACCCTCTTATCTAAACACACATACATTCCTCCATCCTTTACAAACTTTATCTCTCTTTTTATGTATGTAAACATTTCTGTATTCATTTTTTAACATTTCTATAGTTTTTAATCATAACAAAATTTAAAACTTTTTTCTCTAAACTATTCATTTATACTTTTTGAATTAATTGATCATCTTAATAGTTACATCAAGTTAATTAAATAATTTACCTAACCATTTCTGTAATAGTGGATATTTAGGTTATTTTTATTTACAAAAAACTCTTAAAATAAAAGGAAACAATTTTGTAAAGGGGCTTTCTCGTGGATAAAACAAACAATAAATTTTCAGAGGTGGTGAGATAAATAGGTTAAAGTATTTTTAATATTTTTATAGCTCTTGTACATTGCCAGACTGACAAAGACGCAACTCCATTTATACATTGCTGCAGGTATCAGATGAATGTTCCTGTTTCTTTATATTCCTGCCAGCAGTGTATTGTTACCAGTTTTTTATATTTGCTAAAATACTTTTAAAATGTTAGTCTACCTATTTTTTTCTTTTGTGAAATATCTGCTTTATCATACTTTTTGTCATATAGTTATTGTATATGATGTTTTTAAATTCTAGAAAATAGGGTAAATATAGATTCATGTAAAAATTAAAACAAAACTACTTGTAATTTCATTATCCAGATGCAACTGACCTTTAATATACAGTTTTTCTAGCGTTTTGTTTATAAAATTAAGTGGTGGTATTAATTCAGTTTTGTATCCTTCTTTGGTACTTAACATTTTATAAATATTTTTCAATATCATTAAACATCTTTTGAAAACTTTTTTTTAAGATTTACTGACTTCATAATATTCTATCAGTGGGTTAGACTGAATTTATTTAGCCATTTATTCATTATTGAATATTTTGTTTCTTTCCAGTATTTGCTATTTTGCATAATATTCCAGTGAACATCCTTGTACTTAAATCTTTATCTAAATATTTTAGGATAGAGTCTTAGAACTATCATATTACTGGGTCAGAAAGTATGAACACTTTTAAGGCTTTGATTCATATTGGCAAAAGTCTTTCCAGAAAGGGTATAGTGATTTGTGCCTTTGTCAGTAATGTAAGAGGTGATACAGAGTTGGGCAAAAGTAGGTTTACGGTTGTGAATACACGAAGCACAGGTTTCTTTTTTATTTTTTTTAAATCCTCACCTAAGGATATATTAATTGATCAGAGAGAGAGAGAGAAAGAGAAAGAGAAACATCCATCAGTTGCCTACCAAACATGCCCCAATAGGGACCCCAACCACAACCCAGGCATGTACCCCAGCCGGAAATTGAACCTGTGACCTTTTGGTCTATAGGATGACACTTCAGTCAACTGAGCCACACTGGCCAGTGCACAAGTTTATTCTTGTATTATTACTTATTATTTATTGTATTGTTTTCCATATGAAGACTGTATACCTACTTTTGCCCCACCCTCTATGTTTTAGAATACTTTGTATGTATGGTTTTAAAACTGTGTTCTAATTAGAAGTATAAAAGAGATTTTGTTTTAATTTTCATTTATTACAAAGTTTGAACTTTTTATATTAAGTAGATTAAATGTAAAACATTGAATTCATAGACCCACGTGGAAAAGGATAAAATGAATTTATTTGACATTTCTGGAATGGAGAATACAGAGAACTCAGAAGCTGATACTGTACCTAAGTAAGTATAGAGGAAGTAGAATAAAAATAGTAATTCTCAGTAATGATTGTAATAACGTGTTTTCTACTTGATACTGTCTGAAGTTTATATTCAGCTATGTACTTTAGGTGCATTTTTAACAGTAGGTATTGTTGAAACATGTTAGTAATGCTTTTTATGCTTAAGACAGGGGTGGACAAAGTAGGTTCATAGCTGTGAGTATGCACTTTATGTTAGTCTTACAATCATAACCTTCATCTCTTTCCCATTCAAACAACTGTGAACCTACTTTTGCCCACCCCTGAATTGTAGAAATAATGAGATGGCTCCATCGAGTTAGCAATTGCTTTTCTTTCTCAACTTATTAACAAGATTATTAACAAAGTCTTGTTAGATAACTTAATGGGTAAGTTATGCATTTCTGGATAATTGTATTTGTAGCAATGGGTTGCAAAAGGGAATATTTAACTTGCAGTGGAAATCTGTAAGGCATTGCTCCAGTATGAATCTGAACCAGTGGATTATGGACTGTGCATTGATGCCATAATTTGATTCCATTGCCTTGGAAATGTACATTACATGGTACTGTCCTTATTGGGGATTTGTATTACATGCTCATCAGGTGTAGAGTTTTCCATTTTTGTGACGAAAATTTGATTTTAAAATGCTTTTTTTACTCAGGATTATGTCTTGGGTTCCAAAGGGTCAAAGTGTAGAAGTATAAGTATCTTTGAAGGATGTTCTTGAAGACAGTGGTGAATTATTTTATATTATAAGTGGTTCATTTATTTATACTTAAGAAAAGGGAATACTGAAAACAAGCAAGTATGTGACTTCATTGATCTTATTCCTTTGTAATTGATCTATCTGGAGCTTATTACAATTCCTTTGTAATTGTTGTAGTTTGAGCAAAAAAGTGAGTCTGTGGGAAGATGATCAACCAAAGGCTTTCAGACCTGCACAACTAATGAGGGGCCGATTGCAAAGGCCAAAGCCAAATGTAGGGAAAGCTTCTGAAAGAAAAGAAATTCTTGCATCACAGGAAGAAATTGGGGCCAGTGTTGAAAAGAATGAACGTGAATCTTGTATTGATAGAGATGTAAGTACTCTGATTCCTCCTAGTTTTTTTGTTAAACAAGTATATAAGCCTCCTTTCACTCTCCCCCTTTTTAAACAGCAGTGCTATACAATTGTGTACATTGTTCATTAAATACAAGGCCAACACCTCAAAGCCAGCTGCTTTGTTAATTGTAAAGCCATGTAACACTCTGGATTTTGAGCATTACATTTAATGTGATTGGATCATCAGCTTTTACCCTGCCTCCTTTGGACTTGCTTTCCCCTAGTACTCTGCAGGCTTTGAATTACACTTCCCTTTTGAAAATATGGCTAGATGTGTGAATTTTAATGCTGGCTTAAACTGAATAAAATGCTAAAAACTCCTTACTAAAATATAATCTTAAGAACAAAGACTATGGATTTTAGATTATTTACATAATAACAAATTTTCATGATAAGGGTAACAGTTGCTATAATTGAATTTCTTGTTATAATTCCCAAAGTCTATAGTGTGATGTTAATAATGGATTCAGAAAGATAGACACCAGGGGATAATTCTTACGGTTGAGACTGAAGCAGTTACCATATTTTGCCATATATAATGTGCACCCACGTTTTCGGCCTAGATTTGCAGGAAAAAAATCTTTCATTTTAATTTTTTAATTGAATTATTTATTTATATTTAGAAACAAAACTGATTATTGTATTCCAGGGTATTATTTTGCATGTGGATAGCATTATTACTTTGTAGAGTTACACTTTTAATGCATAAGCGTAAATAAAAGAATTAAAAACATTTATATAGTTATGGAATTAGTACTACCCATGTATAATCTGCAACTTTATTTTTCCGTCAGAAATTTGGGCAAAAAGGTACACGTTATACACAGCAAAATACGATACTTGCTTTCTGATTGGGAGAAAAATATGGGCTTTGAGATGAGGTAAAAGGTGTGACTTATGAAATTTTTTAAGGTCTCTGAAGAAGAAAATATTAAAAAGCATCCCTTGAATATCATTTTATATTTTGAAATGTTTACTTGTTTTTTTTTTTTACTTCAGTGAAGTCTTTTATAAATGGTTGTTTCATTTTGAAATCTAACACTTTTTAAAAAATGTGTTTGTTATTAAGACTCCTGAACAGATAGATCAGTCACATAAAAATTTTGAGTGTGAAGACATTACATCACAATCTGAAAAAAGAGATACTTTTCAAAATATTCAGCCAGATCAGCCCAAGTCTCTGAATGAGTGTCTAAGGTAAGCACCATGTTACTGATTATATAATTTTTAAGTTCATAAAAGTTTTAAAGTTGTTAATTTTTAAAAACAAGCAGATCAGACTGATTTGTTTTCTGCGTATCAAGTTACATAATATTTAGACATAACTCATTTTTCAAGGCAATTTATATCACAGCTTTCATGTCAATTTCTCAGTTATGGAGTGATTTGAAAAGAGCTACTCATCATAAATTAGACCTTGGGTTAACATGGATAGGATTATCATTTAACATGCATGTTAAATTGGATGTCTTCTGTCCAAATGTGAAAACACTACTTATTTTTTAAATATTAGGTTCCTTGGGATTTGGTCACATAATGCCTTTATTAAAGGTTTACATAAATTTTATGTAAGACTCATGTGTAAAAACCTATACATCCCATAGCCAAAGCTCTTTATATTTGTTATTTTCCCTCTGGAGGACACCAAACCAGACTGAAGGGATTATTAATATACTTTAATGTTTTTTTTCTTTTGGAAAAGCAGTGAGAACAGAATAATGGACTCCTGTGTACCTGCTATCTAGTTTTAATAATTATTAATATTTTTTTCAGTCTTTACATTTAAAGTCTGGCCTATTCTAAATTTTCTTACAGCTGTATTAGCCTCTTTAAATATTGCCTAATCTGAGAGTGAAAGCTTGATTTCTTGAACTATTTTGAAGATCTTTATTAGAAGATAGAAAAATTCCTTTGTTTCTTGCTTCTTCCTCTATTCTTGTGTACTTTCCTCCCTATACCGCATTCCTCCCCACCCCAAACTATTTAACTACTCTGCCACAGAATTTCTGGGAAGAATCACGGACATTACTTATTACATATCTCTGATACAGTTATTAGTTACAGATATCTGACAGTTTGGATTTTTTGTTTATACTTATTTCAGTTTAAGCTAGAATCTACTTAATAGTTCATGTGACTTTGTTGAAAATTAACTTTTTCTCTTAGTGGTCTTTGGGTTTAGAAACCTGGTAGATACTGTATGTAACTTTTATCCAGTCTGATCTCAACGACTTTTCTTTTCAAGGCAGTGTCCTTTCTGTTTTATCACATGGTCTTTCTGGTCTTTGAATCTTCAACATCCTTAAAAAACAAATCTAAGATTCTGTATTTTATCAAATCATATGCCTCTTTCTATGTAATAGGCAGTTCTCCCTGTTCCCCAAACACTTTTAACTATTCAAGATGCAAGGGGAAGAGGAAATAGAGAAAGAGACTTTGAGATAAAGAATGCATTAAAAAAAATTCTTCTTGATTACATAAATTAGCAAATGTGTCTTTGAAACTTATTTCTCTAGACTAATTTACATCCTTTGTATTTAATATAAATATTTTGAGGTTATTGTCATGATTGATGATTATCTTATGGAGGTTTATAAGTATTTTGTTGACTCTTTAACTCTGTATTTTAGAAAAAACATGTGGACCATGGAACAGATTAATAGTTTTGTGCACATTCCTTCTCCTGCCTTCTCCAGCCTTCTCCAGTTGTGATCCTCTTTTTTCTTTGTCCCCCCCCCCCCCGCCCCCTTTAAATTCTGTCATCTGGGGAGAGAGTTGTAGACCATTGTATGTTTTGAGCTGAGAAGTAATCAAGTACAATTGCATATCTGATTTCTAATCTCAGATATTGCCCTTCAGTTAATTGTGCAGCTGATATGAGCTCTGTAAGAGATTTGTCTTGTTCACAGTTATTATTTCCAGTTCCTAGAACATGGCCTTCTGGCGTGTAATAGGTGCTTAGAACTATTTGTCTGCTGAATATTTATCCATAAAAGTAAAGCTCATCAAAGTCCTTTAATTACTTAGAATCTAAGCACATAGAATATAATCATAACATTGTGTGTTCATATCTTAAAATCTGAATTGATACTATTACTGAATTGAAGTAATTGAATCATTAATAAACCCTTTGCTTAAAATATTTAGGTGTTTTAAGAATATGTAGTGTTTAAAATGTGATTTTGTGTCTTTTCCAGTGATAATTAAACCAAGATTGCTCACATGTGACCCTCATCATTAAAAGCTAGATGTTTTTGGATGGATATAAAAAGTATCGTAAAACAGAATAAAATTCACTGAGGACTAATAACCAAATTAAATTTCCTTTAAGAATTGGTATTAATTTTACATTAAATGTTATTAATTACTAAAGTTAATGATAGTTTTTTTTAAAAAAATCCTCAGTTATATAAACAAGTATAATTTGAAAAGCAGTCTTGTTCCTAAGAATCTGACTTGTGTTAAAAAAATTGCATTATAAAAAACAGATGTCTCAATAAAAAAAGATAGGTTAGGATGTAGACAAGTTCAAATAAGCACTAACATTGTTTTTTTTTAATCTTTTTAAAAAAGCTGTTAAGTATATATACTTGTTCAGACTAACGTTGCTGAGTAAATCTAGTGTTTCATTTGATCTAGCTTTTGCCCAAGATTAATGACCTTTCTTAACTGGAAACTAAGAGCTCTTTCATTCACTTATATATTTTTATTGGTTTTTACCATTTAGTGTTATCTTGATAAAATGATAAAACATAAACAAAAGTGTTTCTGCTCTTCTGGAGAGCAAGGTACTTGTTCAAGATAGTGGTTGTTGTATGCCCAATAACATTCAGCAGACTATGAAATATTGTTTATTTAATTTTCTCTTTTATTCTCAATTTTTGTAATGAAATCACAGCTCTTAGAGAAATGTTTGTACAGGAAATATAATTTTTAATTGTTTTTAAAAGTGAGGAGGTGTGAACCTAGTTCTTAGTCATAAGGCTGTATCTTGTTCAAATCATGCCTCCATCTAGTTGAGATGCCAGTCAGGTTTGGCCATATGAGTGAGTTCCCTAACTCTACAGAAAGGCATATGTCCGTAAAGGATAGTTGGGGAAAAGATGTAGGACTAACAGACAGAAATTGTGCTAGCTCCAGTGAAGAGCCTGGTAAGTTTTTCTAAGCCAGTATTTGCAGAGAATGGTGAGGATAACAATTAGGAAGAAACTGTTCAGGGCCAATTGGCTGCTACTCTAATTGACCTTACTGATAGATTTTTCTCTATATATGAGCGTATATAAGTAGATATGTTTAATTATTTTAAAAATTTGCCATAATTTTAAAAGATAGAAGTTTTTCTCTTTTAATTTTTAAATTTTACCCAGAGATTTCTGGGGCTTTCTTTTTTTTATTTTTTATTTTTTTTAATGAGAGTTCCTGGTGTTTTAGTAGTGAGTTCTCAACCACATCTCTCCAACTGGCAGTCTGGTTTAAAATTTGATTGTGTTTTTTTTCCCCTCATAGTACTCAAGAGCATAATAAAGCAAATACACTCAAACAAGTTCCAGTTTTAAAGAATCGATTTCAGAAACCAAAACCAAATATAGGAAGAAGAACTGGAAGAAGAGAGAATTTCTCAAAGGAAGAGATTGTTGCCTCTGGGGAAAAGACAGCAGCAAGGCTGGAAACCGCACCAAGGGAGGAGGTGCCGGTGGAAGCTAACACTGCTAAGGAAACAGAGTCAGAGTTACAAGAAACTGGAAGAAGAGACATCTCTCCCAGGAAGAAGGTACCAGAAATGATTGATGTCACTGTGGAAACGGAAACAGGTTTGAAAGAAACTGGGAGGGAGATTTCTCCAAGGAGGAAGATTCCAGAGGTGACTGGTGTCACTGAGGAAATAGAGACAGAGCTGGAAGAAACTGGGAGACAAGACACATCCCCACAGGAAAATACCCTAGAAGACAACACTGTAGGAAAAGTGGAAGCAGGTTTGAAAGAAACCAGAGGGGAGATTTCTCCAAGGGAGAAGGTGCCAGAGGTGATTTACACCACTGAGGAAATAGAGACAGAGCTGGAAGAAACCACAAATGAAATAGTCTTCCAGGAAAATGCCCTAGAGGACAGCACTGTAGCAGAAGTGGAAGCAGGTTTGAAAGAAACCAGAGGGGAGATTTCTCCAAGGGAGAAGGTGCCAGAGGTTTCTAATGCCACTGAGGAGGGTGAAACACGTTTGGAAGAAACTGAAAGAAGAGAAATAACTGCACAAGAAAAGTCCCCAGGGATCAAAACTATAGATGAAGGGGAGACAGATTTGAAAGAAATTGAAAAAGAAATTTCCTCAAGGGAAAAGGAGCTAGCAGGGATCAGTGCCATAGGGGAAGGGGAGATTAATGTGCAAGAAACTGGAAGAGACATTTCCCTGATGGAAAATGTATCAGGGAAGGTGGCTGCCATTAAGGTAACAGAGGCAGATTTTAGAGAAACTGGAAAAATTTCCTTGACGGAAAATGGATCAGAAGAGATCAATGATAAGGAGGAAATGGTGGCAGATTTGGGAAAAACTGGAAAAATAGACACTTCTCTAGGGGAAAATGAACCGGAGGAGACTGGGACATTGCTACAAACTGAGACAGATTTAATGTCTAGCAGTAGTGCTGACTGCAGTGCTGTGCCTTCACTAAATACCAAAGTATGTATTTTTCTGTCCTTAAAATTAAAAAAAAAATGGTTTTATTTATTTAGAGAGAGGGGAAGGGAGGGGAGAAAGAGGGAGAACAACATCACTGTGAGAGAGAAACATTGATTAGTTGTCTCTCATATGTGCCCTGACCAGGGATTGAACCCACAACCCAGGCATGTGCTCTGATTGGGAATCGAACCGGTGACCTTTTGCTTTGTGGGATTACACCCAAGCAACTTAGCCACATAGGTCAGGGCTGTCCTTAATTTTTTAAAAAAATCCTCTTTAAGACAAACATTATCAAAATCTATGATGATTACCCAGTCCAACAGTGTTTAAATAAAGCCTAAAGTCTTTCTTAACGCTAAAATCTGTGTTTTGGGATCTTGAAGAAACTATATATACTTTTTGTAAATTGTGGAGAAGTTACTATTCTTAATGTTAGTTTGAAGTTTACTTTTTTAGATAAAAGGAATAAAATTAGACGAATTTGTGCTTACTAGTAGGAACATACTTTGGAATTATTTCTTATGACTATAAATATATCAGTTTTCTCTATTTTTCCTGTCTTTTCCACTTTACTTTTAAAAGTTCTTTTTTATTAAAAGTTTTCAGTTACTTGAATTTCATCCTATTCTGACATTTTTGAGGATTTTTTTTGGAATAGATAACATTGGCATTTGTGGCTTGGAAAAATATGCAGTATAAAAAGAAGAGTTAGCTAGATTTTATGTTTTAACACTAGTAAATTTTATTTAAAAATTAAGAAAATAAACTTCTAGATTTAAAAATTTTTTCTTTTAATAATTTTTTAAAATATATTTTTATTTTTAGGGGGAGGGTAGGGGAGGGAGAAAGAGAAGGAGTGAAACATCAGTGTGTGGTTGCCTGTCCTGCGCCCCCCACTGGGGGCTCGCACCCAGGCGCGTGCCTTAGATTAGGAATTGAAGTGGTGACCCTTTGGTTTGCAGGTCAGCACTCGATCCACTGAGCCACACCAGCTGGGGCCAAACTTCTAAATTTTTAAAGAAAAGTGTTTAGAATATAGTAGGCTTTTATTTGATATGCTTTAGGACTCTTGTATATGTGCTGATTTGCTATGACTGTTCTTCCAGAACATAAGCAGTGAAGTATTATTTGTGGTACATACATCTGTAGAAGAAAAAAGAAATTCTGAGAAGGAATTACCACATCAGTTGAGTCCTTTGAAGACTTCTTCAATGATTCCTAAACCTGATAAAGCAGAAGACCAGGGGACACAATCTGCTAATGTTCCAGAACAGTGTTTAGACAGTAATTTAAGGTACAAGCGTACTGGTCTGTGTGCTTTTTTTTTTTTTTTAAGATTTTATTTATTTTTAGAAGGGAAGTGGGGGAGGGGAGAGAGAGAAACATCGATGTTCAAGAGATACATGATCAGTTGCCTCTCACATGCCCCCAGCTGGGGACCTGGCTTGCAACCCAGACATGTGCCCTGATCTGGAATTGAACTGGCAATATTTTGGTTCACTGGCTGGCACTCAGTCCACTGAACCACATCAGCCAGAGCAGGTCTTTGTGTTTTTAAAGAAAAAAGCATATAAAGTTATATTTGCAGATATGTTACATGGAGATTTCAAGACATAATAATCTATAGCATAGTGTTAGAGATTTTAAGTTAGTTTTGGGAAGACTAGGAGAGGATTGAAGTTACTCTGACAGTTGATTATGAGAATTACTAACATACAGAATTGTAAGTAACACAAACTCCTAAGTCAATACGGGTATGACAAACGTGTATTTTCTTTGTGCAAAGATGATATAGTTCCTGGGCTTATAGCTATTTGGATTGTACGCTTATGTTTTTCAGGATTTACCAAATAGTCTGGTTTGTTTTCCTGTTAAGAATTAGAATTAAATGTTTACTGCCAATCACTAAGGTTTTCCCAAAACTCTGCTCCCACTGCCCCTTCAGTTCATTCTAATGTTTGATAATCCTTATTCCAAAAGCAAATCTCTTCCTCAAGAACAAAAGCCATTTGAAGTTAAGCCAGTACCTTTCATGAGAAGTCGATTCAAAAGACCAAAACCAAACTTATCAAGAGCAGCTTTAAAAAGAGAGACTGTGGAAGCAGAAAAACACGTGCCTGGGAAGAAATTGGAAACAGATAAAATGGAGACGGTTGTGATACAACAGGATGGTGAACAAATGAACACTCTCCCTTCTCAGCATGTGAGTGATATTTAAGATGTAGGGTTTTCATTTTAGTTAATAGAATGAAACTTCACAAATATTGAAATTTCACAAATATTTCCTCATAGAATTTTTACTCTGTGTGCAATTTTGTTGCAGCTGTCCTTAATCTGCCTTTTTGTTCCATGTGTTTGTATAAGAATCTCAAATCTCTGATGATGGGCAAGTGTGTCATGGGAAGGAATTTAAGAAGCTTGGGCTCTAGTTCAGGTTCTGACCTTTATTTACTATGTGATCTTAGCCAAATGATGCAACCATTTTCTCCATAGGAAACGAGGGAATGACAGCTTTTTAATTTCACTCTGTTGGGAAGATAACATAAAAATTTAAGAGCTTCATATAAGTTAAAGTCAATATTTTATTTACTTGGTTCGTAACATTAAGATTGTATGATGTAGCATCAAAAACTTTGAAATGAAATGTTAATGCTGAAACATATAAAGTACTTTTGTTTTTAAAGATTTTTAAAGTTTATTTTTAGAAAGAGGGGAAGGGAGGGAGGAAGAAAGGGAGAGAAACATTGATGTGTGAGAGATACATTAATTGGTTGACTCTCTCATGCCCCCATTTGGGGACCTGGCTTGCAGCCCAGGCATGTGCCCTGACTGGGAATTGAACTGAACAGCCTTTTAGTTTATAGGCTGGCTCTCAATCCATTGAGTCACACCAGCCAGGACGAAACTACTGTTTTTGCATTAAAATTCTTCTTTTATATCTTAAAATAGCTTAGGTCTTATTGTGCTTGAACATTTGTACATTTTCCTTCTAATCATATATTTAAAAAGATAACTATTTATTGATTATTTTATCTGATGGTAAAAATTTCAAATTGGAAAAAATATAGAATCTAAAAAGTGAAAGTCCTTTATAATGCCCCATTGTTCCCTCCCAGTTAATCATGTAGCAATTTTGAATATATCCACCTAGACGTTTCTATATACTTACTATATAAATAATAGAATGTGAGGGTATTTTCATTGTTTTTACAAAAATGACATCATAGCTTGCCTTCTGATTTTTCATTAAACACAACATTGGGAACATCTTTTTGAATCAGTATATAGAAATCTGTCTTTGAAAATATTAAAAAATTGTTTTTAGAGAGAGGGGAAGGGAAAGAGAAAAAGAGGGAAAGAAACATCAATTCATGGTTGCCTCTCGAATGCTCCTTACTGGGGGCGGGGGGAGGGCTGGCCTGCAACCCAGGCATGTGCCCTGACTGGGGATCAAACCAGCGACCCTTTGGTTCACAGGCTGGTGCTCAATCCACTGAGCCACACTAGCCAGGGCCAGAAATCTGTCTTTTAAATGGCTCTGTACTGTTGCATTATAGAGAAATTATAATTTATTCAGTCTCCTACTGATAGATTTGTCTTCTTTCAATTTTTATTTGTTTTTTTTCTTCAGTGTAATGCCCATTTCTTTCCTTTTTTTTTTTTTAAAGGGATCAATAATATTGCTACAATAAATGTCCTTGAATAATTCTCCAGATACTTATTTGAGTATTTTTATAGGAGATAATTGTAGAATAGCTGGGAAATAAAATTTTTAATAGAGCTGCCCCTTTATCTACAAAGACTATACTTATTCTTCTAATTTTATATGAAAGTTCCTATTTTCCTATTCTTTTACCAACCCTCAATAAAAATTTTTCTTAATATCTTTTTAGGAAGTATCTTCCTTAATGACATCAAGAGAAAAAGACAAATCAGGCCACAGACAGGAGGAGGCTGTGAAATTACCATGTGCACAGACAGAAAAGAATCTTCTGCCTTCAAGTTCTTGTGAAGCTAAAGGGGAGTCTCAATCTGCACAAGCCCAGGAAAAGGAATTACTTATTTCCATGGGGTAAACAGTGATAGTCCCTTGAAAATCTAAAATGAGACAGAGTTCTTTCAAATACTTCTTCATTTTTATTAAGATGTGTTAATATATTTTAAAAATAGATATAAAGAATACTGTACTTGGTTTATTTTTATTCATATGGCAGACTGCTTGTCTACTTACATTCATTATTCACTGCTTAAGATCTTATACAAAGCACTGCATTTAAAAATACATGCATATAAGGTATGTATTATTTCTTTAAAAAAATTGTGGTAAAAAATATAATATATACCTTTTAACCTAATTTTTAGGTGTACAGTCCAGTGGCATTAAGTACATTCACGTTGGGCATCCATCATCACCACCCATCTCCAGAACTTTATTTTCCCAAACTAAAAGTCTGTACCCATTAAACAATAACTCCCCATTCCCCTCTTCCTTCAGTTCTTGGCAACTACGATTGTACTTTCTTTCTTTCTATGAATTTGAATATTATATGTCCCTCATAAAACTTCATTACCTTTTAAGAATTGGAATAACTATGTTCTTTTATAAAATAAGGTATATTTATAGTCTGAAAATAATACAGTTTTCCTTTAATGCTATAAAATGTTTTTATAGAGAGGATATTTTTATTAGAGGATACTCAAATTTTGTATTTTTTCAGTAGTTTTCATCTTTTTACAGTAAAGTCCCTCTATTTTTCCCTGTCTCTTTTTCTAGAACTGATAACATAAATACTTTTCAAGAAGGAATGAAGGAAAGTGCTGTCCAAACTGCTCAGCTAGTAAGGGGGCAACTTCAGAGACCCATACCAAACATAAGAAAGGCAGATCAGAGGCAAATGGCAGAGGAAGATGAAGCCAAAGGCATAGTTAAGGAAGAAAGAACAATAGTACCAAGAGATGAAACTAAAAAGAAATTCCTCACTCTGGTGAGTTATTGTTACATGCTTAAGTAGAGCCTTTTAATGCACATTAAATTATCAAATGAGAGCTCAGAAATATTTTAGGTTATCTGACACTCTACTCAATGAATACATAATGTATCTAGTTTTGTTTCAGATTTACCATTCTGAATTTTAAAAAAAGTGAATATAGATTTTTCCCCCTAACTAATGTACCTATTCATTGTGATAACCATTGAAAATCTTGACATATCTTACCAGATATATCTCTATGTGTGCATATGTGGATACTTATGTAAATTTAAATACTGAAATCACTGTATATGTGTTATTTTGTGACTTACTGTTTTTCATTTAATATATTAATATTAACTGGCTCTCTTTGTCAGGAATACAGAGATATGTCATTTTTAACTACTGTATAACAGTCTGTTCTTTTGAATGATAGTTTATCCATTTCTTGCTGATGGGTCTTTTGATACTAGAAACAGATCTAAGTAGTTCAATGCCCATTCAACAGTTCTGGTTTTTCTGTCCTTTTCTCTGTTTATGAAAGGAAAATCTAAATTTAAAGTGATTGTGATCCATATTTGAACTTCGCAGCTCTTTTTTTAAAAAATCATTAAATTTTCTTTTTTTTTGGTTTCGCAGTAGATGGTTGTTATAGTTTTTAAAGCATCATCTAAACATTACTGCGATAAATGGCAGTTTTGTTTTGAGCAGCAAAATATGAACATACCCAATTTGAGTCTTCATTTCAAAAAACTAAGTGCCTTTCTTAATGGTTGAAATATTTTAGCAGGTATATTCTGTTGTTTAAAAAAAAGCAAACAAACCAAGAATGGTTTTGTCATTTCAGCCAAATTTTCAAATTGAAACTGAAATTGAAATTGTATCCTCCAAAGTTTCTGAAGGAAGAATGTGTGAAAATCAGAGTCGTGTGGCTCTTGAAGAAAAGCATGCTAACAGAATTAATACTTTAGATAAAAAGATCAGGTGAGTGTGCTTTTAAGTCAGAGAAACATCAAACTTTCCAAAGACAAAGGTTGGATTTTTATATAATTGGTTTTATATAACTTCACATCTTGAAAGTTATATGAAAGGTAAAGTAATAATTATGAAACTAGAATATTTTAAATCTGCTCCTTCCAATACTATAAGAAATGTATGACAGATGTTCTTTTAATTGGTAAATTCTCTAAAAAGTTTGGCAAGAATGCTAATTTTTTAATTTAAAACTAAACTTATAGTAGACAGGTTTTTAAGTTCTTTGTATCTTCAGAAATTTATAATCTCTTGACTAAAATTCTTAAACAGAAATGTTATAGAGTACTTACTATATGCTATACTTGGAGCTGTGTCCCAAACCAAATGGTAAGAGTGATATCTTTTAAAATGGGATATGCTAGAAGGGTGAAGATACATCAGCATTACCACTTTTATTTATTTATTACAATCTGCTTTATTGTTACTGATATTAAAGCAAGATGTGTAAGGTTTTTATTACATAAGGAAAATAAAACACTTTTTTAAATTTTTTTAATTACAGTTATCCCAATTTTTCCCCTGTTGCTCTCCCCTGCCCTACCCTTTGCCTGCTCTCTCAGTCAGTCCCCTTCTGTTGTCCATTACCATGGGCCCTTTATACGTGTTCCTTGACTAGGCCCTTGTCCTTCTTTCACCCTCTCCTCCCTCCCCTCTGGTCACTGTCAGTTTGTTCTTTATTTCCATTGTCTCTGGTTCTGTTTTATGCATTTGTTTTGTTCTTTAGATTCTACTTACAGGTGAGATCATATGCTATTTGTCTTTTGCTGCCTGGCTTATTTCACTTCACATAATATTCTCCACTTCCTCCATGCTGTCATGAAGGGTAGGCGCTCCTTCCTTTCTGCTGAGTAGTATTCCATTATGTAAACATACCACAGTTATTTTGATCCACGCATTTACTGATGGGCACTTAGGCTGTTTCTAGCACTAGGCTATTGTAAATAACACTGCTATGAACATTGGGGTGCACAGATTTTTTTGAATTGGTGTTTCAGGATTCTTAGGGTATAATCCCAGCAATGGGATAGCTGGATCAGAAGGCATTTCCATTTTTAGTTTTTTGATGATATTCCATACTGTTTTCCACAGTGCTGCACCAGTCTGCATTCCCACCAAAAGTGCACTAGGGTTCCTTTTTCTCCACATCCTTGCCAGCACTTGTTGTTTGTTGATTTGTTTTTGATGGCCATTCTGGCCAGTGTGAAGTGCTATCTCATTGTGGTTTTAATTTGCATTTCTGATGGCTAGTGATGTTGAACATCTTTTCATATGTCTATGTACCCTCTAAAATACCTTTCTTATCCTGGATATAGTCCACGATACATCTAATTTACTGCACTGTCTTTGTATCTAGGATATGTTTCATTGAAGTATTTATTAAAGTTGCTCCAGGATATCTTTAGCATAGATAATTTACTTTGAAGGGTCCAGCTTCCTTTAATTATATAGAATTAACTTGTTTTTTGAGGGCCATTTGCAGAAGAGATGTTATTTGATCCTTTTTTCACTCTCTGTGAAGCCATAGAAATAAAATTTGGGCATGTTATGTCATCTAACTCCATGAGTAGTGCTATTGATTTTGGATGATTTAAACAGTTTGTTTCATTTAGGCAGATTTCTTTCTTTTCTCTCTTTTTTAAATCCTCACCTGAGGATATATTTATTTATTTTAGAGAGAGAGGAAGGAGGGGGGAGGGAAGGAATGAGGGATATTTTAAAATCAATAATCCTCAGGTAAGGATATATTTATTGATTTTAATATATCCCTCATTCCTTCCCTCCCAGAGAAAGGAAGGAAGGGAGGGAGGGTGGAGAGAGAGAAAGAGAGAGAGACATAAATGTGAGAAACATTAATTGGTTGCCTTCTGTATGCACTGCCCCCCCCCCCCACCAGAGATTGAGCCTCCAAAATAAGTATGTGCCCTCACTAGGGATTGAACCCACAACTTTTTGGTGTACAGGACAATGTTCTAACAAACTGAGCCACTTGGCCAGGGATAGGCATATTTCTTATATGAAACTTTTATTGTTTTTATTCTTTTTAATCATTTTTTATTGATGTTCAAATACAGTTGTCTCCATTTTCTCACCACCACTTTCCCCTGCCCCACCCACCCTCACCTCCCACCCTGAGTCCTAACCTCTTTGGCTTTGTCCATGGTTCGTTTATACATGTTCATTGATGACCCCTCTCTTTCCCCTGTTATTTCTCTCCCCCAGCCCTGTGGCCACTGGCAGTCGTTCTTAATTTCAACGTCTCTGGTTATATTTTGCTTGCTTGTTTGTTTTGTTAATTAGTTTCCACTTATAGATGAGATCTTTTTATTGTTTTAGTATGAATTTCTTTTCATTTATTTCCCCATATGTGGACGTGAGTGTGTGTTGAAAGGCCTTTTTATATTGTTTCTATTTTAAAACTAGAGGCCAGTTTTTTATTTACATTAATTTCAAGGTTCCTTGCTATTTTTTCATTTCTTTAGACTGGATGTTTAAATAAAATGGCTGGTGCTTAGAAATATTTTCATTAAAATGCGTTAGAGATAACATTTGTATTACAGGTGCTATATTGCATTAGATTGATGTTTGATCCCATTGGGTAATTCATCTCTGAAAATGATTCCGGAGAACACTTTCTGGAATGTAAATTCCCAAACATTAAAGATGAACCTGTTTCAGTCTCCGGCTTTTCATAATTTACTGTTTATGGATTTCTTGTCCATGTGTAATTTAATCCCTTTTTGATCTTACAGAATTAGATAATTTTGCCACTGAAAGAACCTTATATATTTATTCATTTAACAAACATTTTAGTGTTTTATGTGTCAGGCCTTGTTCTAGGTGCTGAAAATATAGGACAATATTGGAACAAACAAAATCCTGTCCTTGTGGTGGTTACATTCTAATTTGGGGAACAGATTATAAGCAAATAATTTGACTAAATCAGTAATAAGTAAGTAGAGAAGAATAAAGCAGGTGGGGGAGTTGGGAACATCATGATTGAGTTTTGATTTTTAGAGGGTGGGGGGGGGATCAGTTTTGTTGTTCCACTTAATTTATGTATTCATCAGTTGATTCTTGTGTGTGCCCTAACCAGAGTGATTGAATCCACAACCTTGGCATATCTGGATGACGCTTGAACCAACTGAGCTGTTGGCTGGGGCAGTATTTACTTTTTAATTAGCAGTGATCAGAGATTGCTTCATTGAAAGGGTACCATTGGAGAGTAGACCTAAAAGGAGTGAAGGAGCAAGTCAAGGGAATGTGTAGGGAAAGAGGGAATAGCAGTTAAAGAGCACTTTAGGGAAGAACATGCCTCGCCTGTTTGAGGAACAGCAAAAGAGGCCAGAGTGAGACAGAGGGAGAGGAAGGGTGATAGATGAAAGAAAGGTAAAGACTGGGTAGAGAGAAGGGCAGATTATGCAGGACCTTTGAAGGGATTTTGTTTTTTATTCTGAGCAAGCCTTTAGGGACTAGTGACCTTTGAGGTCAGCCTTTCCTAATGTTCTCATTTATTCACTAAATACACGTAGAGGATTTAAATGGATTGCTCAAAGTAACATTGGCAATTTATTAGGAAAACTTAAGTTTTCAGGATTTATGACTTTCAGACTAGAGAATTCCTATAGTGGGAGCTTCCTGAAAGAAATTTTGCTTATGCCAAGAGATTTTATGCTCAGCCTTTGCATTTTAAAATTTTCTATATAAAAACCTATTTCCCAACTAAATCTACCTCTCCCCTTTAACTTTCTCTGTTCATGAAGTTTATTATAGCTGTTAGCTATACCTTGACTGATATTTTCTTCAGTGTGCATATTCTGTATAGTTTTGAAATTAACTTATGTACAGCATTTTCTTGTCCTTTTTTACCACAGTAGCACATTGCTGCTTACATATATATTTTACTTTTACATACTTTTGTAAATCACACTTGATTATAAATAGCTTATACTTAAGTTAAATATAATTTGTTTTTCCAAATGCATTCGCCTACACTAGATGTATTAGCATAATAACCTTGTTAGAACTTCTGTGAAGTTCCTTGATGTTTTACTCCTAGAAGAGCTTAGACTGGTACATTTGAAAATATAGCTCTAAGTACAATACTTTTTCTTCTGGTTAATTTATTAGAAATATTGCTTAAGATTAGTCTTTTATTTTAAAAGATTTTATTTATTTATTTTTAGAGAGGGAAGGGAGGGAGAAAGAGAGAGAAACATCAATGTGCGGTTGCTGGGGCTGTGGCCTGCAACCCAGGCGTGTGCCCTGACTGGGCATCAAGCCTGCGACACTTTGGTTCGCAGCGTGCACTCAATCCACTGAGCTACTCCAGCCAGGGTTAAGATTAGTCTTTAATACAGATATTTTAGAGAACTAATGATAGATACATATCCAGTTATTCATTTTTAAAAATTAAAAAACATACTATTTATTTTTAAGAGAGGAAGGAAGGGTGAAAGAGGGGGAGAGAAATATCGATGTGCAAGAGAAACATCAATCAATTGCTTCTTGTATGCTCCCAGCTAGAGACCTGGTGTGCAACCCAGGCATGTGCCCTGACCACTACTAACCAAACTGGTAACCTTTCAGTTTGCATGTCAGCACTTAATCTGCTGAGCCACACCAGCCAGGGTCAGTTATTCTTGATTAATATCTGCATTTATATTAGTTTTAAGCTTTCTAATTCAGAATTCACATATTTGCCAATTATTTCTTCCCAGGAAACCTTAAGACAACAGCTCTTTGGATTGCCTTGGAGGCTGTGGTTACTCTACTGAATGTTAAAATCTTTCTATGTTTTGGCTAATAAAATGGGTTGTATTGAGATTCTTATGACACTGGCTCTCAGTAAACTGTTTTTTTTATGAGCTGATAGGCATGTGGGAGAGAATAGACTTCAGCTTTCCAGTCTGCTCTTGAACCAGGAGGACCGTGGTTGTTGTGACCACTGTGTATTTGTTCCTGTTTCAGAGCCTAGTTAAAGCATTTGTTTAATGTGCCATTATGAAACCTGTCTTCAGCTACTAGAATTTTTTGTTTATTTTTAGTTATTACTCTGAAAAATTACTTAAAGAATGAAACCGCAAACCAGAATGAATGAAAGTAAAAAAGATTAATATTATAGTAAAACTATTCCCCAGGCTGTACAGGAAATGGAAGTTATAAAAGCTTTTATGTTCTTCCTTTCTTAGCAGCATAACCAACTTATGTCCAGTCCTTAGAACATGGGATTGGTTTATGTCAGAAACTATTTAACAGCTGTTACACTAAGAAAGAATTTTGATTTTCTTCATCATGATTTGTGCTTCATTTTAGACATGAACATAAAACGTATGTTTCTAGTCCAGCACAATTGATTAGAAGGCAGTTCCAAAAGCCTAAGCCAAATTTGGGAAGAGCACATGGTAAGAAAGAGGAATCGGGTATAGAAAAAGAGAGAGCAGATCAGAGTGAGGCGAGGAAGCCAGAAGATAATTCAATGCAGCAAGGAGATTCTGACACTAATTTCCTTCAAAAAGTAAGTTTGAAAAGTTATAATTTTTATTCATAGGCTATATTTTGTCAGGATCATGAAACAGAGCTTTAAAAGATATATAGTTTTGCCTTTTGTATTGTTACTGTTTTCATGAAAATTCAGTGATATTCTCTGTGTTATAAAAATTTAGAAGTCTAGTTGTGTGTGTGTGTGTGTGTGTGTGTGTGTGCCCGCGTGCAAGTGTATAAGTGGGCAAGCTTGGATCTGCAGACCGAACTACCAAATTAAATTACTATAGAGATTGTTTTTGTGGTAATATTAGCTATTTCTTCTTAAATTTAAGGAAAAAGCTGAGCTTCTGACATCTCTGGAGGTTTCAGCAGGAAAGGATTGTGTGGGTTCCCAAGAGGCTGGTTTGGCCAAGAAAGATGCTCTTTCGGAAGTTGGACCATCAGGAAGTGTTGGACAGAAAACTGTAGGGGATAATGCTGTCTCTTCGATTATTAAAGAACAGTGTCTCAGTAAACTAGCAAGGTAAAATTTTATGTAACAAATACTTTCAGAAGAGGAAATGATAAATTACTCCTTATGGATATCTTACCTTAATTTATTGATAGAGTGAAAGATGGCTTGTTAACAGAGTATAGTTTTTTATTGACAGTTCTATTTCTTTCCCCCTTTTGATTGTTATTTACTAAAATTTATGTTTTTCTGACATTTTAAGGAAGATTTTATTTTTCTGACATTTAAAATCTCTGCATATTAAGTATGTTAGATATACTATCTTTGCTGAGGCAGAAGCCTCACCAAAGAGTAGTATGTCGTACGTAAATAATTAGGGTACTAATTCAAGTGGGGTCGTAAACACAAATGAAGGGCCATAATTTTGAAGAAAATTAGAAAGGAACCTGAGGTCTTAAAAACAACATTGTTCTGATTGATTTTCTGCCTCTTTTTCCTTTTATTCTATTCTGTTCACCCACTAGGATAAATCTCATATTCTATATTTATTGGCCCATTCATCTTTACTCCTTTTTCTAAAGATTTTATTTACTTGTTTTTAGAGAGAGGGGAAGGGAGGGAAAAAGAGAGGAAGAGAAACATCAATTGACTGCCTCATGCACACCCCCAACTGGGGACCTGGCTCGAAACCCAGGCATGTGCCCTGGGGGAATGGGGCCTTTTGGTTCGCAGGTCGGTGCTCAGTCCACTGAGCCACATCAGCCAGAGCATCCTTTTTCTTCTGATAATGTCCAGTTTTGTATTTCATCTCTGCTTAAATAGCCAGGGGAAAAATGGCCCAGAAATAAAAACTTATTATGAAAAATTTGTGGGTAGATAACTAAGAATTAACTGTGAATGAGAAACTAATAGTAAGTTTCTTTTTTCACAGTATAAATTTTTTTAAATTATTTTTTAAAGATTTTATTTATTTATTTTTAGAGAGGGAAGGGAGGGAGGAAGAGAGAGAGAGAAACATCAATGTGCAGTTGCTGGGGGTCATGGCCTGCAACCCAGGCATGTACCCTGACTGGGAATCGAACCTGTGACACTTTGGTTCGCAGCCCATGCTCAATCCACTGAGCTATACCAGCCAGGGCCACAATATAAATTTTTGACAGAATGAGTGATAGGAGTATTCATTTTAATGGCTTGAATTGGGATTTCACTCTAAAGTTTGGATTTCACTAAAATTATCCTTGTGTATGTAGTGACTATGTCGTTGTTTTGATTAAACCTCCAGCCATTCACAAATGTTAAAAGAATCAAATTACTCTAAAAGTGTTCTAAGTCGAAGGACAACTCTCTCTTCTGCCTCTGGACGTGAGATAGATCATAGTGTCAGGAGAACTCATCGAAAGATCAAACCAAATGTCACCAAAGGGCGTGGATCAAAACGAACTCGTAGTAAGACTTCGAAGAAGGAACCCAGAACTTCCAAGGCCATGCTGGTGACTCTTCGGGCTTCACAGGAAGAGGACGAAGATGATGTTGAGGATTTTGAATCTGACTTTGAAGAAGAAAGCTATCATCTTGCTCCAGAAGAAATAAACAAAGCTCCAGTGTTTGTACCTGTTGGCCTCAGATCTCCTGAACCTGTTCCTGCTCAGATTGAGGAAACGATGGAAGAGGTAGTTTGTTCTTTGAATGCTTAGAACTTTATGTTACTTGTTTTTTTTTCTTTTAGTTGATTTTTTTTTCTCATAGTGATTCTTACGATTTGTAGAGTTTATTCTCTGAATTACCTCTACCAAATGTAACTTTTACTTGCTTAGGCTGATCTATGGTAGAGAAGGTAGAAGGGACATCTATTAATATCTATATATTCTTAATTGTGATACAATACACATAACATAAAATCTACCATCTTAACTATTTTAAGTGTATAGTTTGGTGGCATTAAGTACATTCATTGTGCTCTATACCATTATCACCATCCATCCGCAGAACTTTTTTCACCTTGTAAAACTATGAGTCTGTATCCATGAAACAATAATTCCCCATTACCCTTTTCCCTTTAGTCTGTGCCAGCCACCATTCTACTTTTGTCTCTATGCTATACTTGAGAAACTTCATTTAAGTGGAATCATATAGTATTTGTCCTTTTTGTTAGTGGTTTATTTCACAAGGTTTATCTGTATTGCATCACCTGCCAGAATGTCCTCCTTTTTTTTTTTTGAGAGTATGTTTATTAAAGTGAGGGACAGTGACACAAGGAAGGGCTTAGGATAGAAGCAGCCACAGGAGAGAGCTTATGTGCAGCTGCTTTGGCTCTCTGAGAAATCAGAGTCCCAGCAGAATGCCCTCCTTTTTGAAGGTTGAATTAAAATGATTTTCTGTGGTGTGTGTATACCGCATTTTGTCTCCTTAGCTGTCAGTGGACGGTTGGGTTGCTGCCACCTTTTGTCTATTGCAGAGAATGCTTCTATGAACATGGGTGTACAAATATCTTTTCTAATTCTTGCTTTTAATTTTGGGGGGAGATATGTCTAGAAGTGGAAATTGTTGGATTGTGTGGTAAATTATAAATCTATTTTTAATTTTTTGAGCAACCACTATACTGTTTTCCATAGCAGCTACATGAGTGTACATTCTTACCAATAGTGTACAGGGGTTTTAATTTCTCCACATCCTCACTGACACTTTCTATTTCTTTTTTCTTTTTCTTTTTGGATAGTAGCCATCCTAATGGATGTGAGTGGAGGAACATACTACTTCAACTTACTTTATTATAAAAGCTTCTTACTCCTTTGCCTTTAGATCTAATATTCTAACTTTGTAACTTCAAAGTTTTCTGTTTTGCTTAAATTTTCAGTGACTTGTGTGGCTTATAGAGTGGCATATATATCTCAGTTTTGTAGTCAGTACTTATTTGAAACAGAATCAGGAGTTAACTGAGATGGCATCGGTGGTAATAAAAGATGTAACTTAAAACAGTTAAGTAATGTTAAGCTAACCTAGAATTAATGGATTACTGAATCTGTAAATTTACATTTATGAACGGCAGTGTGAAACCACCTTTATTCGCTGTTAATAATAATGCCACGAGTGGTAAAGTTACTGAGTTAGAATAGTTGAAGCTAAACAAAAATGATGTAAAATTAAGTTTTTCTTATAACTAAAAGTTCAAAATAAAGATAGTAAATTTAAGTTTTAGTTGAAACTAAGAAAATGCAAAAGGAAAAATAATTTTATTCAAGGACAACTGGTTAACACTACATATGAATTCATTTAGCTATATATTTTTTGTATTTTATAAATTTCTTTGGCTGAAAGGCAAATTGCTAGTGAAAACTAGTATCAGAAATTAAATTATGAAAATTAAATCCCTGAGTTAATACTGAATGCCTTCTTAAATAGCATTAATCATAATAATTGAGTGAAGAAAGCTTAAATTATATTCCTTATAGCAAGATTACTAAGACAGGGAAGTTGTTTATATGTTAGAAAATGTTTCCTTTAAAAAGCATTGAAATACAGTGGCATACTATTAAATCATAAAAAGGGATATAAAGTATTGATACATACTACAAAATGAATCTTGAAACCTTGAAAACATTGTGCTAAGTGAAATAAGCCATTTACAAAAAATCACATATCATATGATTCCATTTATATGAAATGTCCAAAATAGGACAGTTTGTAGTGACAGAAAGTAGATTACTGGTTGCTTAGAGATTTGGGGTTGAAGGGTAAAGGGAGTGATAACTAATGGGTATAGGTTTTTGGTTTTTTAAAGCAATGAAAGTGTCCTAAAAGTGACTGGTATTGGGTGCATGTATTTATGTATAATCCAAGAAACTTTAAATGGATGAATTTTATGGCATGTAAATTTCATCTCAGTGAAGCTGGCAAAAAGTAAAGCTTTGAAACTATGATATTCAAAGAAATAACTTTCAATTAGAATGTTCCAATATTTCACCCAACTTTTCAGAAAATATTTTGTCTTTTCAAATCACTTGAACTTTTTAATCATCTCAGCCTTGTAAGATATTAGCAAAGATTTTTCTCTAATGTTTGTGTCTGAGAAAACAGACACAGAACACACAGGTGTTACTATATAATATGTCTTGAAGGCAAATTTTCATACTTGACTCTGTATTAGTTTTCTACTGAATTATACAGATTTTATATTCACCTCTCTGTTAATAAGGGAATAGGAGCCAGCCTGTTTTGGATATAGTCTAAGAGAGAAATCTTAGTCTTTTTTAGCCCCCAAATTGTAGGGGTCTTTGACCAATAAAACTGCTAAATGAAGAATGCATGTGAATAAATCCATTATTTTACATAGCCATGACATGGCTAACAAGAATGATAGAGGTTTGGGGGTTGTAGGAGAGGGTAGTTTCCTTGGTGGGGGTGGGGGGTAACATAGCTGTGTATGTGCTTCTAACTCATCTCTATTGCAGTACTTAGGACAGTGTATATGGTTAGTTAATTATGTGTCTGTTTTTCTTAGATTGTGAGTTCCTTGAGGGCGAGGGCCAAACTTGTCTTATTCAGCTTTGTGTTCTTGTACCTGTAGCCTTTTAGTTTTTAGGAAGCACTCCATAGATATTAACAGACTGATGAGAGAAATATGGGAAAGTAGGGTCAAAGTGGGGATAATGGAAAGTTAAAGGCTAGGTACTAGGAAGATTAGCTTTAGAAATTTTGGTTACTGCTTATAAGAATGATAGACCCCTTAAAAGCTTTATGTTTTACTTTTGCCGAGTTGATGTCAAATAAGTTTAAAAATGACTGTATTTCAGTTTTTTAATTGTGTATAAATGTGGATTTTTTTCAGTTTAACATTTTATTTTACTTGCTTGTCTGTGTATAGTACACCAAAATGAAATAACAAAACTTTTCATTTTGACAGCTTGAAATAACTGTGAATGTTCCAGATATAGGATTCATAACTGTTGATGAACATCAGCTCTCAAACGCAGATGTGACCACTCAGGAAATGGAACAAGAAGAAAATTTGAATGTATTATCAGTCGTAAGCATCCATTTCAATATGTTTTGTTTTTAATTCTTTGCTTGCTTTCAAAAGTCTGGAAGTTAATTTTGAATACGTTAGGTTTACAAGCAGTTGTTAGCTAATTTCTGTCATCTGGAGAGCTGTAAGTATGAATAACAGAAACTAGTGAATAATCTGTAGGTTTTATATTAGACTTGAGAAACAGTAATCTTTGTGTATGTGTGTGGATATAGCTCTTAATACCCTTATAGACTTGTGTTGCATTAAATCTATGCCAAATGTAAATTATTTGGACTATATTTTATTGTATTTTGCTTGGCATTCTTCCTTATTTGGTTAGTTTTTATCTTATTTTTGCAAACAAAGATTTGGAATTACAACTTTTTAAAAACAACTTTATTAAGATATGATTCACACACCGTACAGTTCATCCATTTAAAATGTACAGTTCAATGATTTTTAGTATACAGATATGTGTAAACATTGTAGTTAATTTTAGAACATTTTCATCACTTCAAAAGAAACCCATACCCAGTAGCAGGAAGTGGAGTAGCAGTTGCTCTCCACTTCCTCCCATCCTTCCCCATGCCTAGCCAACCAGCTTGTCTGTATAGATTTGTCTGTTCTGGACATTTCATATAAATGGACTGTGTGTCTGGCTTCTTTTACTGAGCATAATGTTTTCAAGGTTCATCACTGTAGCATGAATCAGTACTTCATTCCTTTTTGTGGTCAAATAATATTACATATAAATATACCATGTTTTTGTTTATTCATTTGTTTATGGACATTTAGATTGTTTCCATCTTTTGGCTATTATAAATAATCTGCTATAAACATTTGTGTACAGGTTTCTGTATGGACATATATTTTCATTTCTCTTGGGTATGGTTCTAGGATTCCTATAATTGCTGTGTTTTATGATGACTCTGTTTAATCATTTGAGGAATTAGCAAACTGTTATCCAAAGCAGCTGAACCATTATACATTCCCACCAGCAGTGTATGAGGGTCCCAGTTTCTTCACATCTTTGTCATCATTTTTTATTTGACTTTCTGGATCAAACAACCTAATGAATATACAATGGCACCTCATTATGATTTTGATTTGCATCCCCCAATGATAAATGAGAGTTAGTGTCTTCTCATATACTTATTGGCCACTTTTAAATCTTTGGAGAAATGTCTATTCAGAGCCTTTGCCCATTTTTAAAAGTCTTGGTCTATTTGCATATTTATTATTGAGTTGTAAGAATTCTTTTATACAGTAGTATCCTCTTATTCACTGGGTATATATTTTTTTCTATACATACATGTGTATGATAAAGTTTGATTTATAAACTAGGCACAGTAACAGATGAACAATAATAATAAACTGGGACAATTATGACAAATACTGTAAAAAAGGTTATGTGAATGTGGCTTTTCAAAAGAGCTGTTGAACTGTATGTGCAATATGGATATGCTGGACAAAGGGCATCTGGGGCAGGCCAGAGTAGGACAGCTTGAGATTTCTTCATGCTACTCAGAATGGAGTGCAATTTAAAACTTATACATTGTTTATTTCTGGAATTTTTTATTTAATATTTTTGAACCATGGTTGACTACAGGTAACTGAAACCATGGAAAGTGAAACTGTGGGTGAGGGGGGACTGCGGTGTTCTGGATACAAGTCCCTTATCAGATACATGATTTGTGAATATTTTCTTCCATTCTGTGGGATGTCTTCATTTTCTTGATGATTACTTTTAAAACACAAAAGTTTTTAATTTTGATGAAGTCCAGTGTATCTGTTTTTTTCTTTTGTTGTTCATGTATCCAAGAATCTTTTGCCAAAGCCAAGGTCCTGATGACTTAATTCCTATGTTTTTTTAGAGATTTTATTTATTTATTTTTGGAGAGAGGGGAAGGAAGGGAGAAAAAGAGGGAGAGAAACATCAGTCAGTTGTCTCTTGCATGTCCCCAACCTGGGACCTGGCCCTCAACCCAGCCGTATGCCCTGATTGGGAATTAAACCTGCAACCTTTTGCTTTGCGGGATGTCACCCAACCGAGCCACACCTGTCAGGGCTGATTTACTCCTATTTTTCTTCTATAAGTTTTACAGTTTTAACTATAGTTTTACATTTTAGTATTTAATTCATTTTGAGTAAATTTTTGTATGTTGTAAGGTTAGAATCCTACTTCAGTCTTTTGCATATAACTATCTAGTTGTCTGTTGCACCTTTTATTCTTTCTCCATTGAATGGTCTTGCATTTTAGTCTAAAATCAATTGGTTGGCCCTGGCTGATGTGGCTCAGTGGATTGAGTGCTGGCCTGCCAACCAAAGTGTCACTGTTTCATTTCCCAGTCAGGGCACATGCCTGGGTTGTGGGCCAGGTTTCCAGTAGGGGGCACATGAGAGACAACCACACACTGATGCTTCTCTTTCTCTCTTCCTCCGTCCCTAAACCTCTCTTAAATAATAAATATATATAATCCTTAAAAAATAAAATAAAATCAATTGGTTGTAGACATATAGATTTATTTCTTGACTCAGTTCTGTTCCATTGATTTATGTGTTTGTCTTTGTGCAGGCGATGCTCTGTTGATCACTGTTACTTTGTAGTAAGTTTTGGAATTGGGACGTGTAAGGATTATTTTATTCTTTATTTCAAGATTGTTATTCCATAGGAATTTTAAAATTAAGTTGTCAATTTCCACAAAAACATTAGCTGAGATTCTGGTTGGGGTTTCCTGAACCTGTCAATCAGTTTTTTTTTGGGTGGGGGGAGGGCATTGCCATCTTAACAGTGTTGAGTCTTTTAATCCAGGAACATGGGGTATTTTCCCATTTATTCTGATCTTCGATTTTTTAAGGCATTTGTAGTTTATGGAGTATAAGCTTTGTCCTTTCTTTATTACATCTATTTTTAAGTATATTTTTATTTTTCATGCTATTGTAAATGAAACTTTTCCTAACTTCATTGTTGGGTTGTTTATTGCAAGTGTATAGAAATACAATTGATTTTCATATATTGGTCTTGTATCCTGCAAATTTGCCATCTATGTTATTATCTCTAATAGTTTTTAGTGGATTTCTGAGGATTTCCTACATATAAGATCATGGCATGTGTGAATAGAGATAGCTTTACTTCTGCCTTTCTGCATTAGCTTCCCAGGGCTGCTATGACAAAAGTACCGTGAACTGAGCAGCTCAACAGAACGTTCTTCTCTCAGTTTTGGAGGGCGGAATTCCGACATCAAGGTGCTGTCAGTGATGGCTCCTTCTGGAGGCTCTGAGGGAGAAACCATCCCAGGCCTTTCTCTTACCTTCAGACAGTGCTTGTCATTACTTGGCTTATGGCAGCACAGTTCCAGCCTTTGCCTCCAGTGCGTGGCTTTCTGTCTGTGTGTGTCTCCATGTTTCTTCTCCTCTTGTAAGGACACTAGTCACATTGGATTAGGGCCAATCCTAATCCTGTATAACCTCATTTTAACTTGATTATATCTGCAAAAACCCTATTTCCTAATAAGATCATGTTCACAGTACTGAGGGTTAGGACTTCAACATATCTTTCTGGGGGGACACAGTTCGATTTATATTACTTTGCCATTTCGATGTCCTTTATTTCTTTTGCTTGCCTAATTGCCCTGGCTAGAACCTCCAGGACAATGATGACTACAAGTGGCAAGAATGGACATTCTTGTCTCATTCCTGGTTTTGGGGGAGAGCATTTAGTCTTTCACCATTCAGTTGATGTTAGCTATGGTTTTTTTGTAGATCCCCTTTAACAAATTGAAGAAGTTCTGTTCTAGCTTGTGTGAATATTTTATCATGAAAGGGTGTTGGGGTTTATGCTATGCCTTTTCCGTATCTATCGAGGTGACCATGTGACTTTTGCTTTTTATTGTATTGATATCGTGTATTGATTAAATTTTGGATGTTAGAAGCAAGTTGCTTCTGTGGGATAAATCCTACTTGGTCATAATGTGTAATTTTTATACGTTGCTGGATTCAGTTTGCTAGTAATTTTTTGAGGATTTTTGTGTCCATATTCATAGTAGATATAGGTCTGTTTCCGTTATGAATCTGACACCTGATGACTGTGTCAGAAGCTGAAGTCCTGCTCATCTTAGGAAGAAAGCCCTCTAGCTGGCACCTGTGGGTAGAAGGGGCCTGTTTTCTTGGCTGCAGCATTTTGAGGTGGAGTCGCTGCCTTGCTGAGCTGGGAGGAATGAAGGAGAGAACAGTCTTTGTTCAAATACCACAGACTTTTGCCTTTGTTACCAAATTTTCATCAGTTTTCTTGAGTGAATGTTTTCTTATCCTGTGCCCTCAGGACTATTTCCAGAGGCTTTAATGGCCATTTTTAAATAAACTTCACCAGTATCAGTGGGGAGAGGAGCAGGAGAGCTCCTCATGCTGTCATGCTGGACATCAGACCTCTAACTTCTTAATTTGTTAAAAATCATTTTAAGTCACTTAGTAGTGTAAAAAAATTGCATTATTCTTCAGAACTTGGTTTCCATTGAGTCAAAACTAATGGCAGCTGTGACTGAAGTTGAAGGATTATGAAAGTGAAGAAGTAAAGGAAGAATGGTAGATGTACACTGCAATATAATGAGTTAAAATTTGCATATAACATAAGGCTAAGGTAAAACAAGGAGCAAGAGACAAAAGTATGTGGCTTTTAAATTATTTCTGCTTTTGTTTATGAAAGTTTATGAATAATTATAATTAAGGGGGAAAATCAGTTTTCATTCCATTGTAATCAAAAGCACAGAAAGATCTGAACAACATAGTGCTTTTTGAGATACAGAACATGTATTTGGGAAAATGCATAAGATATTACTCTTCCTCTTTTAGGAAATGACCACAGGTGAACATACCCAAGATGAAACAGGTAACTGTTAATAGGAAACTATTAAAAACTGCTTGGTTAACACTAGCACGGTGATTTAGTAGTAGTGGCATTTTGAAAATGAGTCATTTTGTTGGAGAGTTGAAGAAAAAGGTTCAGTTTTTTAATGTGTTATCTGCAGAAGAAACATAACTTTTTGGAATGTTACTTTAGAAAAATGAGTTAAATGTTTAATAAAGAAGTATTTATTTCCTCTGATCTGCATAGATTCATTTTTTGAAGATATTAAGTTACTTAATGGGTGGGAGGCATTTTCAGTGGGTTGAAGGCAACAGTTGATTTCTTTATTTGCAGTATATAAGCTGAATAAAACATTACCCTAGTGAAGGATTAGTGGTACAGAGGATATTGAAACTTGTTACCAGAGGATAAACACCTGCATTTAAAAACTTCTAAGTAAACAAACTTAAATTTCCAGATTCATTCTTCTGTTTTAATGTTGGTATATTTTCTCACAAGATACCAACAACGATGGAAGCGCTGAAGCTGCCATAACTTTACTTACAATGGGCGACCTAGTGTTGCAGTCAGAGATCAGTACAGAACAGAGTGATGGTAAGAATGGAAGATAAGTCCTCAAAAAAAGAAACTTTAAAATCCAATTTTTAAGAAATGTATACCCACATTAGAGTAATAAGTGAATACCTACCTGCCTCTTACATTTGAAGTTGGCAGCGTTTTGATTTTTCCCAGAAAAGGTAATATGTATGCATTGACGCACCTAACTGCCCTTTTGGATGTAGTGGTTACCATTTCGAGATAGTGCACTTGGTTTAGTAAGAACATTTTATATTTATGGAACAGTTACCTTTGTCATCATAAATGTCATTGGTTAACTGAGCTCACTGATCACTGATTATACACATTTCTTTAGCAAAGGAGCTGCCTTTTTGGATAGTTTCACAATAACATGACAGTCAAATACAGTATGAAGGGGCTGTAGCCATCATTGAGATCATTCAGTTTAAAATGTTCTGTTACTTTGCACCATGCCAAAAGATATGTCAACCTAGATTTTTAATATTTTAGGCTTACCTTACAGAGAAGCAGTGGTCTTGAGTATCTAAGTATTTTCTACTGTAGTACATTAAGTTACATATAATTATGTTAATTATATTCTTATTAATTATTTTGACTGGTAATGAGTGGCCTGCCATTTATTTAGGTGTAAAACTTTTATTTTTTATTTTAAAAATCCTTTTAAATCCTCAACCGAGGATATATTTATTGATTTTAGAGAGAGGAAACGGGAGGTGATAGGGAGAGAGAGAAAGAGAAAGAAACATCAATGTGAAAGAGAAATGTTGTTTGGTGTCCTCTTGTACGTGCCCTGACTGGGGATCAAACCCACAACCTGGGTATGTGCCCTGACTGGGGGCTGAACCCGCAACAACCTTTTGGTGTACGGGATGACACTCTAACTAGCTGAGCCACTTGGCTAGGGCAGGTGTTAGACTTTCAGGCCTGTAACTGTATATTTATCAGGAAACTCTGATTTGTGTTTCCTAAAGGGCTTCTTTCTTAATGGCAGATTATTGCATTGGAACATGTCACAGATCTCTAGAACATGAACATAAAATACAGGTTTTAAAATACTGTAAACAAAGGCAAGCCTGTCTTGAAATTGAAATTCATTAGAGGTTATGTAGTTACTGAAACTAGCAAAAAGATTCATTTTTACTTACACTCACACAAAAATTTCAGTCTATAAGAATTATTAAACTTAGGTCAAAACTCTGGCAAAAAGAGCAAACTTTAAAAATATAGTATTTTGCAGTTGCTGAATGTTGAAGGATTTATTTTATTTCAACATCTATTTGCATTTTCTTTTCTTTTTTATTTTGCAATAGGAATATGTGTACTACCTGGTGTTCACTCAAAGGATAAAAGCCATATTCCTTTTAGCCCCGATCATGTCAGTCATGAAATTGTTCATGAATCTCAGGAGCTTTCTTTACCTGTCAATAGTGTACCTCCTTCACCGTTAGAAGGAAACCAGATTGTATTGGAGGAACAAAGTACTAAAGAAGAAACTGGTTTAATGGAGACAGTAAAGGAAAACGCTGTATCAACCAGGTTTATTTTGCTTTATTAAAATTATCATTCCCTTTGAGTTTTACTAAAGAAATATAGTATTCAATTAATAAGTGTATTTAAACCAACCATCAGTTTAATTAATGGCTTTCAATAATACTTGTATAAATGTAAAGTAGGCAATGCTAATTTCTCACTCTTTAAAGTACTGATTGATTTTGATTTTAGTTTAATGTTTTGCATATTAAAATTACTGCAATAATGTGTGTCTCTGAAGCTTTAATGAAATAGTTTTGTATAATAGTCTCTGTTTTACAAACATGGTCCAAATTCTTTTCCCTTCTCTCAAGACATTTAGTAAAGTTACCACCATGTAATTTTAACATTAAGGAATGAAACATAGAGACTATGTGGCTCCTTAGAAGGTGGCACATAACTGTTTTAATACTAGTCAGAATGTGTCACTGTGAGAGGGAATTCTTACATGGTTGACAAATCTCTCTCTCCCTTCTTTTTCTAGGAATACAACTTCTAAAGTGACCAATGATTTGAGAATGAGAAGTAGATTTGCCAAACCTAAGCCCAATCTTAAAAAGATTTTAGGGACCAACAGATTCGGTGCTCATCAGGAAGTTCCCAGTTTGTTTGTAACCAAAGGAGAAGTGGAAATTCAAAGAGGTAAATTTTATCGTTTCCTTGCAAGTTACAAAATTACTTTGACATAAGAAATTGCATTAACATTTCAAGTGGAATATTCAGTTGTTAAACTTATTTTAACTTATAATTGATTTCATACATGCAAAAAGTAGAATGAACCATAAAATAAATACCCATAAATCCACCAATTGGTTTCAGTAATTATTACCTTTTTGCTGTATTTATTTGATCAAACTTTGTTTTCATATATATATTTTTCTGTGTGTGTATACCTGAATACTCAAGCACACATTTCTCAGAAAGGTATGCATGAATGTGGCAAAGGACAGTGCCCCTTTGGTATACAATTTTAGAAACTCCCTCCTCCTTTGGTTCCCAGCCCTCTAATCTCACGTCTAGTGGTAAACTACTCTTAACAGTTATTATTGCAGACTTCTAGAAATGTTTTATGTACATTAGCATTTAATGAGGGGTAGTATATGTATGTACACCCATACATCCATGTGTATATTCCTTTCAGAAAGAATAAAAATACATGCTAACTGTACATTATTTGGCACTTTTTAAAATAACAGTTTTATTGAGATAATTCATGTACCATATAATTCACCCGTTTAAAATGTACAAGTTAGTGGTGTTTGCTATGTCCACCAAAATTGTATTAAACTTTGTGTGCTATGTGTAGAAGATCTGGGTAGTTAGCATCTTTTCTCTTTTTTGGGATTCCTGATTTCTGGGATTTCTCTTTCAATCAGCGATGCCTGTGGTTCAGTTAGTTAATTTAATTAGCTCTCTCATTATGCAGGCACAGGTTACCTTTCTATATTATAGCAGTCATTTTTTTCTCCTTTGTGACATTATTCTTTGTAGAACAGCTCCCCCAGCTGCACCCCAGTACTTTTCCCAAGGTGGAACTAGTCAGACCTCATGTATATTCACCTGTAAACCTCTTTTGTTTGTGGGTTTAATTATACTGCTATTACCATAAAGTAGAGATAGAGTTATTGTGCTAACCAGGAGTGAAATATGTGTGGTGCAGGATTCATTAATCATCTATTTTACTGTTCAGAAATCTCATTGGCCAGGACTACCCTTCTACCATGTGAATAAACTTGCTTTTTGGATTAAGAGATGTTTGGAAGAGCCACTATATAGCGGTCTGTCTTTGAAGTGTGAATAGGTTTCTGATATGGAGATTTTAGCTGTACTATTTTGGACTATATCTTAAATGTTTTTTATTTAAGAAATGGAGAAAAATGTTTCCAAAGCAACAGGATTAGAAGATAAAAACCTTGAATCATTCTCAACAGAAGAGAGTAAGGAACAGAGCCCGTTGGCACATGTACATGGTATTGAAGAGACCAGAATTTTGCAGGAAGCAAGCATAGCTGAAAGGTAAAAGGGGAAAGATTAAGGGATTTGGTTTCTAGTCTGTTTCAACTATAACCATAACTGTTGCTGTAAGAATTTGATTTAAAAAGAAAACAATGGGGTTCTGTTGCATTAAATATAACATTCAAGTTTAAAAAACTGTAAATTAGGTAAATTTGACATACCTAGCTGTAAACGTTATTCTGTGGTTGTCTGTTTGATTTCAAGTACATACTGAAACTCTAATACATACCAATTTCTCTTTCAGAAAGGAAGATCAAGAACAGGGATCTCAGGAAGTTCAGATGTTGTCATTTGCTCCGATTGTTTCCTCTGAGACAAGCTCCCAGACACTTGATTTGGGTAGTGGTCTTGGTGAGAGTTCTGTTGGAGAGCCCCTGAGAAAGGACTCAGATGGAGACCATGTGCTTACACTTTGTGTGCCAGAGGTAAAAGAATGAAAAATATAACAAGTGGTGCTAGGTATTTGTTCCTGTTTTAAATCTAATTAAGGTATGATGTAAACACAATAAACTTCACCCTCTTTAGTGTGCAATTCTATTAAGTGTCAACAACCATACACAGTCATATGACTAATACATGAACAGTTTCATCCTCCCCCAAATTCTCCAGTGCCCTTTTTTTTAAAGATTTTATTTATTTATTTTTAGAGAGGGAAGGGAGGGAGGTGGGGAGAGAGAGAGAGAGACAGAGAGAGAGACATTAATGTGCGGTTGCTGGGGGCCATGGCCTGCAACCCAGGCATGTGCCCTGACTGGGAATCGAACCTGCTACACTTTGGTTTGCAGCCCGCGCTCAATCCACTGAGCTACTTGAGCCAGGGCTCCAGTGCCCTTTTTTAGTCACCTCCTTCTTGCCACCTGCAGCTCCTGGCAACCACTGGTATGTTTTGCCTTCACAAGAATGTTCTGTGATAAAATTTTTAATGTGTTTTACTCTCTGGAGCATAGAGATAAACTGACCAATACCTAGCTTTGTTATAAAAGTATTGGCTTTTAAAAAAAATTGGCTAGGTATTGGCTTATAAAGCTAGGTATTGGCTAGTTTACTTCTTAGCCCCTGGATTTGAGAAGTTACAGAAGAAGCAGAGCAAGCATTTATTGAGATGTTATTACTGCATGTCCAACACTGTGTGAGATATGGGGGTACAGAGTTGTGGGAAACCAATGAATCAGCCAATAAACTCAGTCTAATAGGTGCTATGAAAGGGACTTGTGCAAGACTGTAGGAGTGAGTGGTCCTCAGTGAAATCCAGTGAAATCAGTCTCTGGGAGAAGTAGGGCCCAGACTTTAGCATTTGTATTTCAAGTTCCCCAGGTTATTTTGATGTGCAGGCAGGCCCGGGAGAATTCTTGATCTGGAAGAACAAGGATTAATTTTATCAGCTAAAGGAAGAGGAATGTACATAAAGAACAAATGTGGAACATGACATGTTCAGGGACTACAAGCAGTTGTGAGGAACATGAAGGCGAAAGTGGTCAGAGATGAAGTTAGATAGCTACCTGGGGGACATATCATACAAAGAAGTTTTATGAATTGCTGAGGAGTTTGGACTACATTCAGTTAACGGGGTTTTCCTACTCTCCACCTTTTTAAATTTTGAAATAATTTCAAACTTGGCAAAAAGTTTCAGGAATCTTACATAGAACTTATAAACCCTTTACTGGGATTTATTCATTGCCTCATTTGTTCTCTCTTTTGTCTGTCTTGCTCTCTATCTCTATAGTTAGATACTTTTAGAAAACTGAACCATTTGAAAGTCAAGGTGTAGACATGAGCCTTCACCCACAAACACTCTAGCTTGTATCTGATAAGAACAAGGACATTCTCATAGAGACAAATGGCAATACTGTTGTCACACTCAATGTTGACATACTGTCTAACGTCGACTTAATTATGTGTAATACACAGTTCCAGTCAAGGTTTTTACATTGCATTTAAGTTGTCATTTCTTCTTACTTTCTATTAATCTAGAGTAGTTTCCTTGCCCTTTTCCCTCTTTTGTGAACCCGACACTTGAAAAGAGTCCAGGCTAGTCTACATTCTAGATATTTAAAATGTTTCCTCATTATTAGATTCAGGTAAACATTTTTTTTTTTTGGCAAGATTACTACATATAAGATACTGTTTCTTCCTTTTGCATCATATTGGAAAATACAAAGTATCAATTTGTTCTGTTATTGGTGATGCTGATTGATCACTTGGCTAAAATGGTGCCTGCCAGATTTCTGCATTTCAGTAGCATCTTTTCTAATTATTAATAGTTTGTCAGATGAACCCAGCAGCCTTGTGTCTGGTAGTTTTAGTGTACATTGATGATTCTTGCCAGAGTCAGTTGTTGTGGGTTGCAAAATGAAAGCTCTAAGACAGTGGTCCCCAACCTTTTTGTCACCAGGGACTGGTTTTGTGGAAGGCAATTTTTCCACGGTGAGTGGGGTGATGGTTTTGGGATGATTCACGTGCATCCCATTCAAGCTCACCTCCTGCTGTGTGGCCTGGTTCTAACAGGCCTGAACTGGTACCAGTCTGCAGCCTGGAGGTTGAGGACCTCTGCTTTAAGATACCAAACACTAGAGAATTATAATCAGAATTGCATTTTAGAGGAAACAGTGTTTGCAATTTTGTGAAAAACCCATGGGAGGGAGCCATGCTGGAGGCAAGGAGACCAGCTGGCCTTCATTAGATGTTATCTACTGTACCATGCTGCTGTGAGGAGGGTGCAGAGGGTTGCGGGGTTTGGAGCTCCCTTCATAGACTACACGTACTGAGCAATTTAGTCAATTCCTTTGTGTGTGTGTTGTGTAAGTAATCAAAAGTTTATTGGTGCAACTAAAAGTTTCAAAACACTTGAAGAATTGCACATGGTTAGATAAGTTGTTGAATTTTGAAACGACTGTTGACTGTATGAAATTGTTAGGAAAACTTTCTAAAACTGAGATTTGATCAGCTTCACTCTTTCATTTTAATTTTTATGGCAGTGCACACCAACTAGTATTCCAGAAGTCCAACAAGAGAATGCAGCCAATCCTCAAGATTTAACAGGTATGATAATCTTCTTTAATAAAGTATCATAAAACTAACAGTATGGTTTTTATGTCCCCTGTCCATATTTGACCTTAAATTAAAAAAAAAACACTTGAAGCACTTTGTGTATAACCTTTGTTGCTCAAAATTATAAATCTCCATAGTGAATCATCTTTATCCTTTATAAAATTACTTTTTTTTTAGTGTAATTCAGTTTTTACTCTTGGTGATAAGTTTTGAGACTTTTTACAAAGGAAATAAATTAATGATTTTCTGTTCTTTCATGGTTCAGCTTTTCATTACTAACTTTTAAACTTTGATAGTGAATCTAGTTGCTGACGTACATCATGATGGTGAGGATGAACAAGCATTCATTTTAACTCTAGTGGAAATTCCAACCAATACAATAGAAGAATTTACTGACACTGCAACACAGTTAATGCCAAACCCTTTACTGCCAGCGCCCATATTGGTCAAATCAGTGACTGCAGAAGAAAAGGGTGACATGAGGTAATGAATGAGCTAAATTGTTTTTGCTAGGAGGCAAGGTGCTTTATGATTCAAATAGTATTGATTGGAAACGTTATTTGTAATTATCCTAGATATCTTGTTTAGTAATTGTGTGGTAAATTAGAGAAGAAACCATTTATTTTTTTATCTGGTGAAGATGACATTTAAGTGTATAATAAAATCTTCTGTATGAAATTTGTTTTGTATTTTATTTATTTTGAAAGCTAAAAAATTTAGCAATCTGAATCATAAAATGGCATCTATTAAAGGTATGGTTACTTTGTAAACCTATATTTATATTTTAAATTCTGAAATGAATATACATTCACCAAAAGTTGTAAAAATAGAAGGTGACATTTCTGTATATTTTTGATATTCATTTTAGTTCTTAAGTTGTATTTTAACTGTCATAGATTAAGATGCTTAATTGTCTATTAAGGAACACTAGAAATTGAAGCCTTTTATATTAGGAAGAGACATTTTAGATTAAAATTTAACTTTACAGACAAGGCATACATTTTTTATACCTCAGATTTAATTTAATATTATGGAATTTAAGTTCAAACCTTTAAGTATTAGTGGAGCTCAAAACTTAACATTTTTATGGTCATGGCCATGTATATGTGTTAGTTACTTCGGAGTGTTTTTGGCAGTTTTCATTGGAATCGCTAGCTCAGACTTTAACCTCATTAAGTAACTTCTAATTCACTGATTTAATATGTATGTATTTTCTGTGCAGTATGAGTTTTCCAGTAACTTCAGTTGGTCAGGATGCCGTGTGTTTATCTAATTCTGGAAGTGATGATTCTGAAAAGCCTCCTGCTAATTTGGATTTTATATCTAGGAAGAGATTTCATTGTAGACTTGATGAAAGTGATCATGTTCCTCCTGCCAAAAAATGTTCACTCACTTCAAGAGAAAATTGTCAAAAATATATCTCTGAGGTAAGAAAGTATTTAAGTAGGATGGCCATATTACAACAGATCTATTTCTGTTTTTTTCCTTTAGATTCTTTATCTAAAGATAGTTCTAATGCTTTTTGCCATAAATAATTAGGGAAAATTGGTTTTGTATTTCTACTTTCAAACTGTTCTACATAAAAATTGATTGATAAAGGGCAGAAAACTGTACTTGAACAATTAAAAAAAAACATAAAAAAAAAGCAATTGACATTAATCAGGAACTCCATTACCAGCTCTGTATCAGCTAAAAAGAAGGCTGAAAGCATCATCCAGATCTGGATCTTGGTTGTACCACTTAATAGCTATGGGACGTTAAGCAAGATACTTCACCTCTCTGGTTGAGTTTTGCTGTTGTGTAAAATGATGATAGTAATTATACCACCACTGTTATCATAATGCTTAAATCTTCATGTTGCTATTAGGAATGATAGCAGAACCTCTAAGGCCCTCTATTTGTCTGGCTCATTTCTGCCTCCAGTCTTGTCTCGTGCCAATTTCTGCCTCACTCTATAAACATATTAGCCATCTTTTAGTTTCTCAAAAGCATAATACTCCTTCATGTCCCGGGGCACTTCTTTTGAGGTCTCTTTTTGTGAAACATTTCCTTGTAAAATATACAAACTTCTTTAGCTCAATTGTCATTACCTTAGGGAAGTTTGATAATACTGTGCAGATTCAGTCAGCATCTACTGTGCTGCATGTTTCTTAGCACCCTCTGGTTTTTGTTTTCTGGAACTCGTCATAATGCACTACATTATGTAACCGCACTACAGAAACGTTAATTTACAATCTATATTCTCAAAGGACGGGGGAAGACCAATAATCCTTAGATGATGGCAGACAACAGAGGCAGTGCGTCTTTGTATACCTGGTAGGAGAAAAATGGTCTCCCAGAATGGCTTTAGTTTCTCTTACTATGAGCATTTTTTCATATTTTTTCTTTTCATATTCCTAAGAACCATTTGTTATTTTCTTTCCTGTGAACTCATTCTGTATATTCCTTACCCATTTTTTAATTGGGTTGTTGATCTTTTTCTTACAGATTCGGAGTAACTCTGTTATGTTTGTCTGTGGTATGAGTTGCAAATATTTTTTCCCAGTTGGTTAATTGTCATTTGACTCTTCTTTATGTGGTTTCTCAATGCAGACTTTTGGTTAACTTTAGTATGAACATTTTCAAACATTTATTTTATTTGAAAAATTGAATGAACTTATTTATTAAAATATAACATTACAGAATAGGCAAGAAACTGTAAGTGTGCAGCTCACTAAACTTTCACAGAGTAATTACACCCATGTAATCATCACCCAAATCAAGAAATAAAATATCTCCAGCACTGCAGAGGCTCCCTCATGCCCATCTCATCACTGTCCATATCTCTCCTGTACATAACAGTCATGTGAACTTATAATTCCATTGATTAGCTTTGCCTTCAGGGAAAAGCATTTTCAATTTCTGTACATTATTTATTTGGATAAATGAAGAAGGTAAGACTAAAACATATCTTCAGAAGTATTTTATATTCCTCTGTAAAGGGAACTTGTAATTTAATATCAGTTTCAATTCTTAGAACCTAAGTGGCAGCTTTTGGTTATAATATAAACTAACTTCCAAAGGTTGGCGTTACTCTAACTCATGTACAAATAAATAGAAAATGTATTTAAGCTGGAATTACAGAGTGTCTTCTTTGAGGAAATGTGCAGATGAAAAGGGGTTTGGACTTTTAAATATTAATCATGGAAATTGAAAGATGACCTAGATTTTGACTGCCTTCCTTTATGCATTAAATTTAGATTAAAATTTAGCTGCACAAATGATACTTATCATTTTCAAACATTTAAAGAGGTAGATAGGTTAGTATAATGTATCCCTACATACTAGTCACCCAGTTTCAACAATTAGCATTCCATGCAGACATTCTGTTGTTTTGTTTGGTTTTAAAAATATATTTAATGAAATGGAAAAAAGCTCATAGAACATTACTATATGCAAAACTAAGTCTTTGGTTTTTAATATGCCCTTTAAAAAATGATAGATGTACATTGATGAAAAGTATCATGTCTAGGCTAATTTGTTATTTTTATTTTCTAAACCTTGTTTTCACATTTTAACAATAAAATTGCTGATAAAAGTGAAACTTATAATTTTGAATTCTATAATGCACAAATACTGCTTGAGATAGACATATGAACATTTTTTGTTTTTGAACACAAATTGATCAAATTTATCAGTCTTTGTATGTAATGGGTCCTGGTGTTTATGTTATATGTTGAAAATCTATCTTGAGATTTAATATAAATTCTTTTAGTTAACATTATTGATTTGTTTAGAATTTATTTTGGTGATAGCAAGAGTGGAAACAACTTAATTTTCCCCAGATTCCTATGTAGTTGTTCCAGCACTATTTATTGAATAATTAATTTTTTCTCCACTTATTTAAAATTACACTTTTATCGGATATTAAATTCCCATTTGTATTTGGGTATAATCTTGAGCTTTTTTTCTTCTGTATTGATTCACCTATGTGTTCTGGGGCCGGTATCATCCTGCCTTTTTAAAAATTTTTTTAAAATTCATTGATTTTAGAGAGGTGAGGATGGGGAGAGAGAAAGAGAAATATTAATTTGTTGTTTCAATTATTCATGCATTTATTGGTTGCTTCTTGTATGTGCCCTGACTGGAGATCAAACCCACCAGCTTGGCATATCATGATCGTGGTTTAACCAACTTAGCCACCCAGCCAGGGCCAGTATCACACTGTTTTAATTATTGTAGCTTTAAGTGCTTAAATATCTAAAAGGGATAGTCTCCTCACCCCCTACCCGCTACAGCCCATACAAATATTCTTCTCTTTTCAAGTTTCTCCTAGTTGCTTACTTGTTCTAAAGTTCATATCAATTTTGGAATTAGCTTGTTCAGAACTTTAAAAAAATCCTATTGGTACTTGTATTAGAATCATAATTACTTGACAAATTAACCTAGAGAAAATTGATGTCATAATTGTGATATTGAATGCTCCCATCCCAAAACTTGGTATGTCTCAGTGATACTGGAAACTCTTCTTCACATAAATCTGGTACATAGGTTTTCCTAAAAAATTTATTTTATTTTATTTTAATTAATTAATTTATTTTATCTATCTATCTATTTATTTATTTTTGCTATAATCATTGAGTTCTTGTCTACCTAGAGAGCTTACTGAATTCCCCTCATTGTGAGCAGTAATTTTTGTGTTGATTCTCTTGGGTTGTCTAAGTAAACAATCATATGCAAATATAACTTTAATTCTCTTCTACTTTTTATACCTTTAATTCCTTTCTCTTTTTTATTCTATTGACTAATATAACTCAGAAAATATTTTTGATATTAGACTTCTAAAAAAATCCTGATTTTAATGGAAATACTTACAGTGTTTAAGAAGTGGGATGCTACTGGCTTTTGGTTTGCCGTAGTTGCATTTTACAGTTTTAAGAAAATGCCTCTTGCCCTGGCTGGTGTGGCTTAGTGGATTCATTGCTGGCCTGCAAACCAAAGGGTCACTGGTTTGATTCCCAGTCTGGGACACATACCTGGTTGCGGGCCACGTCCCCAGTATGGGACGCGTGAGAAGCAACCACACATTGATGTTTCTCTTCCTTTCTTTCTCCTCCCCTTCTCCTCTCTTTAAAAATAAGTAAATAATAAAAAAATAAAAATAAATAAAAAAGGAAGAAAATGTCTCTCTGTTCACCCTGACCTGTGTGGCTCAGTGGGTTGGGCGTTGTAATGAAAACCTTTATGTCGCTGGTTCAGTTGCCCAGTCAGGGCACATGCCTGGGTTGCCAACCAGGTCCCAGGTTAGGGGCGTACGAGAGGCAACTAATCAGTGTTTCTCTCCCTCTCTTTCTCCCTTTCCCTTTCTCTAAATAGAAGTAAAATCTTTTTAAAAAGTCTGTTTACTGAATTTCAAGTTTTTTTTAAATAGAATGTTATTGGACACTTCCTGCAAAAAAAAGCTATATCATTTTGTTTTCATATCTGTTGAATTATATCAATAGATTTCATAATATTGAATCATCTTTGCATTCCTGAAACAGACTCCAATTGATTGTGATGTGTTATTGATCTTTTGATATACTGCTGAATTATGTGTAATATTTCATTCAATATTTTTGTACCAATGTGAAAAGAGTTAGTTGGTATCAATATTATACTTGATTTATAAAAGGTATTTGGAATCTTTCCCTCTTTTATTGTGTTCTGGAACAATTTAAATAACAGTAAAAATGTCTTTTCAATAAATATTTGGTAGAATTCCCAAAAGGCATGCCTGGCTCTAGAGCTTTCTGGGAGATACATGTTTTCTTTACTTAAAAAAGAAAGAAATAAAGTTTAATTTCAATTGATAATTGGATTTTTAATTTTTTTTGTAAATTTTCTTAAAACAGGTATATTCAAAGGAATTAATAAATGTTTTTGAGGAAACAGGTGAGTGAGATAAATTTTATTGCAATTACATTTTCCTAAGAACCCCTGATTATTTTTGATGTATCTTGTTCAAATTTAGGATTAAGCAGAGTCTTGCTCACTTATTATTAGAAGTTTTTCTTCCTTGCTAAGATTTTTGATTTGTCACTTTGGTAGCCATAAAATTCTTTCTTCTTATAATTAATAGAAAATTATGTATCTATAGGATTCCTGAAAAAGGGTAACAACTGCATTTTAGAAATTAGAAACCTGGGTATAAAGGAGTTTTCATAGGTCCTTAGCTGTACCTTCAGATTAGAAAGTGATCATTTGTTAGTACAAGAAATACTTGTGGAGAAATACTTTCTAGGTGAAAATATATTGGTATGACTATTATGAATCTGAATATAGAAGCTGTTACTTCAGCTTTTAACTAGTTATATTATTCTTAAGCGTCCAGGTAACTCCACTAATCTATAATTCAGCTTACTCTTATTAGGGCATGCTTATAATAGAATATCATGGTTTTTTTTTCCTTCAAATTTTGCAGTTCAATTGGGTATATTAATTTTAATATGTGTTCTTACCATTTGTTTTTTTTTTTTAGGGAAGTCTTACAAGGGACAAGATATCTTTCCTACTTCAGAAAGCACACACATAACTCCAGAACCTCAGAAAGAGAAACTTGAACCAGCTTTTCAGAGTATAGGATCTAGACCTCTTGATAAAATAATGGATACACATATAGAAAAGAATACACCTCAGTTACCTCAGGATAAGATGATTGTGTCTGATAAGGAAGAAAGAATTTGTACAGCCTCTAAGTCTGAACAAGTGGATGGCATCACACCATCTTCAAAAACCCCATTATCCAGGTATCATGAGAAAATCTCTAATGTTTCTCATTCTCCATTTCTCTCTCGGGATAAATATAACATATATATTTGACTAAATCCAATACTAAGGATGGTGTTTTAGAAAATAACCATCTATCAGTAAAGGGAAGGAAATACAGTAATGTCAAACACTTCTGTAAGACTGAGATAAATATGCATTCCATATAACAAGAGCTTAACTTTTAAGTGCCTAAACTTTGACTTTTTAGATAGAAAATCTTTCGAGTTTAGTGTTATATACTTTCTTTTCCAGATTTTCGTGGTTATTTTGATCATTCTTTATTTTGTCATACAGTAGCTGCCAGTGCAGATGTAGATGACCTGAGACATAGGGCTAACATCAGAAGCAGTTCTGGGTGTTGTTTTATTGAGGCCCCAAATTACGTGTCCATTTTTCTCTCTTGTGGCATACCGAAGAGGTAAACCACAGCTTTCTCCCTATGAGAGTGTTGAATTTAAGCCCAAAGCTAGCTTTTCACACATTATTTTCCTCATATTCTAGAAGCAAGCCTTCTGCATTATGGATAATTACTGACTTGTCAGCAGTATTAAAATTATTAACACGGTGTTGGTGAGTTGAAGAGGGGAGGATTACACTAACCTCCATTAAAGAGAAGGTGGAGGGGAAGGACATGTGTAGCTTAAAAAGGCATATTTAATGAATCCATTATTTTCATAATGTAAACTACAGAAAGTAAAGCTCGGCAATCTCCTTTCTGGTCTTAGAGATGGTATGGTGCTGCAGATAGGGTGAGGGAGACATCATAGAGTTTTAAAAATAGTTGAGGATCAGTATTTATGGTCTTAAGAGTTGTGCTGAATATAGAATGAGGGAGGAGGCATCATGGGGTTTTGGGTTCAAACCAGTTGAGGGTCAGCAAATTTTTTGGTAAAGATAATGCAGTATATATTTTAGACTTTGTGGCCCATAGTCTTTGTTGCAGCTGCTTAATCCTGCATTTGTAGTGCAAAAGCGATGGTTTTTAAACAGATGGGCATAGATGTGTTCCAGTGAAACTTGTTTATAGAATCAGGTGGTGAACTGCATTTGGCCCACGGGCAATAGTTTGCTGACCTCTGCTCCAGAGCCTTGCTTTTCAAAGTCTGGTCCTGGGACCAGCAGCATGGGCATCACTTGACAGTGTTTTAGAAATACAGAACTCAGGCCCCACCCACACTAATTCAGTCAGAATTTTCATTTTAATAAGATCCCCAGATGATTTGTATGCACTTTTAAGCTTGAGAAGTACTGCTATACAGTAAGCATTGACCTTTGTCACAAATACATGTCAAGGCATAGTGGTCTCATTACTTACTTAGTAGATGTGCTGATACCACTAGTGTAGTATCATATATGCCATTTTAGGATTAATGGAAAGAAGTTGGTATTGAGAATATGTCTTCCTGGATATTTTTAAAATACCTTTATATTTGCATTTCTAGACCTGGTAGAAGACCCCTGGGATTTTTATCTTTAATATGTTCAAAGAATAGTTTGGAGTCTGATGCACCTACTCAGGTTCATAGTAAGAAACGCCTAAAACCTCTTATACCTGTATCAAGAAAGAATTTGAAAAGATCCAAACCACTCAGTGAAAGCCAGAAAAAAATTCAAGAATCCTCTGATTTGCTTTCATCTCCAAGTGTTGATAATACTCAGCCTGAGAATATTGGCAGTTCAGCAGTTCAGGTATGTGATATCTGCTTATTATTATTGTTCATATAGAATGGCTTGGATATCAGACTCAACTAGGAATAACATGACAATTGTTGATATCATTTGGATATCAGAAATTATTGCAGAGCAAATCCTGCACCATCTCCTCCACATCATACCCACCCCTCGCACCACTATATTGGAAGAAGATATGGTGTTGAATTAGGAAGTTACAGCTAGTTTAGTACAGAGCCATTGAACTAGCCATAAATAGATACTTAATTGCTATTTCTTTAAAGCAAAGATTCTTCTGATCGGTGGAAACAAAACAGAGCAGTGCTTGCATTTTATTTGCTTTCAGAGAAATGTCCTAACACCCACAGGAATTCAAGGAACAGTAAATGAGAATTTATTGGCATGTTTTATTTCTGTGCATTCCAAAGCTGTACATATGGGAAGTACTGGGATAGAACAATCTGTGAAGCTGTATCAAAGATTTCAGAAGAATATTGTGTGACTTAGAATCTCAGCAAAGGCCGGTGACCTCTATTGGGTCGAATGAGACTCAAAGGAAGGAGTACTTTTGTAAAAACTATCTTTAAATTTTTAAAAATATTTTATACTATTTCCCAGAATTGTCTTCTGAGAGAAGATTTTCTGAGTGTTAGCCTTGCCAAATTACTTCGGAGAAGAGTGCTGTAATTACCAGCAGTGTTCCAGTGCCAGTTCATTCACATTCTTGACAGTGTCAGATAATAACTCTTCAAAATAATTTTTTAAATTTAACATAATGGTGAGGGGGACATTTCATTTCATTTGTTTCACTTGCATTTTTTTAGTTATCAATGACTTGTTTTTTTCCATGTATTTACTATATATTTTATTGCCTTCTTTTTTTGTTCTATCTTGCTAATTTATAGCTTCTGGAATCTAAGTGTTTTCTTACCAATTTGTGTAAAATTAAAAAAAATTTTAAGAGATTTTATTTATTTATTTGCAGAGAGGGGGGAAGAGAGAAAGAGAGGGAGAGAAATGACAATGTGTGGTTGCCTCTTGAGCACCCCTCACTGGGGACCTGGCTGGCAGCCCAGGCATGTGCCCTGACTGGGAATTGAACCTGCAGCCCTTTGGTTCGCAGGCTGGCACTCAATCTGCTGAGCCACAACAGCCAGGAGATTCTCAATTTTTTTAAACCATATTTTATTGTTTATGCTATTAACAGTTGTCCTAATTTTTCCCCCTTTGACTCCCTTCACCCAGCCTGCCCCTCACTCCCTCAGGCAATCCCCATGCTATTGGTCATGTCCATGAGTTATGTATATATGTTCTGTGGCTACTATATTCCTTATACTGTCCTTTCCATCTCCATGACTATTCTGTAATACTAATTTGTACTTTATAATTCCTTCACATTTTTCTCCAATTTCCCCGAACCCCTTCCCATCTGGCAGTCATCAAAACGTTCTCTGTATCTATGATTCTGTTTCTGTTCTGCTTGTTCATTTATTTTGGCTTTTAGATTCAATTGTTGATAGATATATATTTATTTCCATTTTATTGTTTATATTTATCTCTTTATTCTTAAAGAAGATTCTTTAACATTTCAAATAATACTGGCTTCGTGGTGATGAACTCCTTTAGCTTTTTCTTGTCTGAGAACCTCTTTTTTTGTCCTTCAGTTCTAAATGACAGCTTTCCTGGTAGAGTAATCTTGATTGTTAGTCCCTGCTTTTCATGACTTTTTGAGTATTTCTTGTCAATTCCTTCTAGCCATAAAGTTCCTTTAGAGAAATCAGCTGACTATGGGAACTCCCCATAGGTGACTGACTGCTTTTCTCTTGCTACTTTTAAGATCATCTTTGTCTTTATCCTTTGGCATTTTAATTATGATGTGTCTTGGTGTAGGCCTCTTTGGGTTTATCTTGTTTGGGACTCTCATACTTCCTGGACTTGTATTTCTATTTCCTTCACCAAATTAGGGAAGTTTTCTGCCACTATCTTTTCAAATAGGTTTTCTATTTCTTGCTTGCTTTCTTCTTCTTCTGGAACCCCCATGATATTAATGTTGGAATGCTTGAAGTTGTCCCAGAGACTTCTTAACACTATCTTCATATTTTTAAAAAATTCTTTTTTCTTCTTGCTATTTTGATTATTTTTTGCTTCCTTATATTCAAAATTGCTGATTTGATTTTTGCCTGCTGTTGTTTTCCTGTAAATTGTTCTTTATTTCAATTAGAGTAACCTTCATTTCTGACTGGATCTTTTTTATGCTGTTGAGGTCCTCACTAAGTTCATCAAACACCCTTATAGCTGTTATTTTGAACTCTGCATGTAGTAGATTGTCTCTATTTTGTGTAGCTCTTTTTCTGAAGTTTTATTCTGTTCTCATTTGGGCCATGTTTCTTTGTCTCCTAATTTTGGCAGCCTCCCTGTGTTTGTTTTTGTGCATAAGGTAGAGCTGCTACATCTTCCAGGCTTGATAGAGTGGCCTAATGTGGTAGTCGTCCTTAGGGTTCATTGGCACAGCCTCCCCTAGTACCCACATTGGGTACTCAAGGTCCACCCACCATGTGGGCTATGTATACCTTCCTATTGTAGTTGAGCCTTGGTTGCCTTTGGCACATCCAAGGTCAAGGTCAGTCACTGCCTGTGTTCTCTTTGGTGCCACCCAACATAATTCAGTTCGTCTCCATATGTCTGTGGTACCTTTCAGTCTTTTACCCACTGGTACTGGAGCTCAGAGGGAGTGAGTTTGAGTGTGCAGGCTTTTTAAGAAGAACTGTCTGGGTGGGACTCTAGCAGTTTCTCTCCTACCCAGCTTCAGTCCCCACTGGTTTTATAGCCAGAAGCTTTGGGAACTTACCTTCCTGGCACTGGAACTCTGGACTGGGGGGCCTGGTGTGGGGTTTGGACCCCTTGCACCTGAGATGCCCCTCTCAGTTTTTATCTGCCACACACGGATGTGTGACCAGCCCATTCGGCATCTCAGTCCATCCTCAAGGAGATTTCTTTTTTAATTTTATATTTGTAGGACTTCTACTTAGCTCGATTTCTGGCTGTTCTGAGTGATGGTGGTTCTATATTTTAGTTGTAATTTTGATGTGGTTGTGTGAGGAGGTGAGCCATATTTACCTACGTTGCCATCTTGTGTGAGAGATTTTTGTGTGTAAAATGCTATGTACCTTCCAGCTGTTTGCTGTTTTTTTCCAAGTTTATTTACTTTTAAGATTTAATGTTTTTTTAAATATACATAAGTTTTAAATGTTTAGTCAAATCCATTACTTTTTTCTTTGCAGTTTCTTAAATTGCTTTTATGATTTGGAATTTTTATCCAGACATATAAAATTTTCAGTTTTAAAATTAATTCTAGTCATGGTTATTGACTTTGGTATATAATGTGAGGTATATTTGATATGTAGTTAGAGGCAAGAATCTAAACTAAATGTTATTTACAAATTGCTATTTTATTATTTTTGATTGATTTTATTTTTTAAAGTATATTTTATTGATTATGCTATTATAGCTGTCCTATTGTTTTTCTCCCCTTTATTCCTTTCTGCCTTGCATCCTCCCTCCCACAAACATTCTCCCCTTTGGTTCATGTCCATCGGTCATACATGTAAGTTCTTTGGCTTCTCCATTTCCTTTACTATTCTTAATCTGCCCCTGTCTATTTAGTACCTACCAATTATGTTTCTTATACCCTGTACCTTTTCCCCCATTCTCCCCCATCCCTATCCCCACTGATAACCCTCCATGTGATCTCCATTTCTGTGATTCTGTTCCTCAGGTTGTTTGCTTACTTTTTTTTTTTTTTAAGGTTCAGTTGTTGAGAATTGGGAATTTGTTGTCATTTTACTGTTCACAGTTTTAATCTTTTTCTTGGATAAGTCTCTTTAACATTTCATATAATAAAGGCTTGGTGATGATGAACTCCTTTAACTTGACCTTATCTGGGAAGCGCTTTATCTACCCTTCCATTCTAAATGATAGATTTGCTGAAGAGAGTAATCTTGGATGTAGGTCTTTGCTTTTCATGACTTGGGATACTTCTTTCCATCCCCTTCTTCCCTGCAAGGTTTCTTTTGAGAAATCAGCTGACAGTCTGATGGGAACTCCTTCGTAGGTAACTGTCTCCTTTCTCTTGCTGCTTTTAAGATTCTCTCCTTCTCTTGAATCTTGGGTGATGTAATTATGATGTGCCTTGGTGTGTGCTTCCTTGGGTCCAACTTCTTTGGGATTCTCTAAGCTTCCTAGACTTCCTGGAAGTCTATTTCCTTTGCCAGATTGGGGAAGTTCTACCTCATTATTTTTTCAAATGAGTTTTCAATGTCTTGCTCTTCCTCTTCTCCTTCTTGCACTCTTATGATTCAGGTGTTGGAACATTTAAATTTTGTCCCAGAGTTCCTAAGTCACTCCTCATCTTCTTTTTTCATTCTGTTCTGGTTGAATGTTTATTTCTTCCTTCTGGTCCAAACCGTTGATTTGAGTCCCAGTTTCCTTCCCATCACTGTTGGTTCCCTGTATATTTTCCTTTGTTTTACTTTGCATTGCCATCACTTCTTCCTTTATTTTGCAACCATACTCAACCATTTCTGTGAGGATCCTGATTACCAGTGTTTTGAACTCTGCATCTGATAGGTTGGTTATCTCTTCATCACTTAGTTCTGTTTTTGGAGCTATGATTTGTTCTTTCATTTGGGCCGTATTTTTTTGTCTCATCGCACAGTAAGGGGTGGAGTCTTGGGTATCTGCCAGCGCAGGGCAACCCACGTCACTGCATTGTGGTGCTGTATGTGGGGATGGGGTCCCAGAGGGAACGGTGCCACTTGTTTAGCTCTTGGTGGCTTTTACTCACTTCCTCCGATACACACACGCAAATTGGGCCCTTCTGGTGCTGATTCCCTGGGGGCGGGGCAGGCTTTGTGTATGTCCTAGGATCCTGTGGATCTTTCCAATGAACTCTCCTGTGAGGCTGGAAGTTTCTCCTGCTGCCACAATTCCCACATTTTTACATTCAGAGGTTTTGAGACTTTATTTCCCTGCACTGGCACCCTGGGTTGCAGGGTCTGTCTTGCTCCCCAGTTGTTCCTCCCAGTTTATCTGCATGCGAGTGTAGGTCTACCAGCTGCCTCCTTGCCCACCCAGTCTTCCAGCTGCTGCCTTGCTACATGTCCTCTCTGTCCTGGCTGCCCATTTCAGCTCCTTCTACTGGTCTGGATGAGTATTTTTTTCTTTAACTCCTTGGTTGTTGGACTTCCTTACAGTTTGATTTTCTGGTACTTCTGGTTGTTTTTTGTTTTAAAATTTGTTGTCCTTGTTTTGGTTGTGTGAGTAGGCAAAGTGTACCTACCTATACCTCCATCTTGGCTGGAAGGCCTGATTTTTAACTTTATTGAAATATTATTTGTTGTTCCACTTATAGATGCATTCATTGGTTGATGCTTGAATGTGCCCTGATTGGGGATTGAACCCACAACCTTTGTATATGAGGATGACTCCAACTGAGCTATCCAGCGAGGGCTTAGTTTCTGTTCTTATCAGCAATAAATGAGAGAGCCTTTTCCTCATATGAACATATTAGTACTTTTTTTTTTTTTACTTTTATCATTCTTCCTGGATTTAATGAGCGTGTGTGAGTGAGGTTGAACATTGAACATCCTGCATTTGAATCATTTATGATTTTTCTTTTTTTTTTTTTTAAAGAGGGAGAGAAACGTGTGAGATGGATCTGTTGCCTTTCACACACCCTCACCTGGGGGCCCAGCCTGCAACCCAGGCACATGTCCTCACCAGGAATTGAACCTGTGACTTAGTTTGCAGGCTGGCACTCAATCCACTGAGCCACATCAGCCAGGGTTCATTTATGCTTTTTCTGTGAACCATCTGTTCATACCATTTGACTTTACAGGGTTGGGTTAACAGTCTTTTTTATACTGATAGGTAGATGTTCTTATTGTATTAAGTAAAACCCTTTGTAATATAGGTTGCAGGTACTTTTTATCCCTATATGTCATTTATTTTTTGATTTTGCGTATGGTGGCTTTTTCCATGCAGACATTTTCAGACATTTTTTATTTTTACATAGATGAATTTCTCAATAATTTATGGCTTCTGATATCCTGTCATTTAAAAAGACATCCCCTCCCCCTCACTCCAGGATTCTAAAAGTTTTCCCATGGTATTTTATAGTAGATTTAAAAAAAAATGTTTTCACATTTAAATCTTTTGATCCAGGTAGAATTTATTTTGGTGAGTTATAGGCCTAACATGTTTAATTCTGAGATGGTTATACAGTTGTCCACCATCATTTATTGAATAATCCGTCTTTTCTCATTTTCTTTTTGGAAGCATTATTTGTATCAGATACTATATTTCCATATATGTGTTGGGGATATTTCTGGTCTTCTATTTAATTGATATACATGTCTGTTTCTGTGCCAATACTATGCTATCTTAATTTCTTACAGAATTACAGGCATAGTAACTTTTGATAGGATTGCTTTTATTTCTGGGGATTCCATTGGGTACTGTTATGTTTCAGGGGTCTATTTTTAAAATGGTTATTAAAATGTTTTCATTATACACTAAATAATGATATTTTTTCTATTATGTTAAATTTTTTTCATGGAAATTAGGGTGATGTAATGGATCAGGGATACACTATAATTAAGCTAATCATGTCTGGTGTTGTCTATTTGTTGATTCCAGTTTTTTTATAACTAATGCTACAAAGATTATCTTATTCATAAAACTATGTTTAGGACTATTTCCTTAATATAATACCACAGAAGTAAGTATGCACATATTTAAAGCTCTTAATATTTATCCTATATGGCTTTTCAAACATATCAATTTAGACTACCACTACCAATAATAAATGTTATATTGCCTACTTATTTTTTATTACCTTTTTTAGGTTTCTGGTGATGGTTCCTTACCAAAAGAAGAATGTAAAAGTGTCCAAAACCAGGCACTTGGAGAAGAGCCATCCACAGTCTCTGAGTATTTCTTTAATGATATCTTTATTGAAGTGGATGAAATAGAATGAAAGTTTTGTTGTTGTTTTTCTTTGAGTCTAGAATTTCCAGAGTCAATTATATCAACAGAACTGTATTTAGAAAAAAACATCATGTCTGTTTTTCTTTATATTGATTTTGACTATTTAATGAGCTTGATTTGAAGTTTTTTATATGATCAGTGGAACACATTGCTGAGGTTCCTTTCATTCTGATTAATTCAGCATTTTGGAAATACCAAGTATTTAAGATTGCTTTCTCAGAAATAGCAACTCTTGTTTACATTTTGACTCTTCCTGTACTGAAAACACATGGACATTCTGGAATGTTGTGAGTTGATAAATGTCTCTGTATAAATCACAGTGCTTACATATTTGGAGGTGGATTGTATTTAACATTTAGCAGACTACCTTTGTGAAGGCTTTTCTTTTCTTTTGTTTGTTTGGATTTTTCTTTGGGTGATTAAGGTGTTTCACTTGCCTCTAAGCATATGAAAGTAAATTGTTTAAAAACTTTTCTATTATCAGCTATTTGAGAAATATGTATTTTTCTAATTCATGTTAACATTAGTCCTAATTGAAGAACTAGTATTTAAATTTATTTATAAAGATGAAACATCAAAAAGCTTATTTATTTTTAAATTTTTTATTTAAAAGAATATTCAGTTTTAATTATTTTCACCCCTCAGAATATGGGTAAAGAAGGCAATGACACTTTTGTTTGTCTCCTTTCCCTCTTTAATTTTAAGCTGTTGAAAGTGATATAACAAAGTATTTGGATAGTGTATATGTCTTGAATACATTTTTCTCATAGATTTAGTATATTGACTTTGTACTGTGAATATTTTGTTTTTTTCTTATTTCTTGGATAATCTCAGGATTTGTATGGGGAAAAAAACCCTTACCTTCATTGATGAGGCAACTTTTCATACAAAACCAGTCTCCATTACACACACACACACACACACACACACTCCTTCTTTTAAAAATCAGTTTCTTGATAGTTTCCTCCCCCCATCAAATTCTGCTTAAGGAACATTTAGGCTTTTAAGTACAGAACATAATTATGATATTAAAAAGAGAAAATAAAGTAACAATAAGACTATTAATTCAGTGATTATGAATTTTAGATGTTTTTGCTTTTGTAATTTACATATGTAATGTGTTACTCACCCAAGCAAATCTTTGGTGTGGTTCAAATTAAACTTCTCAAAGAGCAGATTTATCCTCAGTTGATAATATTACTACATTAAGTTGGGAGTTAGAAACACTTTTTGCAAAATATTTTTCAGTTTATGGGCCAGATGACCTCTGTGGCAACTACTCAGTTCTGCCATTTCAGTTGATAACAGCCACAGACAATACTTAAATGATGGATGTGGCTGGCTTGTGCTTTTAGTTCGACCCTCTACGTGAGACAGTAAATTTCTTACCTTAAGGTGCTGATGTCTTTATCTATGAGATATTTGTCATTGAAATTGTAGTTGTGCCTAACAAAACTATTGATTGCATTATGGAATGATCAGTATTTCAAAGGGAAGATATTTTTAATGTCTAGATCATTGTGTTTGTATATTGAAAAAAATAGTGGACAATTTTCAGGTTCATTAGTAAAAGAGGATATGGCTCAGGAGGAAGTACAACAGTAATTCTAATTTATTAAAAGAATTGATATTGGAGCATTTGTTCTTCATTTTCTTTTAGTGAAATTTAACTTTTTTTTTTGCCATAAAGGAGGATCTATAAATCTGAGTGGAAATTCTCTATAGGCATGCATTTATTTATTTCATGTGCTCACAAGAATCATGCTAGTAAATCACATTGCTATTTTAATGCCCTGTTTTTATAAATTTTTAAACAACTCATTCTGAAAAGGTTTCTTTCATTTGATTAATGTTGATTTGGGTGTTAGGTTGCCACAATTAAACTATTATTTTATCTCTTGTATAATATTTATGTTTTAACTTTGTTAATGTTGGTCTCTTGTGCACCTACAGTGAATTAATTTTATGAGAGTTGTAACTTTTTACTGTATAAATAATTTTATTTTTGGGGCATTTATTTTATTAGAGAAGTCACCCAGCCAAATTATCCTACTATTATATCTTTAAAACTAATCTTGGAGAAAGAGAAACTTAATCAGTGTATTTATTTACCTTTTTAGGTGGAAGGACTTGTTCACACCTGTATTTAATCTATTCATGTAAAGATGATGTTGGGAAAAATTTGTATTTTATGAATCTTAAAGGAGATATAATTAAAAGCCTTTATTTTTTTCTTGACTTTCCTCCTGAACACTTACATCTTAGCAAATGGTTAACATTACAGTTTAAGAGCCTAATTTGTTGGTAAATGTTTGAGGCACAGATAAAAATACGAATATCCACTGTTTACCACTATATTATTTGAAATAGAAGTGACAATGTATACATACTATCTTGCTTGAAGAAGTCTTTGAGAAAAAAGCAATATGTCACTTGTAAATTTTCTTGTTTTAAAGAAAGCAGTTATGTTCTACAGATATAAATTATGTAAATAAATGTTATTTTATACTATTTTTATTGTGTCCTTTTCTTAATGTTAACTAAAACAAGTAGTTTTTCACGTAAGCTTATACTTACTTTCTTCCTTCCATGAAAATACAGTACAGTCATCCCTTGGTATTAGTGGGGATTGTTTCTAGGACCCCACTGTGGGTACCAAAATCTGAGGATCCTCAAGTCTTTATATAAAATAGCATATCCTACAGTATACTTTAAATCATTTTGAGATTATTTATAATCCATGATACATAGTATTAATGTTAACCAAAATAAGCAGTGTTTCATTTCTTAATGTTTAAGTTTGTGGCTTGCCTATTTACATATTTTTCCATCCTGGTATTCTGCACAATAATGAGCCTTGGTGTAAGCCTGCCCATTTCCTGTTCCCACGTTCATGCTGTTGGGCAGTTCATGGGCTTTTTAAATATGAAACTCATTTCCTTCCCTTTTGGGAAATGTTCATCAGGAACAAGGTAAAAATGTCCACTTTTGCTATTTCTGTTCAACGTAGTACTGGAAGTTGTAGGCAGAGCAATTATGCAAAATAAGAAATAAATGGCATCAAAATTGGAAAAGAAGTAAAATTATCTTTTCACAGATGATACATGTAGAAAACCCTAAAGATTCCCCACAAAAAGATCTGTTAGAACTAATAAATGAATTCAGTAAAGTAGCAAGATAGAAAGTCAACACACAAAAATCAGTTGCATTTCTATACACTAATAACAAGCTGATAAGAAAATCTCAAAAACAATTCCATCTATAACAGCATTCTAAAAGAGTAAAATACAAAACGAATAAAATAGGAATTAACTACAGAAGTGAAAGCCTTGCACAATGAAAACCACAAAACATTGCTGAAAGAAATCAAGACATAAATAAATGGAAACACATCCCTTATTCACAGATTAGAAGGCAAGATTGTTAAGATGTCAGTACTACCCAATGCAATCAATAGATTTAATGCAATTATTATCAAAATCCTGATATTTTCTGCCAAAGTAGAAAAACTGATCTAACATTAATATGGAATCTCAAGGGACCCCTAAGAGAAGAAAAAGCAAAAAAGAACAAAACAGGAACACTCACACTTATTTAAAAACTTACTACATATCTACAGTAATCACAACTGTGTGGTACTAGCATAAAGACAGACACATAGGCCAATGCAATAGAATATAACAGTAGGGTCAAATGATTTTTGACAGGAGAGCCAAGACTATTCAATGGGTGGAAATGACAGTTATTTCAACAATGGTGTTACAGAAATTCGATATCCAATACAAAGAATAACACTTATCTAACATTGTATGCAAAAATTATATCAAAGACTTAACTGGATTAGGTAATATTTTCTTCATTGTGCAGTGGGCCAGGGATTGTGAGGAAGCCCAGATTCATTATAGGCGAAGTTTTTTTTTTTTTGTAAGATTTTATTTATTTATTTTTAGAGAGGGAAGGGAGGGAGAAAGAGAGAGAGAAACATCAATGCGTGGTTGCTGGGGGCCGTGGCCTGCAACCCAGGCATGTGCCCTGACTGGGAATCGAACCTGCGATGCTTTGGTTTGCAGCCTGTGCTGAATCCACTGAGCTACGCCAGCCAGGGCCAAAGTTTTAAAAGTACATTAAATTGTATTGGGTTGGCAAAAACATCAGTCTGATAGTTTTTTCCATAAAGTAAAAGACATTTTTCACTTTCACCAATAACTTTATTGATTTGGATATTTTGAGTATGTCAGCTCTCACAGTATAATATTGTTCTCAATTGATGTCTCCATTTGATTGCAATCAACTTCAACTAGTTTAACCCAATGTGGAGCATCATCCAGTGAGAAATCTCCAGCACGAAACTTTGCAAACCACTTTTGACATGTTCAGTCACAGAACCTCCTCCATACACTGCACAAATCTTTTTTTGCATTTCAGTTGCGTTTTTACCTTTCTTGAAGTAATAAAACATAATATACTGAAAATATTGCTTATTTTCTCCCACCTTCAATATTAAAATGGCTATACGAACATTCACCAATTTTGATCAGTTTTTTAAAATGCACACGGACATGAAAGCTGTCACAATACAATCCAACAAAATTGTTTTGAATGAAGTTAAAGACAAGTAAACGCTACTAGAGCCATCTTACAGAAAAAAAAAAACATTTTTTGGCCAACCCAATAGTACATTCAAGTAGCAATTTATCACTAGTAGAATTTTTATTTTTGCTTACTTGTTTATGATCTTCCCACATTTTAAAAGACAGCACTTTGTTCTGCACTGTATCCCCACTGCCAGAAGAGCACCTGACACAGAAGTCATTGAAATTTTTTGCTGAAGGAAAAAAATGTATCCTCTAAATAGTTTTCTTAGGGCAGCTTAATGTCTGTTCTGTTTCCAGCTTACATAGAAAAATAAGCTTTTTCAAGCCTTGAAACGCCCTTTTTCTTAGTAGAGGATGAGTAAAACACAATACAAAATAAACTGAGTCCAAGTCCAACGAATGTAACAACAGATGAGTAACAGCGCCGGAAAAAGCGGACCGCGTCGGAAAGGATCGCTCCGCCCCTGGACTCCCAGTGCTCCTGGGCTCGCGATAAGACAGTGTCTCGCTGGGCTGCTCTTCTACCCCTTATTGGATGTTTGGAGGGGCGTGGTGCGTAGTGCCTACCAATCGCGGGCGTCGTGCCTAGGCACGTGCCAGGGCTGGTCTGAGACTCCGGGTTGGTTGGGGCTTTTTGGGGCTGCAAGAACCTGAGTGGAGCCGTGAGGCGAAGTGGGGAAGGGAGAAGAAACAGCACCGGTTCTGGGTCCGCAGCTCTCTCGTGTGCCTCCTTCGCTCTTAGCTTGCTGCCATGTGGGCCGCCCTGAGGTTAGCCCCGTGGCGGTGCGCACGCGCTGGTGTCCCAGGGCTGCGCGCCTATCACGGGGACTCGGTGGCCGCGCTAGGCACCCAGCCAGACTCGAGCTCAGCCGTCTACCAGGTAGGCTAGGTGACCGGCCTGGGAGCCCCTGGGCGGAGTCTGTGATTTCCTCTTCGACCCGTCTGCCAGTGCCGGGCCTGAGGAACTAGGTGCTGGCCGGCCTGGGAAGCAGGTGGATACACTTTAACCGCTGCTGTTTTTCCCCCCCTGGAGCCTCAGTCATGGTTCTGGGACGCACTAAGAGGCCTTGAAGATTGAAAAAAAAATCCAAATCAAATACATTTTAGTTTAGTTTGAGCATTGTCACCCTTTTTTGTATCTTTGAAATCACTGTTTCTCAAACCCTGGCTTAACATTGTCACTTGGGAGCCTGTTGAATATGTACAGCTGTTTTAAGCCTCACCCTGGACCTTTTGGGTCTCGGGTGGGGTCCTGGTGTTTACATGGTTAATGAAGTTCTGGGGGCGTGGCGGCATCCAGGTTTGGGAACCGCTGGCCTAGGACGCCTCACCTTCGGAGTTGTGTTTCTCAGACGTTAGTTAAAATAGTTGGTCATGTTAATAGAAAATATCCCATCCCATCCCATCTTATCTCTGAATGGCTTTCCTTGGAACTGGGAGCTATTACAAGGTCAAAAAAACAACTTGCAGCTTCTAAAATCTCAGAGCTGGAAAATTTAAGTCTGTCCCGTGGTTTCAGAGCTTACACATATAACGTTTAAGTTGTGCAGATAACTTTCAGCGAAGACACTTTAAAGAAAACAAGGAAACTGAAATAAAACCAGCAGGCTGAAACAAACAGTATTCAATGAGAGGCTTCCCAACGTGTTTAGGTTTCCTGGGGTCAGGAGAGGATGTTTAATTCAGAAACATTAAGTGGTTACTGTGGTCTCGGCACAATTTTAGGTTTTTGGTACAGATGTGTGGGGGTGGAATCATAATTTTGTGGGGGAGATGGACAAGAAAGGAGGTAACTGGAATGCATTATGGTAAGTGGTGTCTGAAGCTTGAAAAGGTGGTTCCAAAAAGCTGAATATAGGAAAGAACGAGCGTTGGATGTAGACGGTGGGGAAGAGCTGGCCAGGCTCAGAGTAGAGGATGTGAGGCCAGGCTGTAGAAACTAAGGGAGTTCCTAGAACCTGGGTACAAAGTTGTGAAAATGTGTGAGTGTGAGGACTTGCAGTCATGGCTAGGGTGTGGAATTCAGGGGGCAGAAGACTAAAATGAGGCCTTGCATGCAGAAGACACGTTTAGATTCATTTCATAGGCTGTGTGCTAAGATACTGAAGTAGAGAAGTGACATGATCCCATGGACATGGTAGAATCGTCAGTGTGGCAGCATTGTGGAGGATGGGTTTCCTACCTTTTTGAATATGGCTGCTTCTTGGATGGTTTTCTCTTGGTTCCTGTAGGCCTTTGACTGTTTTTTGAGAGCTCCTATAGGGCTATTTTAGCCAGTGTTTGGTTATTTTGTGATGTCTCTGTTGAAGAATGAGGGCCTGGGGCTTCCTGGGCTGCCACATGTTTGACATCAGGTCTGGGCCTATTTTCTTGATAGTGGCTGTTAGCTAGGGGTTAGGGAATGTGGGCTTGAGAACGTAACTTCTCTCTCTGTGTGGAATGTTTTAAGTTCTGGTCCAGTCTACACACCAGAAATTAGAATAGGGAAGAATCTATGGCGTGGTGGAAACAGCACTGGTCTATATTTCATGTAGGTTAAAAACTAACAATGTATTTCCATGGGGGAGGAAAAAAACCTGGAGGGAAATACGCTCCAATATTAACAGTGGCCCTATCAGTGGGCAGAAGAGGCACTTGCAGCGTGTTGGTTCAAGAGCAAGGTTCTGGAGCTAGTGACCCCTGGTTTAAATCCTAACTATACTACCTATTGGCTGAGTGATTTGCAGATACATTATTAGTCTCTTTGTTCCTCAGTGAGCTCAAATGTATAATAGCATTAATAAGTGTGGGTATCTTATAGGCTTATCAGTACAGTTAGTGACTGCTTAGACCAATGCCTGAAATAAACCCTTTTCCTCCTCTCTTCAAGGTCATCTCATGATATTTATTTAGCCAGCTTTTGTTTCAGTAATGCTG